CCAAATTAAATTCCTTCATCCTAGACTCAGGGCCGGCGCTACCTGTAAGGCGGACTAGGCAGCCGCCTAAGGCGCCCCAGGAAGGGGCTCCGCCAGGAGCGCCGGCCCACCTCATGCTGCAGCCGCCCGACCACTCTGTAGAGAGCCTCAGACGGCTGCAGCTTTGCTGGGCTGGTTCGTCCATGAGGGCGCACCACCCGGGCGCAGCATGAGGAGAGGGGCTGATAGGAGGGAAGCGCTCAGCCTCAGCGCTCCCTCCTGTCACTCCCTCACTGTAGCGTGGCCGAGCTCTGTATGGTCCACCGGTACAGGGAGCATCTGTCTCCTGAACCCGGCCGGACTAACAGGAAGTGCACTTCCTTTTAGTTCGGCCGGGTACAGGAAACAAAAACTTCCTGTACCCGCAGATCTCGGCCATGCTACAACAGAGGTAGGGGAGGGGGGAGAAGAAGAAATTGGTGGGGGGGAAGAAGAAATTGGTAGGAGGGGGGAGAAGAAGAAATTGGTGGTGGAGGGGAGAGAAGAAGAAATTGGTAGGAGGGGAGAAGAAGAAATTGGTAGGGAGGGGAAGAAAAAATTGGTAGGGGAGAAGAAGAAATTGACAGGGGGGAGAAGAAATTGATGGGGGGGAGAAAGAAATTGACAGGGTGGGAGAGTGACAGGGGAGGGGGAATGAGAGTGGGGAGGGGGAGGGGAGAAGAGAGTAACAAGGGGGTGTGGGAAGAGAGTGACAAGGGAGTATGGGAAGAAAGTGACAAGGGAGTGGGGGAGAAGAGAGTGACAAGGGAGGGGGGAGAGATTGACATCCATCACACACACACAATGCACCCCTTACACACAAAGACAATGCACCAATTGCACACAGAAAAAAACCACAATGCATTACACACACAGACACACACACAAGCAATGCAACCCTTACACACAATGCATCCCTTACATACACAGAAACACACAATGCATTCCTTACACACACTCAATGCACCCCTTACACACACTCAATGCACCCCTTACAGACGCACACACTGCATCCCGTACATACATAGAAACACACAGCCCTTACACATATAAACACAGATTCACACAATGCATTCCTTACACACATATCAGGACATCCCCTACACACTCCACCCCCTGTGAACAAACTCATTGGTGGAACATGAAGGTGGATCCTGGGACCCAGACCTTGAGCTGTGTAAAGGGCCCCATAAAAATGGAGCTGCTTCCCGTTCTCCCAGAAGATTGATTTTTGTGAACACAGTTACAAACAACCTCTAGAGAGCATGTTCTACACCAGACCAGTGGAGCCAGACTGCAGTTAGAGCCCATCATCATCCTCATCTGGTTGTAAGTAGGCAATCTAGTATATTATTCGTGGCACTAATCTCTAATTTACCTCACATTAAAGAAACACTATAGTCCCCAGAACCACTGCAGCTTAATGTAGTGATTCTGGTGTCTATAGCCTGTCCCTGCAGGCCTTTTAATGTAAACACGGCGGGACTGCAGCACTGGCGTTATTTAACATGGCAGATCATATGGGTGGGGCGGCAAACTTTACTTTTGCCTAGGGCGGCAAAAATCCTTGCACCGGCCCTGCCTAGACTCTTGGTAATGTATAAAGGTTTCTCTTTACTTTATATTACTCTTGGTAATGTATAAAGGTTTCTCTTTACTTTATATTAATGCCCTATGTGTCTATATTGTGAACTGATCCCTATTGATAGAACAGTTATATCTCATTCTACCTGCAGCCTGAGTCAGATATAACTTCCTAAGTCGTAACATTCTTGATTCCTTCTTTAGACGTAGATCAGTTCAATATCAGAAAAATATCAGAAACCTTATATAAACTTACTGTAGTTAAACTGATGGTATATACTTGGCACGGTTGGTTGATATTTCACTAATTAATCAAATGAAAATTGTATCATTAATGCAAGGGGTATCATATGATTAATTCTGTATACTGGTATTGCTGCAAAGTTTGTAATAGCTTTTATTATCAATTTGCTGATAAGATTATAGATGAGACAAAGTGTAATGTTGACTCTTAGGCTTGTCAAGTAAACTAATTGACTTGTTGACATAAACTCATATATAATATAGCAAATTGATTATAATTGTATTGTTTTGTTACTTTGCATTTTATAGTGTGTATTATTAAATTTATATATATTTTAAGCAAAGTCTGTTTATTGGCCATCTGCCGTTCATAAGTGTTTATATCCCCGCTTAAAACAAAGAACTACAGGGTCCCTGAAGGCAGTGGCGTACTAAGGGGGGGGCGGAGGGGGCGGTCCGCCCCAGGTGCCACCAGGATGGGGGGTGCCATGACCAGCCCAGCCGCCCCCCCCCCATGCTGCAGCCGCCCGAGCGCTCTGTAAAGAGCCTCGGGCGGCTGCAGCTTTGCCCGGGCGGTGCGTCCATGAGGGCGGACCGCACCGCCCGGGCGCAGCATGGGGAGAGGGGCTGACAGGAGGGAGTGCTCAGCGCTCCCTCCTGTCACTCCCTCTGTAGTAGCGTGGCCGAGCCCTGCAGCATGGTCCGCGGGTACAGGAAGCAGCTGTCTCCTGTACCCGGCCGGACTAACAGGAAGTGCACACAGTGTGTGCACTTCCTGTTAGTCGGCTTAGTGCACAGAGAGAGTAAAAACACCTGTGCCGCCCAGATTCTCTTCAGGCTAAACCCATGGCTACAGCACAAGTGGGGGATGAGGGAAAGATTAAGAGAAAGGGAGGGAGGATGAGAAGGGGGATGAGAAAGGGGGGATGAGAGAGGGAGAAGGGGGTGAAGAAGAGGGAGAAAGGGGAGAGAGAGAGAGGGAGAGAGAAGGGGAGAGAGAAAGGGGGTGGGGAGAAAGGAGGGCCGTATTAATTATAGGGGTGGATTAATTATGGGGGATGTATTAATTATGGGGGTGTATTAATTATGGGGGGTGGATTAATTAAGGGGGGAATTAATTATGGGTAGTGGATTAATTAAGGCGGAGTGGATTAATTATGGGGGTGTATTAATTAAGTGGGGTGTATTAATTAAGGGGGGATGGATTAATTATGGGGGGTGGATTAATTAGTGTGGATTAATTATGGGGGAGTGGATTAATTAAGGGGGAGTGGATTAATTAAGGGTGTGGATTAATTAAGGGTGTGTGTATCAATTAGGGGGGTGGATTAATTAAGGGTGTGTGGATGAATTAAGTGTGGATTAATTAAGGGGTATGGATTAATTAAGGGGTATGGTTTAATTAAGGAGTGTGGATTAATAAAATAAAATCTTTTTTTTACAGTTTTTTTTTTTTTTTGGGGGGGGGGGGGTGCCAAGCACAGGATCCGCCCCGGGTGCCAAATGCTCTAGGTACGCCCCTGCCTGAAGGCTCTATGTGTGTGTGAATACCATCAGATATTATTCAATCTATATTCCATACATATAAAACCTTAGATTACCAAACACATCCCTGTTAGCGAATCTACAATACGTAAAACACTAAGCAAGAATGGATTTCATGGGAGGATACCACAGAGGAAGCCACTGCTGTCCAAACAAAACATTGCTGCACATTTACAGTTTGCACAAGAGCACCTGGATGTTCCACAGCAGGGCCTGGACGGATTGCTATCATCGAAGGAAAAATTAATTCCCAAGTTTATCAAGACATATTGCAGGAGAACTTAAGGCCATCTGTCTACCAGCTGAAGCTCAACAGAAGATGGGTGTTGCAACAGGACAATTACCCAAAGCATAGAAGTAAATCAACAACAGAATGGCTTAAACAGAAGAAAATACGCCTTCTGAAGTGGCCCAGTCAGAGTCCTGACCTCAACCCGATTGAGATGCTGTGGCATGACCTCAAGACAGCGATTCACACCAGACATCCAAGAATATTGCTGAACTGAAACAGTTCTGTAAAGAGGAATGGTCAAGAATTACTCCTGACCGTTGTGCACGTCTGATCTGCAACTACAGGAAACATTTGGTTGAAGTTATTGCTGCCAAAGGAGGTTCAACCAGTTATTAAATCCTTCCATACTTTTTTCACCTGCACTGTGAATGTTTACATGGTGTGTTCAATAAAAACGTGGCAACATTTAATTCTTTGTTATTAGTTTAAACAGACTGTGATTGTCTATTGTTGTGACTTAGATGATGATCAGATCACATTTTATGACCAACTTGTGCAGAAATCCATATCATTCCAAAGGGTTCACATACTTTTTCTTGCAACTGTATATATAATAAATATATATATGATCTAAGTATATATATATATATAATGTTATTTTACACTGTTTTAAACTTTAAAAAAAAATTTTCAGACAGCAGGGGGAGTACCTGTCATTACAGGCACTCCCCTTGCTGCCAATGCCTTGGACGGCTATGCCGTCCATGTGATCGTGAGGTCCTCGCAATTGGTAAACAGATTTATAACGTCACTCTATTTATAACATCACTTTTGATTTAAATATTGTATATTAATATCAAAATACAGTTAGAATTAATGAATTTAAACAGGTATATCATTTTTTATGTTTTCAATTTATTGATTTTTTAATTTTATATATATAATTATCATTCTAAGTGTATTTTAATATTAATATATTTATAACTATGTATACCCTAGTCACACAGCGGGCAGCACACACCCTATTTCAATCAGTAGATAGGGGCAGAACACACCCTATTTCCGTCAGTAGGTAGCGGCAGCACACCCTATTTCAGTTAGTAAAGAGGGGCAGCATACACCCTATTTCAGTCAGTAGAGAGGGGCAGCACACAACCTATTTCAGTCAGTAGATGGGGCTGCACACACCCTATTTCAGTCAGTAGATGGGGTGGCACACACCCTATTTCAGTCAGTAGATAAGGGCTGCACACACCCTATTTCAGTCAGTAGATAGGGGCGGCACACACCCTATTTCAGTCAGTAGATAGGGGCGGTACACACCCTATTTCAGTCAGTAGATAGGGGCTGCACACACCCTATTTCAGTCAGTAGATATGGGCAGCACACCCCCTATGTCAGTCAGTAGATGGGGCAGCACACCCCCTATGTCAGTCAGTAGATGGGGCAGCACACACCGCCCTATGTCAGTCAGTAGATGGGGCAGCACACACACCCAATGTCAGTCAGTAGAGAGGGGCTGCACACCCCCTATGTCAGTCAGTAGATGGGGCTGCACACACCCTATGTCAGTCAGTAGATGGGGCAGCACACACCGCCCTATGTCAGTCAGTAGATGGGGCAGCACACACACCCAATGTCAGTCAGTAGAGAGGGGCTGCACACCCCCTATGTCAGTCAGTAGATGGGGCTGCACACCCCCTATGTCAGTCAGTAGATAGGGCTGCACACACCCTATGTCAGTCAGTAGACGGGGCAGCACACACCCTATGTCAGTCAGTAGATGGGGCAGCACACACCCTATTTCAGTCAGTAGATGGGGCAGCACACACCCTATTTCAGTCAGTAGATGGGGCAGCACACCCCCTATGTCAGTCAGTAGATGGGGCTGCACACCCCCTATGTCAGTCAGTAGATGGGGCTGCACACCCCCTATGTCAGTCAGTAGATGGGGCTGCACACCCCCTATGTCAGTCAGTAGATGGGGCTGCACACCCCCTATGTCAGTCAGTAGATGGGGCTGCACACCCCCTATGTCAGTCAGTAGATGGGGCTGCACACCCCCTATGTCAGTCAGTAGGTGTGTCTCTCTCGCTTATTGCCAGCAGGGGGCAGCCATGTTTCTGCTCTCAGTCAGTCATGTCTGACAGTGAGGAGGTAGAGCAGCCCAGCTGTGCCCGCTTTCGAGTGATCCCCCAGGCCGTTACCGGGCCGGACAGCACCCCTCTGGCTGGTCGCGATGTGCCCCGGCAGTCCTCCCGCGCTCCCCCCGGCCTGCTGGCCCTGCCCCCCGGTCTCCCCCTCCGGTTTGACAAGAACATCAAGCAGGCTTTCTATAACACTGGGGCGCTGCTGTTCGCCGCCGGGTGCTGCGGGGCCGCCGTGCTGGTCTACTTCATCCTGGAAGCCTTCCTCAGGCCGCTGCTGTGGGCAGCTCTGTGCGGCACCTTCCTGCATCCCTTTAAGACCTCGCTGACAGGCCTGGGCCGCCGCTGGCTGAGCCGCTTACAGCGCCAGGGCTCTCCCATCGTGCTGGCCACCATGCTGCTGCCGGTCAGCTTCGCCAATCACTGCCTGGAAGCCACCGGGGAGTTTGTAGCCCGCAGGCTGCGCTTACTGGTCCCCGTCCTGGCCGGGTTCCCCGCCATTTACTGTCTGTACCTGGCAGGGAGCTACCTGGGGGTGAGGGAGCTGCTGGCACAGCTGTGCTGTATGATCTGTGGGGCCCTGGAGTACTTCAGCACCCTGTGGGTGAGTAGCGGGCAGCTGGTGTCAGGGGGGGGGGAAGGTTTGGGTTGGTCAGACAAGAGAAGCAGTTTATAAGTGTGATGGGAGTGGTAGTTCTATAACAGGTGGGAATCTACTTTTTGTCCACCGTTTCCTTAGAGCACTTGTGATTGTTGTTGACTGTCTTGCCCATGAAGTCGAGCTAGCCTCCAGTAGTTTAGCTGGCGGAGAACTGCGAGAAAAGCTGGAATGAGCGAAATGTAAACCTCCCATGCCAGCGTTCTCGGTTAGTTTATACAAGATCTAGTTTATGCTTGTATATTTGGAGTAATAAGCAGTATTGTTTGTAGACTTGTCCTGATTTGTATCTCTATATCGTTGGTAAATTGAACCCTGATTTCCAAAATGTTGGTACAAGTAGTAAAGCTGTGGCTAAAGTTGGATACGTTGTTGTTTGTTGTTTTTTTTTTTTTTTTTTTTTTTGTTCAGCTGTTTACTTTAAATTTTGCAAAGCAGATTTTCAAGCACAACTGACTCGAAAAATTCTCTAAATCAGCTGTAGCTAATAAACCCTGTCTTTAGAAATTCGACTTTCAGTAAAACGCAAATCCCCTGTTCTTTCATATATATATAAGAGCATCTTGCATAGAGATAATCCCAAGTAAATTTCAAATTTTAGGCCAGAATATCTGAATTGGAAAGATTCAAATCAGCAATACTTTCAGTTCTGCTATTTTAGCTGAAATATAAAAATCACTTTTAAAACATTTTGAATTCTCAACAAATCAATCTTGAAATCTGTATGCTCATATCCACTTTGCTGATCAGAGCCAGTGCAAGGGTACTTGCTGCACTAGGTAACAATACATTTTGACACCGGTCATGAATGCAACTACATTCCCTCAGAGGTTTATTCACTAAACTCTGAATTACACTGAAGAGACATTTAGGGAAAGAGGCACACTGAATAGATATTAAAGGGAAACTATCGTGCCAGGAAAACAAACTTGTAATCCTGGCACTATAGCTTCCCCTCCGTCAAGCGCTCCCCTCGTGGTGCTGCAGGGGTTAAAAACCCCTTTTGTCACTTACCTGGATCCAGCACCAATGTCTTTTGTGCTGGCTTGGGTCCGCCTTCGCTCCTCAATGGCCGCATTTGCAGTGGTATTTCCGTGACGTTTGGTTTTGCGTGACACTGGACGGTGCATAGCCACTAGAGGGGTTAACCCTGAACGGTAATTATTGCAGTTTCTTAAAAATTGCAATAATTACCTGTGCATTGTCACTTACACAATCTCACTAATACACACACTCACTGGCATACACACTTACACATTTTAACTCTGTCACTCACTGACCTACAGTGTCACTTGCGCCCTCACTGACCTACAGTGTCACTTGCGCCCTCACTGGCCTACAGTGTCACTTGCGCCCTCACTGGCCTACAGTGTCACTTGCGCCCTCACTGGCCTACAGTGTCACTTGCGCCCTCACTGGCCTACAGTGTCACTTGCGCCCTCACTGGCCTACAGTGTCACTTGCGCCCTCACTGGCCTACAGTGTCACTTGCGCCCTCACTGGCCTACAGTGTCACTTGCGCCCTCACTGGCCTACAGTGTCACTTGCGCTCTCTCTCACTAATACACACACAGTCACTTGCGTGCTGTCACCTAAGAAACACTGTCACTCAAACACAAAGTCACACTTTATTTACACACACTAACACGCTCCCCCATTTACAAACACGCACACAATAAACAATCCCCCTTAACCATGCCATACCTGGGTGCTGTGAAGATTAGAAGAGGTCCAGGCAGCAGGATGTTGCTTTTCTTTCTCCTGTGGGAGAAGGAGAGCCGTGCACTGTGAGCACAGGCTACTTCCTGCTCCCTTCACCGTGCTTCCAGGGTTCACAGGCAGGGGGCAGCAGGGATACCAGGTCATATCCAGGCTCAGTGCTCTGATCGGGTTACAGTAAACCCCACTGCCCGAGCAGATAATCGGCTGCAGAGGAGCCCAGCAGCTGAATGGCTGCCCTGGGGGGTGGCTAAGGACCCGCTTGTCCAGCACGCCAGCCCCAGACAGCTATAGCAAGGCAGCCCACTGGGAAACCTCTCGGTGGGCACCCCCAGAGGCCGGCGCCCCAGGAGAATGCCTTCTTCACCTAATGGTAGCGCCGACCCTGTACCTTGCTCAAATACTTTGCTCAAATACCACTTTGCTGATCAAAACATTCTAAGCACTGTAACTGCTGCAGTGCGCTGATTGGTTTTTGTGCCTGAATCCTGAGCCAGTATATATGGACATATATCACAGAGCAGAGGTGGTCATTGCGGGAAAAGTTTGACTACAGTAAATGGAGCTGAGTCAAGCTCCTCCATTGGTGAAAGAAGGTCGAGCATAGGAAAATACACAAGACAAAGTAGCTCCTACTTTTAATGAAAACTAGCTCAGATAGGAAGAAAATAACATATTCTGAATGCAGAAGAGGAAGCAGATGGGGAAAGGTTAGTTCAGAATGACAGTGCCGCTTTAAGAGGTTTCAATGCAGATTACAAAAATATTCTGCCTTTAAAAGGTGCATTTTGAATATAAAATCCATAAATATAAATGTAGACAATGTATTTTTGGTGTTAGGAGTGCCTACCCCTCCCCTCTCCTTCCCCCTCCCCCTTTTAAGTAGTCAAATCATTTTAAAACGGTTTGGGGTTTGCCAGGTTCTTCCACTACAGCATAAGAGAGCAGGAAGCTTTCTGATCAGCTGACTCTTAGCTCAGGAGAGGACTCCCGGTAAGAAGGGAAACTGTTCTAAATAGGTTTGATTACCTCCAATGGGAGAGGGAGTTGCCATGGCACTCCTGGTACCATAGCCTCTATAAAGCCTGCTATAAACTTCCTCCTATGCTCTTTGTCCCCTCCTCTGTGCCTACTCTGCTTTAGCTTGCTCCATGTAGCGTAGGCGGACCGTGGCAGGAGCTTCCCTACCTCATCTGCAAGGAAGCCGTTCTGTGAGCACATCATGCACATCCTGTAAGACTGGGTAGGGGAACTCAAGCTCCTCTCCTGCAGTCTGCCTGCTCGGCGGCGCTACATCAAGTGACTGGCAGGGAGACCTGTGCAATGACCTCCCCTTCTTGTCTGCGATACAATCCAATTGTCACCGACACCCTGTATCACGCCACACCGATCGGAAAGCTGTGATCTATACACTCAAACTGCTTCAATAAGCAAAAATTATTTGGGTGAATATAGTGTTCATTTAAGCTTGTCAATTCCTTTGTTGTCACCAGTGCTCTTTCTATGGAGGATCCCGCGGTTTCTTAGGATTCTCCATAAACCTCAATGATGTACTCTTGTGCATGTGGAGGAGCAAGCTGGTGGTGCCTGCGAGGAACTGGTTCAGGTATATAAAATATTTCATTTAAAGGACCACTATAGTGCCCTGAGGGTGCCCCCACCCTCAGGGTCCCCCTCCCGCCCGGCTCTGGGGAGAGGAAAGGGGTTAAAACTTACCTTTCTCCAGCGCCGGGCGGGGAGCTCTCCGCCTCCGATCCTCCTCCTCTCCTCCCTTTCGGCTGAATGCGCACGCGCAGCAAGAGCTGCGTGCGCATTCAGCCGGTCTCATAGGAAAGCATTTATAATGCTTTCCTATGGACGCTTGCGTGTAGTGAGAAGCACACAAGCGCCTCTAGCGGCTGTCAATGAGACAGCCACTAGAGGATTTGAGAGCTGGATTAACCCCATTATAAACATAGCAGTTTCTCTGAAACTGCTATGTTTATAAAAAAAAAAAAAAAAAATGGGTTAACCCTAGCTGGACCTGGCACCCAGACCACTTCATTAAGCTGAAGTGGTCTGGGTGCTTATAGTGGTCCTTTAAAGGAACACTCCAGTGCAAAACATTGCAAATCACTGTTCACTACGGGGGGGTGGTGGGGTACATCTTAAAATTGCAGAAGCTGTTTCTTCACAGGGATAAAACTTCTCATTGAGAAGCCTCTAAATTGGTGTGCTCATCTGTGCACGCACATCTTATATAAGGTATGGAGGAGCTAAGAGAGCTGATCTGATGTCTGTGTGGGAGGAAGCAGGTGCATTCAAGTACAATGTTACATAGCTGAAAAGAGACTTGCATCCATCAGCCTTCTTCACATTTGGTTTTTGCTGTTGATCCAAAAGAAGTAAAAAAAAAAAAAAAAAACAGTTTTGAAGCACTTCCAATTTTGCAAAAAACTAGGAAAGAATTCCTTCTTGACCCCAGAATGGCAGTCAGATTAATCTCTGCACTTGTTTAGTGCCATAATATTCTTCTTTAGAACAGGTGCCCAAAATTGCAGAGCATATTTAGTATGTGGTCTTAACAGTGATATATAAAGAGGCAAAATGATATTCCCATCCCAAGAATGAATGCCCTTTTTCATGCATGACAATACCTTACTGCTGATTGACATTGCACATTGTTGCATAGTTTGTCTATAACAATTCCCAAGTACTCTTCGTGTGTTGTTATCCCTAATTCGCTTCCATTAAGGGTATACGTTGCTTGTGCATTCTTTATGCCGAAGTGCATAACTTAGCATTTTTCAAAGTAATATCTTGCTCACATTGTATTACTTTACAGAGTTTAGTGTCATCTGCAAACACTGAAACATGACTTTCAATGCTTTTTTTTTTTTTTTTTTTTTTTTTTTTCAAAGATCATTTATAAACATGTTAAATAGGAGTCCCAGAACAGAGCCCTGAGGGACACCATTTGCCACCTCTGAAAATGTACCATTAATGACGACTCTTTGTACTCCATTTTTAAGCCAATGTTCTAATCAAGAACCTATTGTGTGGCACTGTATCAAATGCCTTTGGCAAAATCCAAATAGATCACATCCACTGCAACACCCTGATCTATACTTCTACTTACTTCTTCGTAGAATGCAATTAGGTTAGTTTGGCATGACCTGTTTTTCATAAAACCATGCTGACCTTTGCTGATAACCATATTCTTCTCAAGAAATTCTTGAATATTATCCCTAATAACCTTTCAAATACTTTTCCAGCCACAGATGTTAAGGTCTATAATTTCCAGGCAAGGATTTTGAATATAGGAACCACATCTGCCTTCCTCCAATCTTCTGGAACACTTCCTGAAGGAAAAGAATATTGAAAGATTAAAAACCACTTATTTCTACAGTTGGTTCCTTAAGTATTTGTTGATGAATACCGTCAGGCCCTGGAGCTTTGTTTATATTAACTTTCTTTAGTTGATGCAGCAACTTGTCTTGAGTTAACCAATTAAAATTTTTCTGTAAGTTTTTAGCTGCACTCATTTTCGCTTTCATTGGTTTAGGGGATCTTACGGAAGGAGTCTGAAAACCTCCTTGGCTCTTTGATAGCCATGGGATGTTCCATAATTGATTTTATAAAAATGCTGATTTCTAGAATTTTTTTAATTTTATTATAAACTGGGCTTAAAATAGGAACCCCCTCACCCATGAGGAACTCTGAAATGCTTTTGTGGTGTGGAGCGGTTCTTTAAATGTATAATAAAGTGTTCTTTTATTTTTATTTTTTGTGGTTTTTGTTTTATTATTATTCCCTCCCCCATTTTCATCAAAATCCATTTAATTTCCGGTACAGCTGGGGTACACATTGAAAGGGGAAGAAACCAAAACAGTGGGAGATATGTATAAAAAGTATATGTTTAGACAGGCAGAGCAAACATGAGGACAGGGACACAATCCCTAGTGCAGTGTGCCAACTGTACCCCTGGTTTCCAAGTATACTGCCCTATTTTTAGTACTTTAGACCACATTTCCGTACACAATTTTAACCGCTTACCCCAATTGGTTCTTCTTCTCCCTATGTTCTTTCTTTGCTGATTGACCGGTTCAAAGAGCAGGGAAATAAGAATGCTTGATAGGGAACCACATTTTAAATACATTAAAATTTTTATTTTTCAGATCTCATAAACACACTTTTATTACATATATGGGATTAGTAAACCTAATAATCAAGTCCTGTAATGTATTTTGTCACAATTTATCAAGGTATGTAAGTAATTCAAATTGCTGCTTAGGTTAGAGGTTTGATGGTTTGTTCATCTATACATTTCTTAACGGTACATGCATCACTTGACAATTATTTTTTAAACCAGCACGCAAACACTTTTTTTTTTTAAACAAATATAAAAACCATTAAAAAAAGCCCCCCAAAACACCTGAAATGTATATAATAAACATAAATTTAGTAAGATTGCATTGTTGGACACAACTCAGCTTGGGGAATTTCTGCAGCCTGCATGCCTCTCCTTCCCAATTTCAGACCGGTCAACTAATGACAGAACCAGTGCATCATTGTACAGCAGCAGGAGATAAACCAGGCACAGAAGCCTGCTCTGCAGGAATGACTCTGATCAGACACCCTCTCTTCTTCCCCCTGTCAGGATGTGGCAAGGTAAAGATATCTTCCAACTGCACATGTGTAAATCTGTCAGTCAGTGCCCTGACATTATTTTTAGGAATATCACACTGGTTAGATCATTGTACCTCCTGTAGTAGGTGTGGAATGCAAAAGAAAGAAGGATCAGTCAAAGTGAGGCAACTGTGTGTGTGTATGTGTGTATGTATATATGTATGTGTGTGTGTATATGTATGTATATATATATGTATGTATATATATATATATATATATATATATATATATATATATATATATATATATATATATATATATATATATATATATATATATATAATTTTTTTTATTTTATTTTTTTTATATATAACAGATAAAGCTTTTGAATGACTGTCTCAAAGTGATGCATGTCCCTTTAACTTAGATATGAATGATTAGGCATTTTCCCAGAGAATGAAATAGTGCTGTGTTACAGAAATCTGATCTGCATATTTGGAATGGTGTAAGGTCGTTGAGTTTGGTGTGTTTTTTTTTTCTTCTTCTTCTTCTTCTCTACAGCAAGTCTGAGGTAAAGCGTCAAAAAAAATTAGAAACCATGAGGGTTATGTATAAGTGTTTTCTGGAAAAAAATGTTGTAATGTATTAAAAGTGGACAATCACCATGGAAACAAATGAAACCAGCAAGCTCATTCCATTGGTGACTTCACACATTTTACATCTTTAGACCACTTTTTAGAACATTACACAATTATACACAACTACCTACTTGTGTGATAATTGAAACTCACTGTAACTTTTGAGGATTATTTACTAAATCCCAAATTGTAGTAGATGAAAACAGATTGGCCAAATTTAGATTTAAATGGCTGATAACGAATGTCTTTAAATAAAATCAGATCTTAGCTAAATTTTAGCCTTAAATTTTGCTATAACTTTCACATTTCTTTTTTTTTTTTTTTTTTTTTTTACAGCAATGTTTAGTGAAGTAATCCAATCTGTTTATTGCTTGTTAAATGTCGGTCCAATATAAAATAACTTTAATATGTGCATATAACTTGCTGATTATTTGGATCATTGTGGTACTCTGAATTTCTGTTCAGAAAGGTTAACAAACCATTGTCTGGAAATCTAACAATGTGGAATTCTCCACCGTGGCCCTGGATAGATGTGTATAATGTTGCCATATCTCCTCTGATGTGCAGTTTTTCTAAACTAAAAAGATTTAAGTTAATCCTTCTTGACCCTAGAATGGCAGTAACAGGGGTTTGCCTTCTATTTGATAAACAGCAAAAACCATATGTGAGGAAGGTGGAACTTGACGGACATGTCTCTTTCAGCCTATGTAACTATCAAAATCAGTCCCATGAAGTGACTTTTAACAATGGTTTAGTTTCTGAGAAGTTTAGTTTCCAATCCACAAGTCTTTTAATATATATATATTCGGTGGTTGAAATCTTTCCCTGTAGTCTCGCTGCATGCAACTTCACATTGTAAATTTCATAATTCTTGCAGTGTGTGCATTGTTTTGTATGATGCAGAGTAGCTTCTGTGCAGCTCTCTTGCTTAAGTAGCAAAAGCCTTCTTGTACTGTATACCTAGCTTCACCATTTCCTCTAAACCTCAAGAACCAGGTTAAGGTTAAACCAATGGGGGATGTGTGTTTTTTTTTTCTCTCATAAGCACACCTTGTGGGGATATTTATGGGATAATAATAGTAACAGTGAGAATTGCCCACTAATACAATTCTCAGATCCCAAAGAACGTTTATCGTGTTAAGTGGAAAGTATTTCATATAAATAATCACAATGTATAAAAATAGATTTTATTTATGATAACCAATAATTAACAAATAATATTATGTAACATGCATGACAATAATCAATGAATATCCAGTATAAAATTATATGCAATACAAAGGAATGGGTATTACGTTTCAATGGCTAACTAGCATTTTCTGTCAAGAATTCTGACGATTTATGACTAGCTTCCACAGACTGAAAGTGACACTTTTCAGTGCGAAGAACAGAATTCCTCAGAGTACAGCGTAAGGTCGTAAAGTTTAGCAGACAGTTAGAATAACCCTTTCAATGCTGGCTAGATCTCCTAGGTAGTTAAGATCTATTCTTATGTAATTTTTAAATAAAATAACATTTAAACCAGTTTAAATTCATTTTCTTAAATCATCCAATAAGAGAATCTACATATTATATAAGCAGATTTTAATTTGTCTAAAAGATATCTATCTTAATTTAGAGCAAATCAATACACCTGGATAAAAACAGCGGTATGCTAACACGTGATAATATCACATCAATATATAATTATTCTTAATTCCACCTGCAGAATGGAATGTTTATAACTATATATTCTTAGTTAACTAAGATTTCTTAATATGGAAATCTGACCGTGCTTTATCCAGTCATATATAATGCTATTAATATTTTAATTTTTAATTAATTAAATGAAACCAGTATAATTACCAGTTGAGTAGATATTTCATCCGATTGGTAGTCTCTCTGCATGGAGGTGTTGGTTAGAAAGTCAGTAAATTCTAAGTGTTAGAGTTTTAGGAGTAGAGTGTTAGTCTCAGATGTTGTCCGAGTTGGAATCCCCAAACTTCCAATTCCTCTCTCCTCTCCTTTGCATATCTTGCATCTGCCTCCTCTCTCGTATCTCCCTATCTTCCCTTTGTCTTAACTTTTAAAGGGCCAGACTCTCTGTACGTCATCAGTTGATAACCCAATAGAAGCACTAGAGGTGTGGTTATCTTCCAGATCGCAAATTAGTTATTTGGTCTGTAGAGGGCAGTCTTGTCCCACTAAACATACCTATCCAGGAAAGAGTTAACTTTTCCTGGTGGCTATTTTGACGTCATTTTGGCCTATCTAGATAGTGGCTATAACTTACGTATCCTTCAAAGATCAAAGGGGTTCTTAAATTTTGTCCAGACTATGTGTCTGCAAATCTGCTATAATTTCTGATATGACAGATCATGAACTAAGTTTACCCTTTTCCATACAATGGTACCTTATATGTATAGACAGTTAAATATTAAATTTAATCTTCTCTGTCACAATTGTCTGGGTTTAGGTTTGATTATATTCCATTAGCATTAGACAGTCTGTCCAACCCCCTTCCTTATCACTTGGCTTGTATATACTATGCATTCCTCAGCTCTGGGAAAGTGGTTAGCTTACAGATAGAAATATAGTGTCTTTCTGTTAACTTGAAATAACAAAATGGAGTCTGGTCTGTTCAGAGTGACTCAGAATATACACTTTTAGTTTCTATCATAGCACAAAATGTCTGCCAATATAAATACTCTGACAACCTCTCACATTGCTTAATAAACCAAACAGACATGTTTTAATTTTAAATATGTACGTATTTATTGGATGTTATTCCAGCTTCCTTTTTATGTTCTAAATAAATGTAGTAGAATAAATGTTACATTTGTTTGTTTTATTCTGAGCGTTAAAGTAGCAGTGTCACTTTTTAAAGTATGTATACTGTGTAGGAATTCCAATAAATTTCAACTCCATCAGACCATACACAAGACAAAATTAAGAACACTTTTCATTATACACAAGACATATTTTGCAAAAGGTGGAACTTCATAGAGCTTATGCCTGGGTATCTTCATTGCGAGATCTAGATTGTGCTTCTTTCTGACTCTTAACATATAGTCCTCATTTGCAAGGACTTATGGTATGTTCTTCACATACATTAGTAGATCCATGTAGATACCATACGCTTGCTGGAACCTATATATCTCCATCTTGTAGTAATTGGTCATGCTTAAGTTTACTATTGATGTGGTTTCGTCTTCCAGGAGCTGAAAAGAAGATTGTCACAACAACCAAGAAGAGCTTCAAGCATGTAAATGTGCCACAATGCAGGCATGCTACCTTGGTGGATCTTTGCAAACAAATACAAAGACACCACAAGTGACTTTACCACTTAAATAAACAAAACAGGCACATTTCATAAATAAGTATTTGGTTATGGGAAGTTATTCAATTTCCTTCACCTGTTCAATCACTGTCAGCAAGTGCGTGTAAACCAATTTAACCAGCAGGGCTTCATAAACATGGGGTCAATGAAGGTGCATATGTCACTTTGGATACCATGCTCAAGCATGCATACATTTATACGGCATTATCAGACCAGATGTTTGAGTGCCATTGGAGCTTCATGAAGTAATCAACGATGTGCAAATTAGGTGTGTTTGCATATTTACCTGCTGGGGGTTTGAAATTGACAAACTGTCTCAATTGGTTAAGTGATCGTTCTGCTTTAATAGAGTATAATAATGATCAAAATGTTTACAAGCATGGGACTTGTATTCATAAATACTTTCTTTATTCTTTGTACACTAATATGGTGTAGAAGTTAGCAGGTCAACCTTTGCTCTCCCAAATTTCATAGGTCTGTTGATCTAGTATTGGTTTGTTCTCCCTTTTTTTTTTTTCTTCAGAGGCCAGGATAGCTTAAATGTTAACTTGTTAAATGATGTTTGATTTAGAAAGCTAACATCCACTAGGATGGCATGGGATAGTTTGTATAAAACAAAGCAGCCTGCCCCCTTGTGTGCACTTACCTGCAGGCTCCTACTATGACTGGTGTAAGATGTGAATTCATTTTATGCTCTTTCCTTTGTTTTCCCCTAAGTTTTTATTAATTTAACTGTAATTTTAACAAGAAGAGGGACAGACAACAAACACAAAAGAGTGTGTAAGTAAAACTTGTTGCTGCAGTAAAGTTGAAAGAATAATGGTAAAATAGAGGAATGGCAAACTGTGGAAGAAACACCTGTGAGAAGAGGGGGAAAAAAAAGATGAATAAATGAAAAATTAGAATCAGACTCTCCAAAGTAAAGCGGAAAGCCATTTGTCATTAACAGATGGCTGTTCATCAACCAGTTCCCCACCCATTTGCCTCTATTGCGCTCAACATTTCACTAGGTTTCTGGGCACTACAGACTGCAAAGCACTTTAGCCAGGGGTCTTGAGTTTATAGAAAGAGCCAGAGATGTTATGAAAGATAGCAGTAATTTTTTTTTTTTTTTGTCTGCTGGGTGTCCCTTGTGTTGATTGGCCATGTCCATTCTTAAATTGGCACAAATGTGCCACATCAGCTTATTAGGTTAGCTGAATGGACTAGATGTCTGGGTTCAAAGGCCTGTACTAGTTGGGTAAAATTACAACTCTGCCATGTGGATGCAGGTCCCCTAATAAAATTACATTCTTGGTAATTCTTCTGAAATTATTCTTGCATCTTGTTGGAGTGGCCACCACTATTGAAGTGTTTGCTTGTGTTAGGAGTGCAGTTGTGGTAAGTCAAAAGAGACCCTGGTGCACTTACATGTCCTAGGTGAAGCACACTCTTCAGTTATCTGGTATACTGTGGCTGTGTATGGACAGTCAGATAATGTAAATTTAAAGAAAAAAATAATGCTGAATACAAATCCATCTATCATACTCACAAGGCTACATTTTCACTCGCTAGTTGAAATTTTGAGCCATGTATATAGCACAGCCCACAGCTAACTTTTATTTAGCTATTGGATTGTGGAAAACTACAGAGTTTACATTTTCACTGTATTGTCTGCAAGTAATGCAGGGATCTGTGGGTGGATTAGCATATCCTAAAACAATGCTTTTTATATTTCCTGTGGACACTTTAAAGGACATGTGATGGTATGCATCACAGTAGCATCCACATGAATGTCAGGTTTCCAAGGTTTCCCAGCAAAACCTTGCCCAAAGCACAACACTGCCTCCATCTGTCTGCTTTCTTCCCATAGTGCATACCGCTGCCATCTCTTCCCCAGATAAACCACACACACACAACGGTCAAGTCTTGGTTCCACACGTGCATCAGTGAGCCCTAGGCGCCCATGACCCTGACGCCGGTTATCCTTCCTTGCACTGCTTTTGGTAGGTAATAACCACTACATAATGGGAACACGCCACAAGACTTGCCGTTTTGGCGATGATCAGACCCAGTCATCTAGGCCTTTGTCAAAGTCACTCAGATCTTTTCACTTGCCCATTGTTCCTGCTTCCAACACATGAAATTCAAGAACTAACTGTACAGTTACTGCCTTATATATCCCACCTCTTGACAGGTGCCATTGTAACAACATAATCTTTATTCGTTTCACCTGTCTCTGGTTTTAATGTTGTGGCTGATTACTGTATCTGTACTTTATTTCAGCTGGAGGATGGATCTAGCCTCCTGTTGCCATAATGAAGCATGAGTCTGTATTAAACTCCGTGGTCCTTTTGTTTTAATGAAGCTCTATGTATATCCCTGGAGTTTCTCCATCCTGAATCTGGATGTAAAACCCCAAATCTCATAATTTTGCATTCTATCCCTGCATCTTCAAAAAAAGATTTCCACAGAAACCATACTCACTCAAGGACGACACACAAGTTGCTTTTTGAGGTTGGCACTACCTACATTATCATTTAGAAATGGCAAGGAAGATCTTGGCAAAGAAGATCTCAGTGTCACACAGCTTTAATGGAACATTATATACAATAAAAGAACCAGCATGTTTCTACCTCAAACTTGACAAAGACCTCTGTGTGAGGTCAAAACAATGCTGTTTTTGTTTTGTTTTTAAATCTACGTGTCTAATGGACTAAAGTGGCAGTCCAGCCTACTTCTCCGTCATGCTTGTTCTATCACAAAATAAATTTAAATTAGCTGTTCGATTCATTTGGGGACCCTGCTTAGACCTGAACATTGAAAAAACTCTGGCTTCCGTTTTACCAATCAGATTTAATTTGCAAAAATTGAGAGTTCCTGCCTCATAGTGTTTGTGGTGGCTAGGTAATGTGTGTGTTTATTTGTGAGTGAGTTGTGTGCTGGCTGTGTACAAAATGGGGATTTGTTTCCTGTATATAGGTGTGTGGTATGTTGCTGAGGCACTGATGCAGCAGGCCTGCTGCCTGTCTGTGGCAATGCTAAAGAACAAAAATAAACTGCCTGCCCAGGCATCAGGCAGTATAAATTTCAAGTCCCTACCAAATCTCTGCTGCTTGATTTGTAATTTATTTATATTTCTTCCTAAAGTTTATAGTAACAATGTTTTTCAAAAGTCTACTGAGGGCCTGTTATTATAGTAAAAAGGAGGTGGCCTCTTGGAAATACTTTATACTGACCAACAAATATTGCTGGTTAAAAGAAATTTGCAAGATAGTCTCATTTACTCCAAGGCAAGAAGGGATGTGGATACTTTACTTTCAGTAAACCTTTTGTTATGGTCTTGCACACAGACTTATGGAACAATTCTAGTTGGGAAAATTCAAATAGCTGCAGTCAAATCTTTTAAAATGTGAAGGTGTATCGTATTATTGTGGTTATGGTGCAAAGGCTCTACGAGTGCAGTCCTTCTGGGTTTTTGCCAGACATTTTTCAATAAAATTTGACCAAATACAATGTGTAATAGCACTCAGAGCCCACACCCCACCTTCCTCATTATATGTCCAAAATATCTGTGCAGGTAAGCAGACTTTGACTGCAATAAATCTCTGTTAAACCCTTCAGCATCCATGAATTAACTCAGGCTTCTGTATTACAGGGAATTTGTGTTCTTTTTGTGTGGGCAAAAGATAATCACAATTGTTCACATCAGTAGTTGCAATTGGCTAGTTTTTCCCCCAGAATTATTGGGAGTATATAACTTAAGCAAAATGGGACAGAGGACAATGCATGTTCACTTGAAATCATTCCCTATGTAGATATGATGAGGCTACGAATGACAAGAGATGTGGGTAGGATTTGGACAGAATGAGGGGAAAGGTTAAAGACCTTACTTATGGCTTACGTTTTGTTCTAGATTTGGACATTGGTAATAGGCTACGCTCTAGCAGTGTCATTCAAGTGGAATCCAGGAACCCAGCGTTATCTCACAGCAATATCAATACCTGTCTGGCTCATACTGCTTTTTCATTTAGGTAAGCACCATTTATGCTCTATCAATATTTTATTTTTAACTTTTCCCATAATTTATTTGGATGTTTCATAACAAACAATATACAACTAACCTATACAAAACTTATGTCAAGGCACCATTTTGTCCAGTGTCAATGCCTGCATACCCTGCTCATTGCCACTCGAGTTGTTCTCCTTCACCATAGAGCTATGTTGTGAATACACACACAGAGCACTGTTTTTTCTCTGCTCAGAGTGCTTACATTACTCTGGTTAACTAACTGAAAAATTAAGTGTTGTGAAAATTACAAAATTAAACAGGTAAGTTTCCAGGCGTACTTTCCTAGCACTGTGACCTTTACAGTAATCTATAAAAGTTATGGCATTTGGAGTGTCCATTTAACATTTAGTTTCACAATAAAGTAGACTTGAAAGGAACAGCAATATATTCTGGTTGAAAAATATGGGGAGGAAGTATGTGATAGAGCAGGTGTAGGCAACCTCCAAATGTTGTGGACTAGATCTCACATGATGGTCTTCTAGCCATAATCTTTTCAAAGCACCATGGGATATGTAGTCCAGTGATGATATTTGCGGGGTAATCAATATTACAAATAATATATTATTAAATTAAGTTGTGAAACATTTTTTATATTTTTTTTATTAAAATACAAAAAAATTACATTTTGACATTGTTTCTCTTCAGTTGATTTAAAGCTGAGATTTACCCACTATTTTAACTCTTACAGACCCTGGAGTACATTTATTAGAGGACTTGTATTCCACACATTAATCACAACCGATTATAAAAACATAATTTATTGTGACAATAATGAATAATATGTAACATGCATGACAATAATCATTGAATATTTAGGTATAACAATAGTATAAACATGGCAACAATTATGGCACAGTAAGTACAACTAAAGATAATTTCTAAATCGCTTAAGGATGATGAGATTGTTGTTCTACATAGAAATTATCAATAGATCAGGATACTTAGCAAGTAGTAGTACAGGTTTTCAAGATATATGAATATCAGCTTATTAGCAACATAAAGTTAGATTAATTTCTAAAGGAGTTACAGACAAAAGTTACAATGCTTATTCTAGAATTTAATTAAGTTATTTAAACATAGATGCATACTTCAACAATGTTACAGGAAACCTTCAGAATGCTACTTTAGAATTCCTTTACACCCAGAATGTAACACAGAGCTTGCAACTTAAAGTCGTAAAAACTAGATACTGACAGGCAGAATCACACAGAGAATCAACTCACTAACTGCTGGCTACAATTCTTACATACTAAACACTTAAACTTTGCAAATTAAAATATACAGTGTTTCTCACTCAATAGTCAGCTTAAGTATTTTCTTTTCCATCCAGTAACCAGAAGAACATATCTAACATAGCTTAAATGCTGCAGATAAATAACTTTTGTGATTAAAGATTGACTATCTCTAAATTCAGATAGCTCAATATATCTGGGTAATAGCTTGATATGCTAAACTTGGCAATTTACTTGCGATTTTATATGATTCTCTTTCAGCTGCTGAATGAATGTTGAATGATATAAAATCCCTCGGCTAAATATGATTTCAAAAGTTTGAAATCTTATCAGCATTATCCAGATATATGTCTGCTTTTAGTAAAATTAATTAAATGACATCAGCATATTTACCCGCTTGCTTGGTAGAAAATTCTTTAGGCTTAAAGATCTAATCCCATGAATGGTGAATGTGAGTAGTGTTTAGATCAGTGGTAGTCAACCTTTTTCTACCTACTGCCCACTAATGCATCTTTCTTGATGGAAACGTTTCCTTACTGCCCACCAGTTTTCACGCAAGTGCAGACTATTTTTTAGAAAGGAGGGTGTTTTAAAAAATAAATAAATAAATGTATGTACATTTTATCTTTTTATTTCTACTTTATGCATGTTTAATGTTTTTAACTTTATAAAGTTTAATGAGAAAGCAATAAAGTAAATTGAAATTACATTTACTAGTGATTAATGAGAGCCTTGAGGTTGATGCTGCGAGACTGAATATTTGATATCTGGTTCGATTTTCGTAAGGAACAAACAAAGGTCTACTCTTTCGGTGATATTCAGACGATTTCTCTGTTTGCTCATAATGATTTCTCATCTGTGCATCAGCTCCCCTCCTCTCCCTCCTCAATTCCCCATCCCACCTTTTTTTCTATTTTTTTTTAACCTTCTTTATAGAAATGCCCAGTAGGAAGGCTGAGCTAGGTAGCCCACTTACTATTATTAGCTAACAACAATTCTCTCCTTTTCTTTCTTTCTCCTTTTTTACAAGTACTCTACTCCTTCTTTCTCCTATTCTACAAGTACTCTGCACCTTCTTTCTCCTTTTTACAAATACTCTGTTCCTTCTCTTTTCTATTCACACACTCCCAAACACTCACACATACACTTACAGACACACACACACTCACAAAGAAACACAGACACTCTCACATACAGATACACATATACTTAGACACACACACACACATATACTTACATACACACATCTACTTACAGACACATACACACATCTACTTACAGACACACACACATACACACAAATTATTAGTATTAAATGTCCACCCAGCCTCCCTACCTAGAGAGCTGGTGTGGATCTGTCCCTGGGGTCCAGTGGGGCTTCACTTCTGCGGGCGGCTGTGTGCTAATCAGACGTGGCGAGGGAGCTATAACCTCTCTGCTCCCTCGCGGGCTGTCTAATGATGCAGGGAGCCGGAATATGACGTCATATTCCGGCTCCCGCGGCATCAGCAAACATCGCACGAGGGAGCATGCCGGGGGGTCCAGAAGGTGGCCTGGCAAGAGGGAGCACTTCCCTCCTGCCGGTCACTGAAAACTTGCGCCCGCCTAAAAGGTGAAATCCTCTCAAAAAGAGCAGCCGAAATCCCTACCGCCCACATGGAATCCTGAAACGCCCACTAGTGGGCGGTAGGGACCAGGTTGACTACCCATGGTTTAGATAGAGAAATCGAGTACAATTATAGAATTGTTCTGTTCTGGCTAGCAAAGAAATTTAACCAATTCCCAGAATTTAGTTGGAAAGACACGCAGCGCATGTGTGGAAAGAGTGTTAGGTGTGTCCAGAGTGTGTTCCTTTGTCTGGTCTGATCTGATGCTTTGATGATCTCCTGAATCTTACATCCCACCTTCTGGATCTGACCTTGGATTTTTAAATTTTTTTTTTTTTTTTTTAACCGTGTCATGTTCTCATTTTTAAAGAATTACCTATCTTGAATTTCTGTACGTCATCAATTTAAAGTGACCAAGTGGGATTGTCTTATAGACATTAATCAGTAGATGGCATTGTTGCATCGCAATACATTTAATTTCTTATTTCAATTACCACTTTTATAAAGGGTTAATTGAATTTTGTGATGCAAATGATGTCACATTGTTTTATCTTTATGGGTACCTCAGCATGGCTGGCTGTCAAACTTCAAAGGGTTCTTTTTGGTAGACCACCAGTCTCCTTTTCATGCCATGAAGTATCTTTTTGACGCATCTGGACTTTAGTTCAACTCACTCTTACAGTAGGGTCTTGTAAAAGTCCAGCTGAATTTGCAAAGTAAAATTAATTACTTGTAGGGAATATCTTTTTGATTCTAATCTGTCTGTTTTTCTCAGTTACACTGTCTTATTGTATGAGCGGAGTATGTATGTATGTATGTATTAATGTAGATACTATTTGTATATAATTGAACACAACGTGTGTGTGTGTGTGTGTGTGTGTGTGTGTGTGTGTGTGTGTGTGTGTGTGTGTGTATATATATATATATATATATATATATATATATATATATATATATATATATATATATATATATATATATATATATATATATATATATATATATATATAATATGCTCCCAATCCCCCTTGTTCCAAATACTTTGGTTTCTTTTTTTTTCTTTTTTTTCTTTTTTATGTATTCCAAGGCAGAACATTACACTGACACCATGATGCATCAAAACATTGTAATATATTGTTACATCATGCATGACAGAATTTTGTCGTATTTTCAATAACAGTAAGCCAACATTCTTTGCACACCTTTATTGCACCATTGTAACATGAAGTGTATGTATCATACAGTACAGCACGGTATCTCTGTCCTCCCTGGTAGATTTTTAATTTACAAGAAAAATATAAAAGAAAAATATAAAAAACCTAAAAAGGCTAAGACTGCCAAACAAACATTTCTTTAATCAATAGAACATGCCCCATCCATTCCCATGTGTTTATGCACAGGCCCTATATATCTTTTTCCGCGAGCTCTATCGAATTACTATCCTTTTGCACCTGTTATCGTCTGTCCACATCCTTTAGCAGTGCCAGTTGTTTACACATTGCATGGCAATGTTAGGTCAATTGTGTAGAATTCTCACAGACAAAAGTAAGAGAGAAGAATAGAAGTAAGAGGGGTAAGTATGAAGGTAGGAAGTGATAGTACAGGGAAAGGGAGAGGTAAGTGGAAGGGGAGCATGGAGGAATCCAGGCCAACTGACATCCACTCCATCCAAGCCTGCCCAAGGGAGTCTCACTTGTGTGTATATCACGCACTTGCTGCGCTAGCTACCCAAGGGCCCCAAATTTGTTCAAACTTTTTCATTGTACCTCGAACCCGGGCTGTTAGGTCATCCGTCAAATAATTATCTTTAATTTTCCGAATCACCGTGGTGATTTCTGGGGCCTCTCTTCGCAACCATACCTGTGCCAAAGCTCTCCTAGCGGCTAGGTTCACCTTATGTAATAGGGTCAGTTCAGATTTCATCCAGTTTTCTATAGATCTAGCTAACAAAAATACCCATGGGTCTAGCTTAACCTCCCTCTCAAATATTTCTTGCAGCAACTGCGCAATTTGTTGCCAATAAACTTTTGTGATCGGGCATTCCCACCACATGTGAATATACGTGCCCTTGAGACCGCACCCCTACCAGCATAAGTCTGTCGTAAATTGATTCATACGGCTTAACTTTACTGGTGTAGCATACCATCGAAATAGCGTCTTATATGATTGTTCCTGTAATGAGACGCACATAGAGGACTGCGTGGCTGCTTCCTATATTTCCTGCCATTCCACTCCCTCCAATGTCTCTCCTAATTCCGCCTCCCATTGGTCTATGTATGTAATACCTCCCCATTCTAAAGTGCTATTGCACAAATGTGAGTATAGACGTGAAATCAGTCCGCTCGGGAACTGTTCCTTTGCGCACATTCTTTCAAAGAATGTCATCTGTGTCTCTGCGGCTTTTTTAACCTGGCGGTCTTGGGCATAGTCTCTAATCTGGAGATATCTAAAAAAGTCAAAGGGTCGCAGAGGCGTTCTAGTTTGCAAATCTTCAAACGTCACAAACGACCCCCCCTCGAACAGCTGTTGTAATCTCTGCAGTCTTGCACGTTCTATGCCTCTGAAATCCCGGGCTGTTATTCCTGGTAGGAATGCTTCGTTCCTCAACAGAGGGGTCAATGGAGAAGGGGATGATATCAAGCCATATTTAGGAGCGGCTGCGTCCCATATCTTCAGTGAATGGAAAAACCGCAGGGCAGGTTACGCTTATGTTCGGTCTATGCTCCTTAGGGGTCCACATAAAAAAACTGGGGCATATCCATCCCTATAAGGGATGCTTCTAGGTCCACCCATCTCCTTTCCTCCGGTGGAGTGTGCCAGCTAGGCTGCCTCATAATAAAAATATAGGTGCGGAAGGCCCAGGCTGCCCCTGTCCCTAGCCCGGTAAAGAATGTTGCGTGAGACCCTATGTTTCTTATTCTGCCATATAAATTTGCCTATGGTTTGTTGGAGCGGTCCCAAGTCAGATCTGGTCACTCTAATCGGGAGCGCCTGAAACAAAAACAATATTCGAGGTAGCACATTAATTTTCACGGAATGGATCCTCCCTATCCAAGAAATTGCCTTTTCTGTCCAGTTCTTCAAGTCTGTCATCAATGTCCTAATCAGCAGGGTATAATTCTGTTGGAATAATTTAGATGGGTCTGCTGTCAGTCGTATGCCTAGATATTTAATGTGATCTCTTGTGATTCTTAATTTGTAGGTCATCCCTATGTAGGTGATATCCATCTCTGACATACCTATGGGCAATATGCTGGACTTGTCCATATTTACCTTATATCCGGCCAGTTCTCCAAATTCAAATACTTTGGTTTCTAACATTTAGTTCTAAGTGTAAGATATGCCTAATCTCTTTGTTTACATTAGCTGCATTCCAATCAGTTTGGTCAGGCAGTGAATGGCTAAGAGAGAGAAATGTGTCTGAGTTTTTACCTTCTGTTACAAATTGAGTCACATCTGCTAAGTACTGACTTTACAGTATACATTTTATTTCATTTACACAATACCTCTGACAGTCCACAACATCTGGAGTGCCAAAGGTTGCCTACCACTGTGATAGAGGGATGAGCATCTCTAATTGAAATAGGTTTGCATTGATCTTCTATTAACAACATAATTAAGATTTTTTTATCATTGGAGTGCATTAACCAAGGCAATTCATCTACATTTTCTTCCATCTTCTAGAATTTGGTTGGGGATTTTCAGGTAATGAATTTGGGGGCCCAAATATGTCTTGGTTGCCTGTCATTATTGTGAAAGTCGCCAAAGCATAGTGCTGGAGCTGGGATCAGAATAATAAACAAAATCTTATATAACTTTGTACTTTAATCACCACATGTGGTGGAGGCAGTAACCGTACTGACAAGTTGATGACAGCTGTCTGTTTACAGTATATAGCCCTCAATGAAGTAGCCTGGGTTCAGTGGTCCTTTTTGTTTTAAACTGTTTTAGTAGAAACAACATTGTTTACATTGCAGTGTTAAATTCTCCCCTGGTGGCTGTCTAGGTGTTAAACAATTTGAATTCCCCTCCAGCTAACCGTAATGGCTTCATTGAGAGTGGCAGAATAAGGAACAAAAAATCAAAGTAGGGAGGGCTGCAGGTGAGTAGTCTCCTGAGCTTATAAGAAAATAGGAAAGACGATGTGGGAGAATCAAGGAAGGGGGTGCTAATCTTGTATGCACATGACTACTTAAAAGGTTACGCCAAGCTTCTTCGGTAAATTAAAGTGGTCTTGGTGCTTGGAGTCTTTATGTGCTGTGTTTCACTTTGAAATGCTGCACATACAGAGATTAACTACTTGACTGCCAGAGGTGTAACTTCAACAAAGATCTGGGCTGTCTGATGCCAGCATGCTGTCTTTCCATGGAGCCCCTTGTCCTAACCCTTAGTTCATTCTCCCTGATCTGCCTCCGGCGTGGGACAGTGATGTCAGTCAAGAAGGGTTGGACTAAGGGAGAACCTGAACTTGGCAATGCAACTGAGATAAGTTTGACAGGGTTAGTTACTAAAGTGAGAATTCAGAGTGAATTCAAAGTAAATGTAACATTTAAGGCCTAAGTAGCTGAATGGAAGACATAGATTACAAAGACTTTTTCTTTTTTTCTTCAAGTTTGGCTGTTTTCACATTAAATTTGAATTTACTTTAAATTCAGCTTGCATTCTCACTTTTGTGAATAACCCTGTTCGTTTTTCTTTCAATATTTATTTTTGTAAACTTGGGGGGATGGGGGGGGGGGGACTACAATCTTTTTTGAAAACTCTGCTCTTTGGTTAGGGTAACCCTTTAAAGGACCACTATAGTGCCAGGAAAACTATAGTGCCCTGAGGGTGCCCCCACCCTCAGGGTCCCCCTCCCGCCGGGCTCTGGGGAGAGGAAAGGGTTAAAAAAGCTCTCCGATCCTCCTCCGATCCTCCCTTTCGGCTGAATGCGCACGTGCGGCAAGAGCTGCGCGCGCATTCAGCCGGTCTCATAGGAAAGCATTTCACAGTGAGAATCACGCAAGTGCCTCTAGCGGCTGTCAGTGAAACAGCCAATAGAGGATTTGGAGGCTGGATTAACCCTATTATAAACATAGCCGTTTCTCTGAAACTGCTATGTTTATAAAAAAAAAAAAAGGGGTTAACCCTAGCTGGACCTGGCACCCAGACCACTTCATTAAGCTGAAGTGGTCTGGGTGCCCAGAGTGGTCCTTTAATTAAGAGGAACAATTATCAAAATAGCAGAACATGTAGAAAGTTAGTGTAGAATTGGAGTGAGGCCTCAGTCTTCAAATGTGCAAAGCCAAGATTGTTTGAGGCAGCTTTTAAATTTTTGACTAAATTAATTTAGCATGTTACATCATTATGACATAATGGTTTTTACGTGATTTTTTTTTTTTTTTTTTTTTTTAAGCAAAATCAAATGTTTGCCATGTTTGTTTTTTTCTCATTGAGTATATAATGTGTGCATGTATTTAATACAAATCTATAATCTCACTTTATCTGTTTCAGCATCAGTTGCTGGCTCCTGGAAGATTCCAGTGTTCCTGATGATTGTATTTCTTATGACAGTTGGTACATTTCAAGAGAAAAGACATGTGCAAGGATCAACAGGTACAAGTTAGTTTGTCTATTAATCTATTAGAGGCAAATAGTGACATTCTCAGTGATAAATAAGAACTTTTCTTCTGGTTGTGCAGATATATGGCAGTCTTTAAGGTATATTTTAAAAAAGTGCCTTGGAGATTGTGATTAACCCCTTAAGGACCAAACTTCTGGAATAAAAGGGAATGTCGCTGTTTCTTTTCCCTGCAGTAATTATTATTATTTTTTTTCAATTCTTTATTTTTGGAGTTCATGAAAATTATAACAAGTGGGCTTGTCATGCCCCAACAGCATTGACAAGCATATAACCAGACATTTATTAACAGTTGGTCAGCATGGGGATAAATCAGCACAATTTTTTTTTTTTATAGCAACATTTATCGATTTAGCATTCCTATCTATTCAATGCATACTTGTTGGCATGAGCTTTTCTGGACATGCTGGGTAACAGATTATGGTCTAACAGAGAGTGGGCGCCTACTCCGAAACGGTGTTCTAGTGAGTATGAGATGCCTCTCTGTGTAATTCCAATTGAGGAATTGTAAAATAGAAGGAATAAAACAAGCTTGGGTCATGTAGCTAGTGTTTGCTGAACATATGTTAGTGTCTTGACAACGTGGGAGATTCCTAAGTGAATCAGCCCCTTCGCCATGATGTAGCACATCAGTCACACTACGTATACCGGTACAGTGTACTTCGGAGCGCGATGTATCATGCTGGGTGTTCTCGGTGTGTGGCAAGGCTGGTACAGGCTGTATCACAGGCTAGGTTTGTGCGAGTGCGTGCTAATTGTGTATATACAGCACGGCAAAGCAGTGGGCCTAAGAAGCCACGGTCTCCATCTCCCAACCTATGGCGGTATGTAGCATGAGCATGGGTCAGGCCCGGTGTCCCCAAGACAGGCATAGTAGTGGGTGCATGAGTGCGTGTATGTCCCGCTGAGTTGGTACCTTTCTATGCCAGTTCAATGCCTTGTGTGTGTTTGCAGAGTGACTAATACTTTCTGGTTACAGACAGATCCCGTGTTGGCTAGCTGCTAGCTCGGTGCCCATCCTCCGCTAACATACATATTCACACCGTTTAACTTGTGGGAAATGCTCAAGTCTCTAAGGCCTAGGTGTCAGAGTTCTCCATGGACCTAAACAAAAGCAGGCAGGCATGTTGATTGTAGGGATGTAGACCAGTTGCAGGTGTGTTCGCCGGCTGTCTGCACTTTTTGGCGTGCAAAGTCCTGGTTCAGCCTATGCCCAAGCTCGGTATCAGGCTTAGGGGGTGGTGCGTGGACAGGAGGCAGGTGTCAAGCAGTTCCTTCCCATAGGCCCGGGCATTCGTGAAGGCCTGCACCTTTTGGCTTCGTACCTGGTCACTCGCGTAGGAGGCCGATGTCTTCCCCTGCAGGGTCCAGCTTTGGATCCCAGTTTATGTTCTCCGCCTGCAGCGTCGGGTCTTTAGTGGCGGAGGCTGGTGCTCTGGGAGTGCGTCCCCGGTGGCCTTCAGCCCGGGTGGGCCCATCGCGTGGGGTTGTAGTGGTATCGTGGGAAGAGTGCCCGGGAGGGTCCCGCTCATCTCCTGCTCCTTTTCCAGCCACAGTTTCTCCGTATCCGGTGCTTTAGGCACCTCTCGGTGGACAGTGGGTTTTTTCCAGGGGTTGTTGCACGTCTTTGCTCACACTGGCTCTGTTCTGTTTCCGCTCCAGATTGTACTCGAGGCTGTTGGTAGGCAGCTATCTTGGGGTGCACCCCTCAGTCCGTGACACCCGCGGTTACAGCGGGACAGGTGTTAAAGCGTGGCCGTGTGTGGCGGTGGTCGGCCGTGGGGACCGGGATGACCCCTGCTGGTCCAGGGGGGGGAAGGCAGCAAAGCGCCGGTCAGAGAACTGGGGGAGCGGCCGTCTCGCCCCAGCTCAAGCTTTCCTAGGCCTCAATCGGGTTACATTGATGCCGGTCAATATCCTGAAGGGTATCCCCGTGTTCTCCGCCTGCTAGTGAGTAGTTTGAGCACTGCTTTGGGGTTGTATCTGATTGCGGCTCGCAGTTAGCTCCAATATTCCGGCTTAGATGCAGGAGCTCAGACGATGCACGTCTGATCCGATCGGCGTTCAGGCTCCGCGCCCCCCTGCCGTAATATTTTATTGTTAATTTCAGTTTTTTTTAGTTCTAGATATACTTCAAATATATTTTCCTATTTCCTTTTTAGAAATATGCATCTCACATTTGTGCATTTATTACATCTTTGTTTTTTTCTCTCTTTCCTCTCTTGCTTTTTTAGGGACTGCACTACCTGGTCAAATGATTACTATAGCTGCTTCAACCATTGCTATGGCAATATCAATTACTGGATTTGAAGAACACCAGGAGCAGCTTGCAGGAGTACACAATGCTGGTAATTAATAGCTGCATTGATCTGTAATTGTGAATCCATGCTGGCAAACCGTTAAAATAAAGAAACACCTGCTACACCAACACTATTTTATTTATGCTTTTTGTACATTTCTTGTTCTTATTATTCATTTACACACACTGTGATTATTGAACATTGTGAGTATACATGTTTTGTTAGAGAAGGCTACTTTAGAACCAAGTTTTGGGGAAGGTGGCTAAATTTTCTTATGTATTTCAGTCACTATTGGACCTGCTGCAAATAAGTATATAAAGCAAAGTATGAATTTTTCTTTAATTTGTTTTATTTGATGCATTCCCTCAATAACTATAGCTTAATGTAGTATTTGGCTCACACCGTTTACATGTGCCTTGCTGTCCTCATTTTCTCCTCTCTACTGCTTTCTAGCTCAGTGTTCCATTTTCTATGAAATATATTTGTGGTTCCAAATAGTACAGGGAATGACAAACAAAATGCAGGCAAGGTTAAGAACCAAATGTGAGGTTCTATTTATGTTATTAATTCTCATCATTATTGAGTTTTTGTTGTACACCATAGGGCTGTACAACTTTTGTGCCACGTGCATAGAGAGAAAAAATTGAAAATGTCTTTTTGTTTTGGGAATATTTCTAAGAATCACAGGGCAAAGCCACATGTCTGTGGTACCCATGCAAGAATAAGAGTTTTCAAAAATTATTTGACCCACTAGCACCATGATGATTATTACAGAGCAGTACAGTGGATATGATGCTTTACATTCTCCTTTGAGGAGGTACAAACAGACTCCATATCAAATTGAACAGATTATTTAACCAATGACTGGGGGTGGGGTGGCTATGTACTAAAGAACACATCAACTGAACCATAAATCTTGCTGTTACTAATAACATTTTAAGATACAGCAAGTTACAGACTTACCTGTAAGTAAACATGTTTGACACAAATGTGTTAATCCATTGGTTACCAAGGCACCCTTAATATTTCTATTTTTTTCCAACGCGCCCCAAGTAAAAAAAAATTCTAGGTTGTATACATGTACAGCGCTCTGGCATATACAGGGCCCCTGTAACAATCCAGGCACAATAACCACTACAGCATGCTGTAGTGGTTATGGTGCCAGGAGTGCCGTGGTGCCCTCCTAGAGTAAGTAGTCAAGCTGTTTAAGAACAGTTTGACAATTTACTTGTGGTCTTCCAGGATAGGGGCTGTAGTAGGGGATAGTGGCATTGGTGTGTGACGGGCACAGTGTGTGTACAGGGGTGCATTGTGTTTGTGAAGGATGTAGTATGTGTGTGTGTGTGTGTGTGAGGGGTGCATTGTGTCTGTGTGTGTGTGTGTGTGTGTTAGGGGTAGATTAGTAGAATCATTACCTTCAGGCTTTTTGCTGTAAACACTGTGTGTCTGTGTATGTCTGTCAGTGTGTCTGTGTTTATATCGGTCAGTGTGTGTGTATATATGTCTCAGTGTGTCTGTGTTTATGTATGTCTAACGGTGTGTACCTGTCTATCTGAATGTGTATCAGTTTGTGTATATTTGTATCTGTGTATCTGCATGTGTGTCAGTGTGTATCTTCGTGTTTGTGTATCACAGCGTGTGTGTGTGGCAGTGTATGTGTATATGTGCATACATCTCCGCATTCAAACACCAACAATACACACCTGCATGCAAGCTTCAACACTACATACAAACACACCCCTGCATTCAAATGTCAACACTACATACAAACATACCTCTGAATGAGACACTAAAATTATATATAAACACACCCCTGCATTCAAAAACCAACACTACACATAAATGCATGCTTGCATTCAAACGCAAACACTACATACAAACACATCCGTACATTCACTCAAACATACTCCATACAAACACATGGTTACAGTCAAACACACAAATACTGCTCGTTGCTAAATACAATCCTGCAAGCAAGGGGAATCGGGAGAGCCCCAGCTTTCAAAGCATTGTTGAAGTTTCACGACAGATGGGGATCTATCTTTTAGCCACCCTGTGTACATACACAGACAGTCATACACAGACAGTCATACAGAGACATACAGTCTGTATGTCTCTTATGACTGTGTATGTATTTAAAAGGAATAAACACAGGCAACAGTCCAATAGTAAGGATGGTATATTTATTGATAGGTGAACCACCCCATAGAAAGTGCGACGTTTCGGCTCAGCAAAGCCTTATTGCATGATTAAGGCTCTGCTAAGCCGAAATGTCACACTTTTTATGGGGTAGTTCACCTATCCATACATAGGATGGTATATTTATAGATAGGTGAAGTACCCCATAAAAAGTGTGACATTTCGGCTTAGCAGAGCCTTAATCATGCAATAAGGCTTTGCTGAGCCGAAACGTCGCACTTTCTATGGGGTGGTTCACCCATCAATAAATATACCATCCTTACTATTGGACTGTTGCCTGAGTTTATTCATTTTGAAGACTTTACTGGTGGATCCAGCGATGTCCGCCTGACACAGAGCATCCACCACTGTGAATGGCCGGAGCATTTACACGGTATCGGTGTGCAGGGTTCTTTGTTTGTCTGTGTATGTATGTCTCTATAGGCCTTGTCTGTGTGTCTCTTTATGACTGTCTGCATATGTATGTCTCTGTATCACTGTGTATGTATGTGTCTATATGCCTATCTCTGTGTTACTTTATATCTGTCTGTATTTCTCTGTGTTTTTTGCCTGTGTCTGTATGCATGTATTTGTATGACAGTGTACCTGTATGTGTAGATTGTATGACTGTTTGATTGTGTGACATTTATGACTGTGTGTATATCTTTGTGACTGTGTGCTTGTATGGTTGTGTGTCTGTATGTTTGCGTATTTGTGCATATATGTATTTTTGCCTATATCTATGTCTATATGGGATAAAACGAGAGATCGATAGATAGGGGCTGGGGGAAGAAAGAGACCGTAAGGGGCTGGCGGGGAAGTAAAAAATACATAAGAAGGGTTGTAGGAGACACACTAAAGGGGGGTGTAAGGCACAAAGGGGCCAAAGGGGAAAGACATTCAAGAGAGTGGATATGAAACATTAATGGGGGTAAGAAATTTAAAAGGGGGGCTATGAGACACAGAGGTGAAGATGCATTTTTTTGGGGGGTGAGGAGGGGGGTAGCGGGGAGAGGGCATCAAAATGCATCTTCGCCTGTGTAGTCAAAAATCCTTGCACCGGCCCTGGGTCAAAATATACACTTTTCTAGCCACCCTCCTGTTTCCTAATTTGTGGGTTCAGGAGGGTGGCTTACCTAGGATCCAGAGGTAGTCCTGCCCAGCCCCCCTCCTCTCTGCCTTCTCCTTTTTCAGTCTTCTTGGGAGTACATCACTTCCTCCCATCCGATAAGAAGGTAGCCGGTGATAGCTCCGCCCCTGCTGGGCACAAGCCACGCTGTGTGCTACAGAGGGAGGAGAGATATGACGTGTTCATATCCCCGCCCCCTCCACACCGTCCGGTACTGCAGGTTGGCGCTCGGCCACGCTACAAGAAGTGACTGGTAGGAGAGGGGCGCTGTGCACTTCCCTCCTGCCGGTGACCCGGACATTTATTTACCCGCCTTATGGACGCACCGGCCCTGTGTGTAATCTTCATTTAAAGAACTTTCAGATACTATTAAAACTTTTACTGCCTCCTGTTTGCTTTTCTCAAACATAGTTGGTAGTAGTTTTACCTTTTGTGCTTTGAAATAGATTGTATTTTTAAATTATTAAATGAGTTGCCCAACTTGTGAGAATACTCTGGGCTGCACTAGTTGAAGCACTGCAATAGCTCTACTGTCCTCCTTTAAAGGACAACTATAGGCACCTAGACCACTTCAGCTTAATGAAGTGGTCTGGGTGCTAGGTCCACCTAGGATTAACCCTTTCTGCTGTAAACATAGCAGTTTCAGAGAAACTGCTATGTTTACAAATGGGTTAATCCAGCCTCTAGTGGCTGTCTCATTGACAGCCGCTAGAGGCGCTTCCGCGCTTCTCACTGTGATTTTCACAGTGGGAAGATGCCAGCGTCCATAGGAAAGCATTGAGAATGCTTTCCTATGAGACTGGCTAAATGCGCGCGTGGCTCTTGCCGCGCATGCGCATTCAGCCGATGACGGGGAAAGGGTGAGGATTAACCCTTTCCTCTCCATCCAGCCCGGCGGGAGTATGTTTTCCTGGCACTATAGTGGTCCTTTAGTTAGTATTATCTCATTTCAGACTCTATATATACTGCTTGTTAAGTTTCCAGTTTATATAGAATATTTGTGTGACAATTCTATAATACAAAATTTAAAATAAAGTCTTAACTTTTAACTGCTATTTTACTGTTATCCGATCCTGCTGAGATACTTTTTTCATTTTTGCAACAGAGTCCATTCAGAATGATACTCCCACCAGCACACCAACTTCTTTGTCAGTGAGTCGGCAAAAAAATGAGATTAATGCCTTTCTGAAAAAGAAGAAAACCAGTGACATTTATTTTGTTCTTCTTATGTGGGCTATCGTGCTTGTACAGCTGTGGCTTCATTTATGGATCATACAGTTACTTCCAGTGCCTATCGCAGGTAATCACCAGGTTATCAAATAAATATTGTCTCATTCTAAATAAGGCATGATGGCAAAGATACATTGTGTATCTTGATGGAAGGTATTGTAGTTTTGGTGCAAAATTAAAACAGGAGCATACCATTTGATTGACAAACTCCCTTTTTCTTCCTTCCTTTTTTTTTAAATCATTTTTTTTCATTAACCAGTTAATGGTAAGCGGTTTTTTTGTGTGAATTGTGTCTAAATCAGGATTGACTAATACTTTAAAATATAGTTTATTCATGCTCAAGTCTAGATATTAACCATATGAAAATGAGGTAATGGACTTTCCTTAATTGCAGTTTTTGCGATCAAGAAGATTGTGATCCACTTTGGTGTGGTGAACTTTTTGGTACACCGATTTGGATCCTGGTGGCAATTGGTAGAAGATTTCATCAAGGAACGGCAAGAGGCTTTGGCACCCAGACCTATTCGAGGATTGGGAAAGTTCATTCTTAAAGTAGACACCAAGGTGTGCCACAATATTTTGTCTAAAATTTACCTAACCTTGGACATTATCTTGTATGTATGCAGTCCTGTCTTTCCAGCTCCATTTCAGATTTTAGCATCAAAAGTAGTAATAATGTCACCTTTCAAGACAAATGCTGCATTCACTTGCTTTGTATACGTGTGTGTAGTATAAATGCAATATGTGTCCTATGTTAAAGGGACATTATAGACACCAAAATAATGTTGGCTTAATGAAGCAGTTTTGGTGTATAAATCATGTCTGCAATGTTTCACTGCTCAATTCCCTGCCATTTAGGGGTTAAATCACCTTTGTTTCTGTTTGTTGCCCTAGCCACACCTCTCCTGGGTGTGACTGACACAGTCTGCATGAAAACAAAATGGTTTCCTTTTCAATTAGATGTAACTTAATTCAAAAGTTTTTATCTCCTGCTCTGTAAATTGAACTTTAATTACATACAGGAGGCTCCTGCATGGTCTAGCAAGTTATTAACAGAGCAGGAGATAAGACATTTTGCGTTAAACAGAATTTGCAGTAAAGGAAGTGTAAACATTAGATGACTATTTACAGGAAATGTGTCTAGGGTGCATAAACAAAGTGATTGAACTCCTAAATGGCAGAGAATTGAGCAGTGAGACACCAAAACTGCTTCATTGAGCTAAAGTTGTTTTGATGACTATAGTGTCCCTTTAAATGTAGTGTAGCTTTGCTCTATTGGTAGTGCGTCCTTATGAAGAGTCTAATTGTCTCTGAAGAGCAATAAACTTACATCACTTCATGATGTGGTTGAGGATATATAGTTTTATCCATACTTGTCTTCAAATTGTAAAGACTTTTAGGACTATGATATATTCAAATATGTTCTACATGGCATCCATACTCATACATGTTGCGACATACAAAAGTGTAAAATAAATATGCCCAGTACTGGAATTACACTGGTCCTTATATTCAGTTTATTGATAGATATGACCTATTTTGATTTGTACAGAAAAAAATTTAAATTTTAAGACACTGCTGTTAAATGGTTTCATGAAGTTTATAATAGATTTTGGTTAACGGACTAATTATATGTATCTGTGTTACACCCACAGATCTGCTCTGCAAAATCACTTTTTATTTTTGAAAACAGTATTGTGACATACAATTAGCATTCTAATGAAGCTTAATACTATGTCAGCTGCTAAAGTGCCAAACGGTTTCTGTTAGCAATATATTCTATTAGAAATTATATAGTAGCTAAACTTGGCACTTCAGATGTTTGTCAACTGCATCTCACATGATGCCCAGCTATAGACTATTTACAATGCAAGCTATGTAATATCAAACAAAGAAGGCCAGTCACGGTACAAAGGAATTGGCAGGAAGCTGTATGTGGGTTGGTACTGCAGGGAGCAGAAACATTTTCAAACAAATCAAAATTTTCATTCTGTGTATATAAGAAAGAATTATAACCAAAGTCTTTTATATTTAATTCTTTATTTTCTGTTGTGCATGGTATAACAGTAAGCTTACTCAGCCACAATAGCATTCGCAAGCTTTATGGCAACATACATAATAAACAGAACGTGGCATATGGATAGACAGCACAGTTAACCCAAGTCTTTTACCTAGTTTTGAAAATATATAGTTAAATCTTGCTATATATTTTTTACCATATATTTCTTTTGATAAATCTGTTTTGTTTCCACAGTTTTATGTGCCCTCTGTTCTTTCCAAATTGTAAATGCATACATCACTAATACACCACTGTCTTCTCTCCTTTTTCCCCCCTTCCCTTTTTCCTTATTTTGTTCCCTCCCACATAAAGATGTGGCATTGGCTTAATGAGCAGGTAAACAGATTATTAAACTGTGTGTCTTCTGACCTAATTGTTAACACCAAATTGATTATTTTCCAAGTTTGAATTTTTTTACCCCTCTTAAAAAGAAATCCGTTTCAAACTCAAAATTTCTTCTGTACGAAAGAATATTTTGCAATCTTTACCAAAGCATTTCTATACCACCATGCTGGGGGAACTGTTCTTCTTCACAGTCTTCTTCACTGGTTTCTTCATAATCTTTATGGCTATGTTTAACAGTGGCATTCTGTTCACAAATTCAACATCATTCCAAAATGTAATAGTCTTATGGAAGCAGTCTTTTAAGTTCTCTAAAAGCATCTTGGCAAAAAATAAAATAATCAAGACCCCATTAGATTCCTGAATATGCATTGCATCCTAAACAGTTTAGAAAAACAAAACACAATTCATATTAATTTAATAGCATTGCCTCAAATTTCATTAGTGAGAAATGCATGATATCAGATCCCATTGCCATTCCAGTTTTGTATGTGAAGAAAACAAACCCCACACAGTTATTACATTCTTAATGTACAAGCAAATTCTGCAATCCTGGTCCCTGGTAGAGCAGGGTGACATTATACATTTTGTATAGGTAATCTCTTTTTTGTGTATTTAGTTTAAGTTTAAAATGCTGTACAAAGTATACTTGTTTTTGCTAGTCATTGCAGTTGCACATTTTGCTTTCTGTTATCCTCATCCTCATCCACAGGAAAGTTTCAAGAGAAAATGGGATTTGTTTCTTTCAGTTTAACTAGCTACACATTATTACCTTTCAAGCATTTTCTTTCCCATTAATCCATGTGAATTTTACAAAATGCTCTTTCGTGTCAGAGAATCCTATATTTAACATTATTTACTTCAAACTGTGCATTTGTGTTGTTTGTGCTCTTAAGTGTGCATAATGTATTTACTTTTAATTTAGAGAAGATACGATACATGTGTGATCTGCTAATTTAGATTGTTTTCCCAATTACCAATTTTCAGAGGACTCCCTGGATGAGCATGGTCAAAAACATGTCTACCTAGGTCAAACTCTCTTGTTTTAGTTTCATGGGGAGGGGCTTGTTTTTTTTGTTTTGGTTTTTTTTTATCTTTGATTTTATGGTACTAATCAAGTTTCTTGATTTGTATTTCTTTTTTTCTTAAAACTGATAATGTTGTACATTCTACTGACATTTTTCAGAATATTTCCCACCAATTTGTTGTTGGAGGTTAATTCATTTAAGAAAATATTCTATTAAAACAGAGGGTACTTTTATTTTTAAATACAGTGAAGCACATCTAATTTTGATGCCTGTGAATCCTATGAGCCTTTACAGTCTATTTTACATATTCAAATACAGCATGTTTATTTCTATTTGTTTTTTAAACAAGATATATATTTTCTGATGCCTCATTTTATCCAATAGCGAGCATGATTGTACTTCCAGTGAAATTCCCTATGTGTTTTGGGTTCAGGACTATAACCATAAATGGTTTGCTATGAAAATAAAAAGCCAAAGTACTACATGGTAGTAATTTAATTATTTTAGTGATGTTTTAAAACGGCTTGGAAGTGGCATATTGAGAACTAAGAACTTATTGAGGACACTGTTATTGCTTTAGCTACTTCAGTGTATTTTTTGGTATTACGTTTTACAAATTTCTTTTTGGTACAAGTTCACAATTTTTTTTTTTTTTATCAATTATCAGTTTTCAAGTGAATTGTGATAAAGGAGTATACATGATGCTATAGGCAGACATGTGTATTCAAGAATAAGGCTTGGACACCAGATGGCAGCATGCGCCCTTGAATTCACAAAGATCTTGAAAATGTGCTTTTCTTTTTTTCTTTCTTTCTTTCTTTTTTTAATGCAAGGTTATTGTTAAATATACCTGCTTTGTTTATGTTTAAAACACATGTAATGATAGTTTCATTTACAAATCAGTGTCATTTTGGTTTCCACGGCAAAGGTGAATTTCTTACTGGAGTTGTTTGATCATCCTAACCATTGCTCATTATGTTTTATTTTTTTTTATTTCAGTTTATGCTCTCTTGAAAACTTTAGAGCACAATTGCATTATGATTTACCAATTGCGGATGATTTTTATCATATTTTTCCTTGCCTCCATTTGCACAGATGATCATTTGGCTGGAGAAATCTCTCGACAAAATAATCAGCATATTCATAATATTTCTGCTAGTCATTGGAACTCTTCTGTTAGCCCTGCTGCTAACAGCAAAGGTATGTTATAGCAAACATTTGGTCTCATTCCACTTTTGGGGTGGAATGGATGAAGAGATCCCTGCTTACCATAAGCTATTGCTGCACTTAAAGAGACATGCATCACTTGAGAAATCTGTCTTACTCAAAAGCTTTTACAGGCTGAAAGAAAAAAAATCATGTAAATATGATTTCTTTTCATATTTACCTGCTTCTTTTTTCTTATGATTTGTACACTAATCTTATCAATCCGTGTCCTATCCTCAGGAATGCTGGAAACATGCATTGGGTTTGCCTAACCGATTTACACATGTGTAGTTTTGAAGTTCTCTTCACCTTGCAACCTCCTGACAGGGAAAATAGAGGAAGTCTGATCAGGGTGATTAATGTAGGGCAGGCTCAGGTGGAGTGCTTCTTTCTCCTGCTAATGTACAACGATTCCCTCTTTTCTGTCATATATAGACTGATCTGAATCTTAGATGGGTGGGTAAGGATTGGTTGTATATATTGGTTTGTATATTTGTTTTAAAAAAATATTTGTCAAGTGTAAAGGGACACTCTGAACACCGCAACTACTAGAGACAGCTGTGGTAATGTTTTGAGTTTTAGTTAAGCACTCTAAGCCAATAAATGCAGACCCAAAATGGTCCTGCTTGGCTGAATAGAACCATTCTGCTTCAACTGCAGGAGAATACAGGATGCCCCATGGACAACCAGGGAACCTAGGTAAGTTTTTAAACCATTCTAAAATGTTTTGGCAAATTACATCCCAACAGTGCAAGGCACTCCTGGCACCATAAACAATACAGCAGACTGTAGTGGCTATGGTGCTTAGACTGTTTCTTTATAATAGACTGGTGACGTATACCTTAGATCTAATATTACCATACTCTTGACATTCCTTAACCCCTTAAGGACCAGGCTCCTGGAATAAAAGGGCATCATGACAGAATATTTCTGGCATGTGTCCTTAAGGGGTTAAAACTTTTAAATTATTAAAATTTATCATGCATGGGATATTTTGTTCTCCTTTCCTTTCTTTGTTTACATTTGTTTTACTGTGTTTGTCAGCATTAACATTTTTAAAGAATAAAGTAAAATAGCATTAGACACTCAAATAACAGAACTATAGTTTATGATGAAGTGAGCTTCTTCCCTGCTTTGGCCTCTCTAATCCGCTCCATCGTTTTTTGTAAATGGCTGTCACTGCTCTCACTGCTGGGCTGTGCTTCTCCATTAAAGGGACACTATAGTCACCAGAACAACTATAGCTTATTGTATTTGTTCTGGTGAGTAGAATCATTCCCTTGAGGCTTTTTTCAGTAAACATTGTCTTTTCAGAGAAAATGTGGTGTTTACATTACAGCCTAGGGATACCTCCAGTGGCCACTCCTCAGATGGCTGCTAGAGGTGCTTCCTTGAGCAGTGCTGCACATTTAGAAAGGCATATTTCTTTTGACAGTATTTACAAATTGCAGTTTTTTTTTTTTCCCCAGAAGAACTGGTAGTGTGGAAATGTGGAAACATTTTACTGAAAGGAGGAAAGAAATCAAAACTATCCCAATTTTTGTCAAACTACTTTAAACAGTTCTTTTAAAAACTTGATGCAGTATAACTACAACTGTAGTGGTTATGTATTTGAGGCAAAATTAATTCTACCCTTGTCCTTGTAGCTTTTTTATTAAATCAATCTGAAAGTTAGTTTTAGAGTTATACTTTCTAGTTTCTGCCCTAAATATTTTTTTGTTTCATAATAGTTTGCAGCTTTTTAAAGCTGTTTTAAATAGTCATTCAAGTATCCCCTTAAAAAACACCATAGTCAACCATGCCACTTCATCTCAAGTGTCTTTTTTATCCCTGTAATGTACAACATTCTGTGTTTTGTTTGTTTTTTGTGTATTAGAATCTGCAATGTTTACATTGCAGGGCTAAGTCCACCTCGGTCGCAAAAAACAGGTCACGTGATGCGAAAGCCTCCAGTACAAAAGCATTGATTGAATGCTTTCCTGTAGGGAAGCTTGAATGCACATGGTGCTCACTGCACATGCGCATTAGGTTCCCAATGCTCCTTTTTTTTGAGAAGCATTGGATTTGGACCATTGTGTAGGAGGTCATGTCTTGTCTGTGATGTTGCAGGAGGAGCAGAGGTTGGCAGTGGTGCTGGAAAAAGGGAAGTATGTCTTTTAATATTCACATTTTTGTTGCAAACTGGGCAGCATTAGGAATACACTATAGTTCCTTTAATTTTTCTGTTCGACAAACTTAAACAGGAAGATTATATCTATCCCCTAGTTCTATCACCAGCATACAATAATAATGTACCAACATTCATGGCTTTTTTTATATTAACAGTTTTTTGGGTTTTTTTAATTATGAGCTTTAAGGCTATTTATTATTGTACCTCCATCCTCAGGTACATGAAGAAAGTGTGCACATAATTGAAGTTACAAGCAACCTAATAAATGAGACGGTTTCCAATCATCCAGAATGGGCAAAGTAAGAAACTAAACCTATGTTGTTAGAAGTGTAAACGTCCTAGTAGATAGATATATATATATATATATATATATATATATATATATATATATATATATATATATATATATATATATATATATATATATATATATATAAAGTGAATTTCAAATTTAAGGCCAAATTGCAAAAGTTCTCTAAACCACCAATTCTATAAATGTCTACTTTTGCCTAAAATGTTAAATTAACTTTGAAAATAACACTAATGTGCTGACATTACATTACATCACATCACAAAGCTCTCTGTGCAGGATTCCATGCTCCGTTCAATAGAACTGTCTTCCTCTCATAGTCCAATCAAATACTTCTTCATAGAAAATTATTTGATTGGACCATTTTATTCACTTAGAGCACACACTATTGAGCTGGGGAGGGAGTGAGTAAGGGGTGAGACAGGGGAGAGGTAATTAAAGCATACTATAGTGGCTGGAATATAGTGGCAGCAGTGTATTCCTAATACTATAGTATTAAACTAACCTTTTCTCCCACACCGTGCTAGTCTTGCCACGACTGGCCTCGCCTCCATGGCTGCAATCATCAATCTTTATGGTCTCCGCCAATTCAATGCTTTCCCACAGGAAAGCATTGAGAAGCTATTGTGCGCTTCTATTGTGCACTCAGAAGTGGTCATAGTGGTTGGAGTAACCCTTTAAGTAGCCCTCTAACAGTTAACACTTCTCTGTACACGTAGGCAATAGGTAGTCTGCACTTTGTGCAGACCTCATACAGTTGTCTGGGTATTTAGGCTATCAGGTGGCAAATAATTAAGTTCGTGTTACCTGTAAACCTGGGTATTTTTCCCATTAATAATTTAAGGACCACAGGAAGGTCTATGCCATCATGCAGTGCATGGCTTTTATGTCCAGTGACAGCATAGACAGTCATGCAGTAAAGGTAACCTTTATCTTTCGACAGCTGGGGCCACAGTTAGTGGCGATATTTCTTTCACTGCCCACACCCTACAGGAAAAATGGGTAGGGGGATCCCCAGGTATCTTTCGATACCCGAGTGGCCACAGACTGACAGAACTATGAGCAGCGCTTATCACTGTCGCCCCCCCTCCTCAAGTTTGCATTCCAAATTTTGCAGCATTTTAGCAATAAACCTATAATTTACTCCTTGCAGTATTTGTTTTATAACTTCTAAAAAAATTATTGAAACCCTAGGCATAATAAGCATTTTAGCAATCAGGAGTAATTAATTAATCTATTTTGAGTTTGTTTTCTTTACTTGCACTTGGTGTGCAGAAATCCCCCTCCCCCACCCCCCCACATATTTTTAAAATATATTCTTTCTATTTAATACAAATAAGGTATCAAAAGAATGCCATATTTCTCTTTTTTAAATAATGGTATCATATGTATGGGTGCACAACGGAAAGGGGGAAATTGTGTTGGAATTAATGCATGGCAAAAAGGCCTTGAAACAAATGCGTTGCCCATTTAAAAAAAGCCTTGGTCCTTAAGGAGTTAAACTATTTGTATGATTTCCACTGCTCCGCACATCTTTCTGACCTTGAAAGGATTAATCCTCTACACCATAAGCAGTTTTGCTGAACCCATTTATATAGGTTATTAAAAACGGTTTTCATATCCCAAGGAGTACCTGAATTCTTAAGGAATGAAACAAAACAACCCTTGTATATATTTTGGTTGTACACTTCTGTTTAGTACTTAATATTGATTGAGGAAGCTTAGCTGGTTTATTTAGATATGTTAACTTTGCGGTTTGTGCAAATAAAAAAAAAAAAAAATATATGCAATTAAGAAAAAAATATTTTTATTTTTTTACTCAGTTGGCTCCCTGAAGCTCAAGTTGTTCAGAAGGCTCTGAATTCTGCTGCTAATAATGTGTATCAGTATGGGAGAGAATGGATTACAAATAAGGTAATATCTGATCACGTGTTATTTTTTTGTGCATTAAGTTTAACTTCTATTCAGGTTTCAGAAAACAAGGGTGATGAGGACTTGTGAAATATCACATTAATCAAAATAAGTGTAATTATTGCGTGTGTCAATAAAATGAAAAAAAATATATAAAAAATAAATATATGTGTGTATAGAGATGAGGAGCAATTTTATTTTTCCAACTAGAGTGTAAATGAGTGCATTATTAGAATAGCTGGAACAATTGTTTGTCCTTGAAGGCTGACTTGAGAGATTTGACTTAAATATGACTGTGATATAGCTTGGGTTAACTTATTGTCCAATAGACTAATTCAGTGAATCATTCTTGTCACTTCCTGAAACTCTTACGTTTTTCCAGACACAGGTATTCCGGGAGCCAGTCAAAATTCTAGTATGTTGATGCCTCCGCTATTGCTTGTTAAAGCAGCCTTTTGCTCCTTGGATTAGTGTTTCTGCTTATTATGTCACGTTCCAATTGTACTTTTTCACTGATCTAAAACAAAGAATTTTTGCACATTCCCACTGTGTGTTTCGATGATAGTAAAGTGCATAACAAGCAGTGTTGGTGCATGTGCACTGATCAGTCACAGTATTAAAGCCACTGACCGTTGAAGTGAATAATATTGATGATATTGTTACAGTGGCACCTGTCAAGGGGTGGGATATATTAGGCAGCAAGTTCTTGAATTTCCTGTGTTGGAAGCAGGGAAAATGGGCAAGCAAAAAGATCTGAGTGACTTTGACAATGGTCAAATAGTGATGGCAAGACAAGTAGGTCAGAGCATCTCAGAAAAGGCAAGTCTTGGGGGGTTTTCTCAGTGGCTACCAAAAGTGATGCATGAGAAGACTTCTGGTAAACTGGCATCATGGATGACCAAGGCTCATTGAAGCAAGCTGGGAGCACACTAGCTCAAATTGATGGAATATGAAAGGTGTCAGAAAACACAGCATCACACCTTGCTGCGTATGGGGCTGTGTAGATGCACATTGGTCAAAGTGCCCATGATGACCTCTGCCCACTGCTGAAAGAGCCTTTAACCCCTTAAGGACCAAACATCTGGAATAAAAGGGAATCATGACATGTCACACATGTCATGTGTCCTTAAGGGGTTAATGTGGATATGAGCATCAGAACTAGACCATGGTGCATTGTTAAAAAGTCGTTTTCTTTTAGATCAGGTGGATGCGTGTGCAGTGTTTACCTGGGGAAGAGATGTTCTGCTTGGAAACCTTTGGTACTGGCATTCAAGTGGATGTTCCTTTGAAACATACCACCTATCTAGAGATTGTTGCATTGGTGTTCCTTGATGGCAGCGGTCTCTTTCCACAGGATAATGCACCCTGCCACACTGCAAAAAAATTTCAGAAATGACTTGAGGAACATGAAAAAGAGTTGAAGATATTGCCTTGGCCTCAAAACCCCAGATCTCAAACAAATTGGGCATAAATTTGATCTATGGAGGCCCCAACTCGCAGCTTGCAGAGCTTAAAGGATCTGCTGCTATTGTCTTAGTGTCAGATACCACAGGACACCATCAGAGGTCTTCTGGAGTCCATGACTCGATTCGTCAAAGCTGTTTTGGAAGCACGAGGGTATGTATATGATATTGCGCATGTGGCATTAATGTTGTGGCTCATCAGTGTATATGTTCTAAATCAAAATGTGCAAAATATTTTTGTAGTTTAGGTCAGATAGTATAACGGGCTAATTTTGTGAACTGTGAAATCTATTAACAGCAGTCAAATGACGTTCATTTGTACAAATTTAGCTGTTTCTAACTAACATTTGCTGTGTGAAACCCATTTACGTTTGCAGTAAAGGGAAATTTTGTTATTTCATACATAATTTCCCTTCATTCAGCTGCACTTGTGAATAACAGACTTAGAAAATGTAAGTAGAGATCCGCAACAAAATGGCCAAATTGGAACTGAATTGCAACTAAAAATTCTTACGATGCAGAGCTGGTATAAGAGCATCTGTAATCTTAAAGGGACACTATAGTCACCAGAACAACTACAGCTTTTATTGTATTTGTTCTGGTGAATATAATCAATCATACCTCCACTGGTCACTCCTCAGATGGCTACTAGAGGTGCTTCCTGGGGCAATGCAGCACTGCCATTCAGTGTCTCCATCCTCTGCATGCTGATGCCAGGTCCGTGTTTGGCTTGTGCTGGCTCTACTTCTGATCTGCCTCTTTGACAGTCTCAGCCAATCCAATGTGAAAGCATTGTGATTGGCTCAGAAAATAACTTCTGATGATGTCAGGAAAGCAAGCAGATCAGGGGCAGAGCCAGCAGCTGCAGACCTGAACAAAAGTAAGATTTTACTATATTTTGGGTGGGAAGAGGGGGGCTAGATGGTTGTTTTAATACAATATGGTCAGAAATACATGTTTGTGTTCCTGACCCTATAGTGTTCCTTTAAATCTTGCCCAACCCTATATCACCTTAATACATAACCTAACCCCATCAATACCTTTTACCTTTTATTTCTCTTTTTTCCTGTAAAGCAGGGACATTTTGCTACAGTCCAGTTAGTGTTTTGCTTAACCCCTTAAGGACACATGACATGTGTGACATGTCATGATTCCCTTTTATTCCAGAAGTTTGGTCCTTAAGGGGTAAATAAGGCTGGTGCTGTTTCCAAACAAATGTGGCAGGCATGATAAACGTATTTATTTATTTAAAACTAATCCTTCAAACTGGTAATTCAATTTTGTATCTTGTATCTCTTTATAGCTTCATAAAATATTGGGAGAAAAAGTAAACAATACCACTCTTATTGAGAAGCAAGTTCTACAGCTTTGGGACAGACTTTATCATTCATGGGTTATTAAGGTAATTTGTAGTGTAATGTTTTTGTCCAATTCTACCAAGCATTAAACCTACAAAGTTTTTCACTAAACCTAAAGGTCTAAACTGATTTAATGTATAATGCATGAAATTAGATGGAGACCATCCATACAGAAAATAGACATGGGGTAGGTAACCTTTTAGCAGGCAAACAAAGACTTTGAAATCCCTTGGCGTGCCAGACCTTGTGTGTGTGGTTTTCCTTTTAGGATTGTGCACGCTTATGTGGGTTGTCACTGGTGGTGTGTTTGTGGTCATTGGTATTGTGTGGGCTATTTATGAAGCTCTGTTTTTACACGTGGGCTGATGTATTTGCAAGGGGACTTCTTGTGTGGTCATGTGTATGTCTAAAAGACTATTTCAGACAAACACACAGAAATAAATTTCAGTCACACTCATGAAAAATACACTCAAACATTGATACACTGTCACACACATCGCCTCTCTAGGGCACACGCACACACTGCCAGAGTGCACACTGCTATGCACCCTTCCAATTCATTTGCCAGGGCACACACTTTTAATACTCAAACATGATGCTTAACACACACTCCACCACACACCCAATCACACTGCTAGAAAGTGCAAGACACACCGCTAGACACAAACAAACAGATTGCTAAACACACATATTACTACACACAAAGTGACTTCTATACTCTCACATTGACAATGTTGTTCCACCTTTAGAACAAAAATCCCAGTGTCACCCAAAATTGTGGTATACACTGGCAGGAAGCACAAAAGCATAAGTGGCCAAAAAAAATCTTAAACTTTTTATTCTCAATGATACAAAAAATAATGGTCCACTTAAAAAGAAAATATAAACAGTATTAAAACTCTCTTCTCCTGACAACGGCGTCTTCGAGCGCTTTTATTTTCAATTTGCAATTGGGTAGCACTATGCACGTTAGAATTTTTGTTGGGAGTGTTCAGGGTTACTGGTTCAGGTAGGCATTAGCTCTGTGCGGTACAAAGGTTTACAGGGACAGCGAGAGATTTTTATTAATGGGGAATTTGTAGTACATTTATCTTTTGCAACCTCCTGGTTCCCTCTCTGGCGTTTTGGGACACCGTGTACAGGGGAGGTTTGGATGAGTCTAGTTTAAGGATGCAGACCTTCTACCTCTTTGTAAATACCCTCTTCCCTACCTGTCCAGAGGTTGACACCACCCACTTCTTATACCCCTGTTTTCATACTGTTTATATTTTATTTTTAAGTGGACCATTATTGTTTGTATCATTGAGAATAAAGTTTAAGGTTTTCTTTGGCCACTTACAATACTTTTGTATTTCCTCCCAGTGTATCTCACAATTTTGGGTGACACTGGGGTTTTTGTTCTCATTGTCAGTAGTTTAGCTCCAGGGTTACCCCCTAATTGCAAACACTATTTAGGTGACTTTTCTTTTGACTTGGGAGGTGCAGGGGGAATGGCCTAAACATCTTGTTTCACCGTAGGATTATCCCCCTGGGGTGGGACAACACTCCCTTTTGTTCCACCTGGATCAACGTTTTCATTTTGAATTTTTGTAGTTCCAACTTTATCCCTTACGGTTTAACGGCAGGATAATTGCTCCCTGGGGTCTACTCGGGGCCAGGCTGGCCAGGCACAGAACAAGGGCAGGGGCTTTGGTGAGCTGCTATCCTTCTGTGCATTCTCAAATCTTTATACATTTTTAACATCAAATATAACCTATTTGGGGATTAAAATTCCCAAAAATATTGCACTCCTTTATTAGCTAAATATTTCCCACTTCTTCCCCACCATCTTTTAATCTATTTTCCAAGAATTAGAACATTGATAAAACTACCTCTATGATATATAGGCAGAGCTAGTATAATTTAATTTGCTTCCCAAGACTGTTATTTTCGGACCTACATTTGGAATCCTTCCTAGTGCAACCTGACTAGTTGCCGGACCTCCTCCACAGGCACACAACCTTTTACCCAACAAGCTGCTGGAAACTATTCAAAATAGTAGTCAACTAGTCAAATTAGTAGTCAACCCATGTACCCCTAATTAACCATAGAAACATAGAATGTGACGGCAGATAAGAACCATTCGGCCCATCTAGTCTGCCCAATTTTCTAAATACTTTCATTAGTCCCTAGTCTTATCTTATAGTTAGGATAGCCTTATGCCTATCCCACGCATGCTTAAACTCCTTTACTGTGTTAACCTCTACCACTTCAGCTGGAAGGCTATTCCATGCATCCACTACCCTCTCAGTAAAGTAATACTTCCTGATATTATTTTTAAACCTTTGTCCCTCTAATTTAAGACTATGTCCTCTTGTTGTGGTAGTTTTTCTTCTTTTAAATATAGTCTCCTCCTTTACTGTGTTGATTCCCTTTATATATTTAAATGTTTCTATCATATCCCCCCTGTCTCGTCTTTCCTCCAAGCTATACATGTTAAGATCCTTTAACCTTTCCTGGTAAGTTTTATCCCGCAATCCATGAACCAGTTTAGTAGCCCTTCTCTGAACCCTCTCTAAGGTATCAATATCCTTCTGAAGATACGGTCTCCAGTACTGTGTACAATACTCCAAGTGAGGTCTCACCAGTGTTCTGTACAATGGCATGAGCACTTCCCTCTTTCTACTGCTAATACCTCTCCCTATACAACCAAGCATTCTGCTAGCATTTCCTGCTGCTCTATTACATTGTCTGCCTACCTTTAAGTCATCAGAAATAATCACCCCTAAATCCCTTTACTCATATGTTGAGGTTAGAACTCTATCAAATATTCTGTACTCTGCCCTTGGGTTTTTACGTCCAAGATGCATTATCTTGCACTTATCCACATTAAATGTCAGTTGCCACAATTCTGACCATTTTTCTAGTTTACCTAAATCATTTGTCATTTGGCTTATCCCTCCTGGAACATCAACCCTGTTACATATCTTAGTATCATCAGCAAAAAGACATACCTTACCATCAAGACCTTCTGCAATATCACTAATAAAAATATTAAAGAGAATGGGTCCAAGTACAGATCCCTGAGGTACCCCACTGGTGACAAGTCCAAGCTTCAATATATTCCATTAACTACAACCCTCTGTTGCCTGTCACTCAGCCACTGCCTTACCCATTCAACAATATTGGAATCCAAACTTAAAGATTGCAGTTTATTGATAAGCCTTCTATGTGCAACAGTGTCAAAAGCCTTACTGAAATCTAGGTAAGCAATGTCTACTGCACCACCCTGATCTATAATTTTAGTTACCCAATCAAAAAAATCAATAAGATTAGTTTGGCATGATCTCCCTGAAGTAAACCCATGTTGTCTCTGATCTTGAAATCCATGTGTTTTTAGATGTTCAACAATCCTATCCTTTAACATGGTTTCCATCACTTTCCCCACTACTGAAGTAAGGCTTACTGGCCTATAGTTGCCCGACTCCTCCCTATTACCTTTCTTGTAAATGGGCACAACATTCGCTAACTTCCAATCTTCTGGGACTACTCCTGTTAACAATGATTGGTTAAATAAATCTGTTAATGGTTTTGCTAGTACACCACTAAGCTCTTTTAATAGCTTTGGGTGTATTCCATCAGGTCCCATTGACTTATTTGTCTTTACTTTTGACAGTTGAAATAGAACCTCTTCCTCTGTAAACTCACGTGTAATAAATGACTCATTTATCCTTTTTCTCAACTGAGGTCCCTTTCCTTCATTTTCTTCTGTAAATACAGAACAAAAATATTCATTGAGGCAGTCAGCCTGACCTTTATCCTCTTCTACATACCTTCCTTCTTTTGTTTTTAATCTAACTAATCCTTGTTTTACTTTTCTTTTCTCATTTATGTATCTAAAAAATGTTTTATCCCCCTTTTTTACTGACACTGCTATTTTCTCTTCTGTGTGTGATTTGGAAGCCCTTATAACTTGCTTAGCCTCTTTCTGCCTAATCTTATAGATCATTTTGTCTTCCTCACTCTGGGTTTTTTTATAATTCCTAAATGCTAACTTTTTGTTTTTAACTATTTTGGCCACATCTGCGGAGTACCACAGTGGTTTCTTGAATTTTTTGCTTTTACTGACAAGCCTAATGCAATTTTCTGTTGCCTTCAATAGTGCAACTTTTAAATAATCCCATTTTTCTTGGACTCCATTTAAATTGCTCCAGTCTGCTAATGACTCCTCTACCCATATTCTAATTTTAGAAAAGTCTGTTTTTCTAAAGTCTAAAATTTTTGTTTTTGTGTGGTGTGACTCAGTCACTGTTCTTATATTAAACCACACTGACTGATGATCACTGGATCCTAAACTTTCACCTACAGTAACATCTGATACCAAATCTCCATTTGTTAACACTAAATCTAGTATGGCCTCTTTACGAGTTGGCTCCTCAACAACTTGTTTTAGAGACAATCCCAGTAGGGAGTTTAGAATATGTGTGCTCCTGGCACAAGTAGCTAATTTTGTTTTCCAATTTACATCAGGAAGATTAAAGTCACCCATGATGATAACTTCCCCCTTCATTGTCATTTTAGCTATTTCCTCAACTAGTAGATTATCTAACTCTTCAATTTGTCCTGGGGGCCTATAAATCACACCTACACGAGTTCCTGTGTGATTACAAAATTCTAACGTAGCCCATGATTTTCAAGGGGGAGTAAACCACTAACCCTTCACTGCTTAAGCTACCAGAGTAATTAATATAATCTGTTCTTTAGTTGAATTCCATAGCCTAACATTTCTCTCCCTGGGATATATTTGGTGGTTGGGGGGGGACTGCCATGGTACACATGCTTTCTGTTGCAACATTATTTCCACACTATTACACAACACTTTACATCTGCAGATTGGGAAAAACCCCTAGGTAAGCTAATATGCACCTCAACCACTGCCTCATCCTCCATCTCCAAGATATACTCCAAGTTGGGACACTATACAAGCAGGATTAGCAAGATGGAGAACACATTTTTCTGATGTAAGTCCAAACAGACATCCTCCTTGCACACTACACTCAAGTCCAACTACTACTCAGGTCTCCTATTAAGACATGTTCTTAAAGACCACTCATTATGACTACAATTCTCCATTCCGCCTTTATCTCATGGCTAGAAATACTCAGCAACCTGTTTCAAACGCACCTGCTTACCATCAACACAGAGCCTCGTCTTGGGGGAAGCGCTATACCTGCTATAATCCCTGTTCCTGGGATTGTTCTTTGGATTGCTATAATCACTAGCTATAGAGCTATACTCTCTTGGAGGAGAGGCCTTCCCACTGGGAGCTGGATACAGGAGTTTGGTCCAGGGTGGGAAGGGACGGCGAGACCCTAGCCAAGCTGCAGAGGCTAAGGGGCTACGGTGCTTATGGTGTCCAGTGCGGTGCTTATGGTACTCAGCGACCCCAGTCGGGGTGCCAGGCGTTCCACCACATCCTTGGTCTGAGCGCCCAAGTTGTCCAAATAGCGCTCAGATCCATGCAGTGTAGGGGAATCGCCACCAGGGTAAAGTTCTGACCTGGTCCTATGCCCAAAATAGTTCCAGACCAATGTATGTTTTGTCCGGTTAACCTTCCAGAACTCCTGCGGCCGAAATACAGTGTGCTCTGCCTGGAGCGTTAGTCTCAGGCACCTTCCCTCCAAAAAGTGCTCTCCTGGCGAGTCGTCAAGTTGGTCAAGACCCTGAAACCATACAACCGGACATGGCGATTGTGGCACTGAGGACCATACGTGGGTTTGTTCATGCGAACGGCCGCCATATGTGTGTGTGTATGTATATGTATATGTGTGTGTGTATATATGTATATATATATATATATATATATATATGTGTGTGTGTATAATATATTATACATATATTAAAAAAAATCTACATGAAATAAAAATGCAAAAACAAATTTGTAAAAAAGAACTAATACAAAATACAGTAAAAAACTAAAAAAGTACGTATTTTCAATCAGATGCAGTTTCTCAGGTGGTGTTTCCCAATTTACCACCTTTTTTACATAACTCAATATAAAACGATATTTGGGAATCAGCTAATCATCTATTAGGAAAAATATAAACCAAAAATAGTGTAATAAAATTAGATACAATAAAACTGCACTGCTTTAGCATGCACTCACAGTGTGTTTGAGAAACTGCGCCTTGGGTTGCCTCCCCTGGTTAAGGCTGGGAGGCTAGGGGCTAACACCTTCTTTTGAGTTCCTCTTGCTGCAGATCTGGTCCACAGTAAATTAGAAAGCCGGAATATTGAACGCCAAAGTTAAAAATACATTTATTTGATAAAAATAGTATTAAAAACAAACAATGCAAAAAAAAGGCTCTGTCCAACGCGTTTCTTCCACTAGTGTGGACGAATGTCATAAGTGTATCTTGATAATATATATAACGTGTATATTTAGCTATTTTTACATAATTCATTTTTATTAACTATTATTCAAGGGACAACCTAGGCAGAAAGTCCATTTAACTTTGTTTACAAGCCCTATATTTAACTCTGTAACTTTCCAAAACACCATAAAACTTGTACATATGAGGTACTTTTGTACTCGTGAGACTTCGCTGAACACAAAGATGAGTGTTTTAAAATATCATCAGTGAAAGATGTGAAAAATACATAATAAAAATTATATGAAGTATAGGAAAACTAACTTTGCTCAGCGTTTGTGACTAAGTGGCTACTACAAAAGACTGGACTTTCCCAATTCTGAATACCCTGGATTGTCTACTTTTGTGAATGGTATGCCATAGTTGGGGTATTTTTCATTCCTTGGCTGCCATATGATCTCAAAGGCAGTATAGGCTCAGCAATCCAATCTGGCAAACTGAAATGGGAAAGCCCTATATTTGTCCCTGTAACTTTCCAAAACACAATTAAACCTGCACATGGCGGGATGGGATACTGTTTTATCCGTGAGGAATCCCTGAATATAATTGAGTGTTTAGAGCAGTAAAACCTATAATGAAAATGATTTCATCAGTGAAAGGACAGTTTTTTCTTTGTGAAAAATTAAAAACAATAAACATTATGAACATTACATTTTGCCAATGTTTGTGACTAAGTGGCTAAAAAAAAACTGGACATACCCCATTCTGAATACCCTTGGTTGTCTACTTTTGTGAATGATAAGCCATGATGGGGGTAATTATCATTTCTGGGCCGCCATAAGGTCTCAAAGGCAACATAGGCCAACCAATCTGGCAAAATGAAATGTGAAAGCCCTATATTTGATTCTGTAACTTTCCAAACCCCTTGAAACCTTCACAAGAGGGTACTGTTTTACTTGTGAGATATTGCTGAACACAAATATGAGTGTTTTAAAGTAGTAAAACTTAAAATAACTATCAGTGAAAGGGCAATTTTTTTTTTTTGGGGGGGGGGTGAGGAAAAAAACAAATAATTGCTAATTTTGGCCAGGGTTTCTGACTAAGTGGCTACTACAAAAGACTGGACATACCCCATTTTGAATACCCTGGGTTATCTACTTTTGCAAATGGTATGCCATGATGGGGTAATTCTCATTCCTGGACTGCTATATGGTCCCAAAGACCGCATTGGCGAAGCAAACAAATCTGGCAAATTTCAAAGTGTAAAAATGAAAAAGGGGAAAGCCCTATATTTGACCCTGTAACTCTCCAAAACACCATAAAACCTGTACATGTGGGGTACTTTTTTACTTGTGAGACATCGCTGAATACAAATATGTGTAATTTATTGCAGTAAAAACTAACTGTATTATGACCTTAAATGACTACTATAGGCACCCAGACAACTTAAGCTCAATGAAGTTGTCTGGGTGCCAGGTCCCCCTAGTTTTAACCCCTTCACAGAAACTGCTATGTTTACATTGAGGGTTAATACAGCCTCTAGTGGCTGTCTTTCTGACAGCCACTTGAGGCCGCTTCCTCAATGCGAAAATCGCATTGAGGACACACTGGACGTCCATAGGAAAGCATTGAGGAATACAAATCTGTATTCTGAACACTATAATTCGCATTCAGAGCTGACGTCTGCAGGGGGAGGAGAGAGCCCGGCGCTGGATTAAGGTAAGTGGTTGAAGGGGTTACCTAATAACCCTATAGAGCCAGGAAAGCAAGTTTGTTTTCCTGGCACTATAGTGCTCCTTTAACCGTTAAAATGCCATGAAGAACTTTTTAAATTTTATTCCTATTAAATTATGTTTCATATAAAAGTATTTCATATGAAATGAAAGCCGGTTTCTCCTGAACAAAATGCTATACAAGTGAGGGTGGACTTAATATGAAAGAGGTGAATTATGGTTGAACAGACATATAGCGCAAATTCCAGCTTTTGTTTTGATCACAATTTGTACAATTGACTCCGTTTTTGAGGGGTTAAACTAAATTGAAATTTGCTGCCAAAATTAACACTGATGCTTAGCCCATGTAGTTTTTTTAGCATGCTCACTTGTAACATACCATCCCCTCAGAGAAACAGACATGTACTGATATTACTTTTTGCGTGGGTATCCTCTTCCCCTAGTGCAGGCTGATTTAAGTATGTTTTATGTTGGCAGCATGAAAATGGTAGTTATAGTAAATGTTTACTCATGGCTTTTTATGTGAATAATGATACAGAGTAGTCTAACTGATATAGGCATTCTTTGATTAATAGAATGTTACACATTCCGGTAGACACAAAGGCCACAAGATGCAAATACAACGTCAAAACAGCTGGCTGGGAGATATTTTGGATTGGCAAGACATTGCTTCGTTTGTTCACGAAAATATTGAAACTTTTCTTTCGGTAAGGTACCTCACATCATTATTGTTATTATTATTGTTATTGTTATTTAAGCTATAATTTGTAACTTTGGTTTTTAGGCTTTGTCAGCTCTTAATGAAAAATATATATATTTTAGCCCTTTGGTAATATTTAAAAATGTCATCCCATTGAATTGGTCTCAGTGCACTGTCCCTGTCCCCTTAACCCAGTTGAAGACATGGCAGTTTTAGAGAAACTGCAATGTTTTCATTGCAATGTTAAGTGTTTAGTGGCTGTCTACCAGATATCCACAAGAGGCACTTCCTGCTGTTTCATGGAGTTTAACTTTGTAAATCGACGTTGGACATCCTCAAACTTTGCATGAGGACATCCAGAGCCTTTTAAATCTCCATAGGAAAGCAATGATGCGTTTGTGCTTTAGGTTCCCCCTTGAGATGATGGAGGAGGAGCCACCTGTGAGTTTGCTGTGGAAAAGAGGAGGGCAGAGGTACACTATAGTGTTAGGAATACAAATCTGTATTCTGAACACTATAATGTTCCTTTAAAGGGACACTCCAGGCACCCAGACCACTTCTGCCCATTGGAGTGGTCTGGGTGCCAACTCCCACTACTCTGCAATAATTACCTTGCAGGGTTAACTCCACTTCTAGTGGCTGTCTACTAGACAGCCACTAGAGGGCACTTCCTGCATCATAGCACAGAAAACCTGTGCTAGAGTGTTGCTGGACGTCCTCACGCTGTGTGAGGACCTCCAGCGTCGCTCAATTCCCCATAGGAAAGCATTGAATAGCATTTTCAATGCTTTCCTATGGGGAGCTCTAATGCGCATGCGCATTAGGTCTCCCCGGCTGGTGGGCGGGATCAGTCTCGCCCACCAGCCGACGTAATACAGAGGAGGAGCGGCAGAGGAGAAGCAGCAACGTGGGACATGACGCGGCCTCTGGTAAGTTACTGAAGGGGTTTTTACCCCTTCAGCAACCGAGGATTGGAAACGGATTGTTTTCCTGGCACTGGAGTTTCCCTTTAATGAAGCAGTTTTGGTGTATAGATCACTACTCAATTTTTTTGTCATTTAGGAGTTAAATAACTTTTTCATGCAGCCCTAGCCACACCTCCCATGCATATGACCTACATACTAGGAATGAATTCAAATAGATGCCAAATTATTAGTTTAGAATGTACACATCAGTTGAATTCAGATTTTTTTTTGTTTAAATTTTTTTTTCTGTGTTTGTATATTACTTGTAATAAGTATTCTCCTGAGCATGCCATGATCTTGTTTTCATAATTTATTCAGTGACTTTTTTAAATTTTAAAATGTCTTACTAACATGCATTTGTGAAAAAGTGTTACTCTAATTTTATCAGGGTTAGTACAGCTAGAAAATTTAAAACACAGGCTAAGTGACCTTCTAAATATGAAATGACATGTCTTCCACTTGGAAAAATGTTTTTGTTTTTTTTTGTTTTTTTTAAGATACTGGAGTCACTGTGGATTGTGATGAGCCGAAATCTAAGCCTACTTTTCACTACTGTAACCACATTATTTACTGTCATCTTTTACAGTGGTACAGCACTTCTCAATTTTGTATTATCTTTGGTATGTATTTGAAGTGTGCTGCATATTGTAAAATGTCAAAGATTTCCATTGACCTTTCTGAGATATACACACCATCAATGTCAATGTCATGCACTTCTAATGTAGCTTCCTTTTTTGTTCCATTCCATAGCTTTTTTAACCCCAATCTTGGACACTATATTCCCCAGGCTTATCATCTTGCCATTCAAGGTACCCAGTAGGCTAAGCTTCTCTAGCCCTTTCTGGACCCTCAAAACATGGCCTTTTCGACATCTGTCTAGATATCAGAGCCACCATTTTTAAAAGAAAGCTTCCAAGGAATGCTTGGCACAGAGTAGGCAAGAACAGGAAAGTTAATTTAAAAACCCAGAGCACACTTCTGTTGACAGTGGCATGCTGACTTGAATGCCTTGAATGCCAGTAACTGCACGGTTACGGGGAGACCACTGCCCAGGACATCCCTTTTGAAGAGTAAGTACAGGTTTTTGACATCTGTAGAAGGATCTGCATAGGTCTCTTGAGGTTAGGGTTCATCAGCCATCAGAGCCCATACTTCAGCAGGATGGTGTGAGTGTCAGTTTGAGCATATAGCAAGATGTAATATGTTATTGTATTATTCTATCAGGGTGCTGCATTTTGTTTGGAAGGTTGTAGGTTAACAAAATATTTGAAATTGGAGCATAAGTCTGACTTTCTTACTAACTTAAAAAGTTTTGATTTTCAATTGATAACCATAATTAGCCCTGGATTCTTGTGCACACTCTCATTTCCTCAATGCCCCTGTGCCTCCTGCCTTCTCTGCCCTTGTGTGTCTGGTATTGTCTTAACTATTTAATACACTTGCATTTTATTGGCTATTAAAAGGTGTAGTTTTAAAAGGCAAACTTGGTACCACAAAAGCAAGTGTACAGCCATTGCAGTACTAGCATGTATGATGGATATTTACCAGCCTTTACAATCTTACTTAATCCTTCAAACACTTGGAATGAGTCGGTGTTCAGCTACTGTTTCCTGTTCCTGCTTGTGAACATACTACTGACACAGCCCTGTCCTGACTCCATAGCATGACAGCCTGTGTTCCAACAGTTGGGAATGAAGTGCATGTATTATTTTATTTTAGCATCTTTAAACGCAGATTGTGAGCTCTGATTTACTGGAAGCTCCTGTTCTAATGTATACTTCTGTCACATTTGGTAACATCCTTATAATTATTCCTGTATCTCCCTATAATGTACGACACTAAAACATGCTATGTACAACATTATAGCTCAATATAAATGAAATACTGCTATACAGATAACATAATTGTGATGGCTAACACAGATTGATTGTATTTGGGGTAGATGTACTAACTGGCTAATCGCATATGTAAAAATATTTGATTTACTACTTTTTAATTTAATCCCAAATTTAAAAATGATAAATTTTTAACATATTCACTCCAAATTCCCCAATGTGTATAAATAGTTAGTGGTAGTTTGCGTTATCTTTTCTGTTTGCAGAACTCACTCTCCATTAATTTCTGTATACATTTTTTTTACTAACATTATAATGCTTGATTTGTCTTCTAGGTAATTTTTTTGACTACTCTGTTCTATCTATTGAGTTCAAGTGACGAGTACTACAAACCAGTAAAGTGGGTTATAAGTCTCACCCCACTTTCTCAGCCAGGACCATCCTCCAATATCATTGGCCAGTCAGTAGAAGAAGCTATAAGGTAAGCAATGATACTTGTCTACTGTGTAATTTTTAAATGTATTACCTGCAAGTGTTACAGGGGAACACTGAAGAAGCCACGCACAGAGAGTCCGGACACAAGTAATTTCAGGAAGTAAAGATCTTTATTCTCCCCGATCGGGTCTCCGATGAACTCCTGTTCAAAAGGTCTGAGCCCTGAGCACATGCAGTAGAGGCTTTTTTATAAGCTATGCATCCCCCATCTGTACCCCTACACCAATCAGCAAACAGGATACCCAGGATTACCTTATATGGACAGGCAACATGGCCCTTTAGGAGAATGGAATGTGGTTTCAGTTCTTGCACATGCTCAGTACATTGATAACAGTATATTAGCTACATGTAACTTACTAACAGATACAACAGATACCTGTACTTGTATATGCCACATGGAGATTTTTGGCCTACCTGAAATCCCATCATATTCCCCCCTTTGATGCTTCTGATACAAAGTACTCCAGTTGCATCACTTACCATTCTTTTCCAATACCACTCAGGTAATTATATAACAGGAGAAACCATGTGAGCATTCTAGTTGAATTTTATGAATTCTCTGAACTCATCGACCTGATTACAAATTATTTCTCTTTGGGCTAGAGGTTCATATCTCCAGATGGCCATTAAGTGAGCTGCTGTCTTCCTTTCTATAGTGTTCTCAATAACACTACGTATGGACCGAATTATTAATGGAATCAAGCAGGGTAGTAAGAGGCATAAGATAATAATAAATACCACTCCTCCTAGTGCTTTTATCCGTCCAAACTGTTCATACCAGCTTCCAAACAAACTACCTGGATTATACCCGTTCCAGATCTGAGTAGGTACGTGCGTTAGTTTAACCATGTGGCTGGTAAGGTCAACCACAGTTTGCCCTTCATCATCTATATGCAGAAAGCAATTACTAAGATTAAACTTTCCGCACACACCTCCTTCTACTGCTAATAAATAGTCAAGAGCCAGCCTATTTTGGTAAATGGCTGACCTCATACGGGTATTTTGCTTTGCCAGGAGGTTAAGTGCTTAAGCTGTCTCATTGGTTATAATCTCAACCACCGCCTGTAATCTTATAATGTGGTTGAGCATGTTTAGGGGGGTTCGGTAACCATAGTACCATCTTCAGCCCAAGTAGCAGGTCCATGGTAATTAATAATTCGCTGGGGTGGCCATTCATCTTCCCAATTACCTATATTTAATGGTTCTCGCTTCTTCCTATGATTTACATCATAGACCTTAACTACCAAGGTCTCTCCTGTTTGGATTGGAAACAAAAAGGATGGTTTGAGCATACCTAGCACACACACCTCCACCCAATCTTGTGGTAATTCTGAATATGCCTTCTTACCACAAATCCAGTATAAATTTTCTGGGGCTCTCCAGTTAGATGTAGCCGATAGATCAAACCATACCTCTCTTAAATTGGTGTAATTAACAAAAGGATTGGTAGGCTTTGAGACATTTGAAACCGACCACCAGGTAGTATTATGGCTACTTGCATTATATGCTTTCTGTCCTAGACAAGTCAACTCGCCTACAGGTGTGTTATACATTGGACCTCCCCTAGCTAAACATAAATGACCTATTGTGGATGTTTTTATTTGCCATTCCAATTTTTCCCGTATGGTTGCTTGATTACTGGAGTGGGAAGGCATCTGTTGCTCATTTGTCTTAGAACCAGGATACCATACTTCTCTCGCTTCTCATGGCCATTGGTCTCCCATATTTATACCTCCACATACAAAGCAGTTAGTTATATTAAGACTACTTGCAATACTGTCAGCCAGATCGATGAACAGGTTCCTAGCAGTGTGGGGAGCTTAATCTTCAACACTCATCTCCTCATAAAAGGAATGGAAGACCTGATGAGTTTGGGCATTTAGGGTCTCGGTTTCAAGATATATATATATATATATATATATATATATATATATATAAAAAAAATATTCTCTTGAAACAGAGACCCTGAATGCCCAAGCTCATCAGGTCTTCCATTATATATATATATATATATATATATATATATATATATATATATATATATATATATATATATATATATATATATATATATATATAATTTCTGTCCTTGTACCATATATTTGGAAACCGAAAAGATTCCCAGACTTATTAATAAATTGCTGTATTCATGAGTACAGGATTACACTCCACTGATTTACAATGAGGAGTACTAGGTAACCTCTGAATTATCAGATCTTGGTCTACGGTTTTTCCACAGGTCGCACAACCTACACATGACCAATATGGGCAAAAGTTGAAGTCACTATTTGGACAATCAGGGTCAGTAGATAGTCTACTAGGGCATAGATATTTATCATTAAACCCATAGGTTCATTCACACTTAAGATTACCACATTTGTTCCAAGGTTTTCCACTACCAGAAATTGCTTTGCATGCATTGAATAGTAGAATGCCTAAGGAGGAAGTGGTACTTAACAAAGTTTTATTTATCAATGCCCCCATAGAGTAGGTATTTCGAAGAACCAGCCAGATTGTACGAGGTTGGAATTGGAGATCAAAGCACTTGGGTTCACCTGACAATGGCTGACACTCACAATAATCAGTGTCTTAGTATCTATATTTAGACACAGATCCTTTACATTCATAATGCGAGTGCCAAATAAGAGTTTGGGATATCTGGTTACCTGTTTTTGTAGTCTTAATACAACTATCACAGCCTTGTATGTCATCACTTTTACATTCCGTATATATAATAAAAACACTAAAACACACAAAGAAATACATTGTGATTGAAGTCTTCATCCACATTTTCAACCGTGCGACGGCACCTCAGCTTCCCGCTTGTGAGGGCTGCAAGGAATGTTGTTCGTCTGATCCTCTGTTCCCTTCATAAAGGTCCCTTCGAGACACTCTGGCTATAAAAAGGTTGGTAGGTGGTCAGGCTTTATTATGGCCATAAAAACACCTACTTGCTGCTCACTGATATCTTTCTAAACCACGGTTTTTGAAAATCGTCTCGTACCTTTAATCAAACTTCAGAGACAGCTTCTTTTCCAGTAGCTCCTATTACAGTGACGGTCTTTCCAGACGGAGGGGCTACTAATTTGGTCACAACAGAGTATTAAACACGTATCAATCATGAAGGGACTTTTCTTTTCTCCTATTGTTACTTCGACCATAGGCTCCGCTCGGCCAAGGGGGATGGAGCCCGGTTTGTATCAATAGTCCTCCATGACCGTATCAGCCAGACCCACAAAGTCCCTATCGTCCCTATCTTTTGGTCTCTGAGTAGGGGGATAGTATCTACCTTCCTGGACATCTCCTCTGTTACTACTGTCGCTCCCTCCAAGACTTCCTCTTCCTCTATAACCATCTCTATAACCACCTCGTCCCCTTTTCTCCTCTTGTCTAAAACTTGCTTTATATCCCCTCTGTGGGCAGTCACTTTTCCAATGTCCTTCCTCTCTGCAATACGCACATTGATTTCCACCGAACTGTGGTCTGTCATTCCTAATCTCACCTTCCCTTTCTATCTCTCCTCCTTGTCTATCCACTTCTGTAATTTCTATAGCTATTACATTCTGCGTTCCTCCTCACGCTTCCCTATTCATATAAAACCTGTTTGCAATTTCCATTAGCTGTGTTATGGACATCCCTTCAAATCCTCTCACTTTTGCAATTTCCACTCTGAGCCTGGCTGACGAATGCGTAATTATTCATATGAGAATTTTCAGGGGCTTCGGGATTAAAAGGGCTATCCAGTCTGTAGGATTCACGCACTAGGAGATTCATCAGTTTTTTTTGTAATACTTCAGCTGTTCTTGACATGTTTATAGCCTTTTTCCCACCTGCGTTCATGCCTATAATAATGGCTTGTTGGTAAGCTTTTAAATAAATCATATCACCAATCTGGATCTGTATTGGTGAAATGGGCAGCAGTCCAAGCCACTGGATTTGCTTGGTTTTGGGTATGGGCAGTCTCCTCAAGAGCTTTAAGGGCCGCTTGGTTGATAGGGGGGCCTTTCCTTGGAACTTAATAAAGTTAATAGTAACTGTTGATAATCAGCCCAAGTAGGGTTGTGGGTTTGTATGATCGATGTGACCAAATCAGTCATAGCTTGTGGTTTTTCCATTTATGAGGGGTCATGGGTTTTCCAAATAAATAAGTTGGTTGTAGTAAAGTGAACATAATCACATACAGGGTCTCAGTCTCCCAATTGCAACTGGCCATTGCCATCAATGTATGTTGGGCCAGGTGTAAGTCGGAGAGGCATCTGTAAATGCCAGGTTGGAGGGTACCAGTAATCATACATGTTAAAACCGGACTATGGACATTTGTAGAATATTTGTCCTCTAACAAGTTCCGGTTAGGGATCGTCAGGTGGGTAGAGGAAGCTAAGTTAATCATGTCGGTCGGTAATTTCGTTAATAAAATATTTTGGACAGGGCTGGGAGGAGCCTGACCAGTAACTAAAAAGGTCAAAAGTGTATTCCAGTGTTTTATACCATTGATCATTTCTTCCAGTTGTATTTTAGACCCCGTTACTGTTACTGAAGGCACACAGGGCTCAGTAGTTGTAGTGCTATGTCAGTGATTATGGTACAATGTCATTTCTGAGAATTATCTGATTTTAATAAACTCAGTTACTGTTATTAAGAACTCTCGTCAAAATTTTGACTGTTAATAATAAAATTGAACAATAATAAAATACGGTAAAATACACTCCTACCAAAAAGGAAGTCAGTTCAGGGTACAAAGCACCAGTGGGGGTAGGCACAGGAATAGGTGTGTCCAGGACAGATAAACTAGTATCGAAGGTGGGTGAGTGGGTAGGTGGAGACAATAGGGCAGGGGGAGTGGAAACACCAGCTACACCAGTTTTATCTTGGGAGGAAGAGTAGGGGGTTGGTAAAGGCACATCAGATTCAAGGGGGATGTCCAAACTCGGTGGAGTTAAGACCTTAGTGGACAAACAAGTTCTGGCAACCATGAGGCTGCATCGTTCCTTGTGGCATAACTTGATCCAATTAGGCTGTTTTCCCAACAATTTGCTTCTAACAATCAATATACAGAAACTAATCATAAAGCCCCAGCATACTAGTTATAACAATGTGAACCTGCTGTATTAACCCCTTAAGGACCGGCCTGTTTTTGCGATGTTGTACGTTAACGACCAGGGCTCTTTTAACACTTTTGTGGTGTTTGTGTTTAGCTGTAATTTTCCTCTCTCTCGTTTACTGTTCCCATACAAGTTATATATTGTTTTTTTCAGGACAAAAAGGGCTTTCTTTACATACAATTATTTGTATCGTGTCATATAACTTACTTTAAAAAAAAATATGGTGAAAAATTGAATAAAATACATATTTTTTTACTTTTGCTTGAAAAATATTTTACTTATCTATGAAAGCTAATGAAAAAAACTGCTAAATAGATTCAAAATTTTGTCCTGAGTTTAAAAACACCCAGTGTTTACGTGCTTTTTTCCTTTTTCTTTTTTTTGGCAAGTTATAGGGCTACAAATAGGAAATTGCTGTTTCAATATATATATTTTTAAAATGTATCAAAAGTGACATTGTAACACTATTATCGGTCATAAATCTCCGAATCACACCCCACATGTACGCATTTTTTTTTAAAGTAGACAACCCAGGGTATTCAATATGGGTTATGTCCAGTCTTTTTTAGTAGCCACTTAGTCACAAACACTGGCCAAAGTTAGCATTCATATTTGATTGTGTGTGAAAAAAGTAAACTAAATTGAACGCTAATTTTGGCCAGTGTTTGTGACTGTGGCTACTAAAAAAGACTGGACATACCCCATTTGCAATACCTTGGGTTGTCTTCTTTTGCAAATGGTATGCCATCATGGGGGTAATTCTCATTCCTGGGCTACCATACGCTCTCAAAGGAAACGTAAACAACCTGCCAATTTTTCAATGTAAAAATATTTGACCCTGTAACTTTCAAAATAGCTATAAAACCTGTACATGGGGGGTACTGTTATACTCGGGAGACTTTGCTGAACACAAATATTAGTGTGTCATAACAGTAAAACATATCACAACAATTATATCATCAGTAAAAGTGCTGTTTGTGTGTGAAAAATGCAAAAAAAGTCACTTTCACTGACAATAACATCGCTGTGATATGTTTTACTGTTTTAAATCACTTCTATTTGTGATCCATCATCCATCCCTCTCTATCCACCCATCCCTCTCTATTCATCCATCACGCTGTATCCATCCATCCCTCTTGATGGATGGATAGAGAGGGATGGATGGAGAGAGTGTGTGTGTATGTTTACAATATATACTATTTGTGTGTTTGTATACAAACACTATATATAGAGATCTCTCTCTATATAGTGTTTCTATGCAAACACACAAAGTTTGGGCTGAGGAGGGTTGCGGTAGGAGGGGGCCATAGACAGCGAGCTGTGCTGTCAGTCAGCTCAGCTCACGAACGCGCATACCACACTTTGCCACACTTTTAAACTTTGCCAAAGAAATACATTGAGTCAATGCTTTCATATGGAGATTTCGGCATCATCTAACAGAGTTTTAGTCATCAGTGCAGTGGAAGCACCTCCAGTGGCTGACAGCCACTAGAGATGGACTTAATTTTATTGTAAAGTGCTGCAGAATAAGCTGGTGCTATATAAATAATAATAATAATGCTGCAATTTAAACATTTTAACATTGCATGGTAAAAAGGACAGGGACACTGCACCTAGACTACTTTATTGAGATTAATTCTGCATGAACAGCAATGTTTACAGCGCCGGGTGTAAATCCTTCTAGTGGCTGTCACTGACAGCTACTAGAGGTGCTTCCTTTGAAATACGGTCATAAAACTCAGCTATTTCTATCAGATGATCATAGAGACCGTCTGACTGGCAAATTGCAGTGTTTTACCGTGCATGCTTATTAGCCTACCAATGCTTTCCTCTGGGATCTGTACTTGGATCCATTCTCTTTAATATTTTTGTTAGTGATATTGCAGAAGGTCTTGATGGAAAAGTATGTTTTTTGCTGAAGATATGTAACAGGGTTCATGTTCCAGGAGGGATAAGCCAAATGGCAAATGATTTTGGTAAACTAGAAAAATGGTCAGAGTTGTATCTTGGACGTAAAAACCCAAGAGTTCTAATCTCAACATCTGAGGAAAGGGATTTCAGATGACTTAAAGGTAAGAACACAATGTAATAGAACAGCAGGAAATGCTAGTAGAATGCTTGGTTGTATAGGGAGAGGTATTAGCAGAAGAAAGAGGGAAGTGCTCATGCCATTGTACAGACCTCACTTGGAGTATTGTACACAGTACTGAAGACCGTATCTCCAGAAGGATATTGATACTTTAGAGAAGGGGTTCCCAATGAATTTTTCCCATGGAACTCGTTGACTTAGTGTATCAACATCGTGGAACCCCCCCCAAAAAAAATTTCACGCATAGGCTTTTAAATGCAGATGTACATTTGTGTGTAGTATTGGTGTTTAAGTGAAGGGTGTGTTTGAGTGTTTATATATGATTTTGGGGTGTCAATTCAGGGTTTGTTTTTTTTTGTACAGAAGTACATAATGTTCTTCTTGCATGTTTATTGGTATTTGCTGGGATGTATGGACATACATACATACATACATACATACATACACACACACACACACACACACACACTCACAAAGATGCACACACTGGCACATTCACCCTCCCTGGCACATAGATACACACAGTGGCACAATCGCTTCTCAGATGCACACACTGACCTACAAATATACACATTGGCACATACACACCCAGATACACACACATACACACACTCAGATGCACAAGCTGACAGACAGATATACACACTCTGGCACATACCCACCCAGATGCACACACTAGCACTTACACACACATACAGATACACACACTGACACACAGATGTACACACTCTGACACACAAATACACACTGGCATATACACACACACTCAGATTCACACAGTGGCACATATACACACTTACACACAGATACAGTTGCAAGAAAAAGTATGTGAACCCTTTGGAATGATATGGATTTCTGCACAAAATGGTCATAAAATGTGATCTGATCATCATCTAAGTCACAACAATAGACAATCGCAGTCTGCTTAAACTTAATAATACACAAAGAATGAAATGTTGCTATGTTTTTATTGAACACACCATGTAAACATTCACAGTGCAGGTGGAAAAAGTATGTGAACCCCGAGACTAATGACATCTCCAAGAGCTAATTGGAGTGAGATGTCAGCCAACTGTAGTCCAGTCAATGAGATAAGATTGGAGGTGTTGGTTACAGCTGCCCTGCCCTATAAAAAAACACACACCAGTTCTGGGTTTGCTTTTCATAAGAAGCATTGCCTGATGTGAATGATGCCTCGCACAAAAGAGCTCTCAGAAGACCTACAATTAAGAATTGTTGACTTGCATAAAGCTGGAAAGGGTTATAAAAGTATCTCCAAAAACCTTGCTGTTCATCAGTCTGCGGTAAGACAAATTGTCTATAAATGGAGAAAGTTTGGCACTGCTGCTACTCTCCCTAGGAGTGGCCATCCTGTAAAGATGACTGCTCAATGAGGTGAAGAAGAATCCTAGAGTGTCAGCTAAAGACTTACAAAAGTCACTGGCAAATGCTAACATCCCTGTTAGCGAATCTACAATATGTAAAACACTAAACAAGAATGGATTTCATGGGAGGATACCACAGAGGAAGCCACTGCTGTCCAAACAAAACATTGCTGCACGTTTACAGTTTGCACAAGAGCACCTGGATGTTCCACAGCAGGGCCTGGACGGATTGCTATCATCGAAGGAAAAATGAATTCCCAAGTTTATCAAGACATTTTGCAGGAGAACTTAAGGCCATCTGTCTACCAGCTGAAGCTCAACAGAAGATGGGTGTTGCAACAGGACAATGACCCAAAGCATAGAAGTAAATCAACAACAGAATGGCTTAAACAGAAGAAAATACGCCTTCTGAAGTGACCCAGTCAGAGTCCTGACCTCAACCGATTGAGATGCTGTGGCATGACCTCAAGAAAGCGATTCACACCAGACATCCCAAGAATATTGCTGAACTGAAACAGTTCTGTAAAGAGGAATGGTCAAGAATTACTCCTGACCGTTGTGCACGTCTGATCTGCAACTACAGGAAACGTTTGGTTGAGGTTATTGCTGCCAAAGGAGGTTCAACCAGTTATTAAATCCAAGGGTTCACATACTTTTTCCACCTGCACTGTGAATGTTGTGGTGTGTTCAATAAAAACATGGCAGCATTTCATTCTTTGTGTGTTATTAGTTTAAGCAGACTGTGATTGTCTATTGTTGTGACTTAGATGATGATCAGATCACATTTTATGACCAATTTGTGCAGAAATCCATATCATTCCATCATTCCTAAGGGTTCACATACTTTTTCTTGCAACTGTACACACGCTCTGTCACACAGCACCTACACACACACACACACACACACACACATATAAAGATGCACACACACACACACACACACACATATAAAGATGCACACACACACACACACACACACACACACACACACACACACACATATATAAAGATGCACACACTGACACACAGATATAGGCACACTTAGATACATACAGGAACAAATACACACACCTTGACACACAGATGCATTCTGACACACACACACTGACAAATAAACATAACTTGATATTCACACTGACACACACACACACACACAAACACTCAGATACACAGTGACAAATACACACACATTGGCACATATACAGGCCATGCTTTTTATATTTATTTAAATTTTTGTGGTTGAAGAGTTAATCTAATAAATTGGAAGAGATTTTTTTTACCCCAGAAATAGACTTTGATAAATCTCCCCTGAATTTACACTAGCTAAATGGGTGATGGCTGAGTCAGATTGGCTAACTGGGGATGCATGGAGCTCAGGGATCTCCCCAAGGAGAACCCCTGGTAATGGGATGGGGAGAGTAGGGATTATTAGGCAAGTCCAAGCTCAAAAAAGGCAAAATATGAAATTAAAAGGAAACCGCAGGAAAGGGTGCATCATAATTATCTGAACATTTTGGTCTCCCCACATTAAGTATCCAGAGATGAAGATGCAGGTGGTCTGAAAGCCCACATGGAAGCCTGTAGGTCAGTACTTGCCCCAGGAGCAGGGTTCCCTACACGTTCTTCGTCTCTTCATGAGACTCTGCTCTGTGCTGCAGTAAGACTCGCCTCTGTGTCGTAGGATGATCGTGCCCGGTCCGCCTCCGTTTTTGTGCCTTCACCACAGGGAGTGCTGAGGACTCCTGCTGGGGACTTGAAACTGACACTTCCTCCCAGCATCCGAGACTACCGCTGGGTTATGGTCTTAAACGGCCGTAGCACCTCACTGGGCCCCTGTTAGCAATGCCCATCGGGTGGTCCTAAGTGCATGGGCCACCCAGTGGGCAAATTGCGGCAGAACCCGGTTTTGTCCGCAGAACACCAGTTGGGAAACCCGGTATTGTCTGCGGAACACCAATTGGGAAACACTGCTATAGAGAGTTCAGAGAAGAGCTACTAAACTGTTTCATGGATTGCAGGATAAAAGTTACAAGAAAAGGTTAAAGGATGTTAACATGTATAGCTTGGAGGAAAGACGAGACAGGGAGGATATGATAGAAACATTTAAATACATAAATGGAGGAAACTAAGTTTAAAAGAAGAAAAACTAGCACAACAAGAGGACATAGTCTTAAATTAGAGGGGCAAAGATTTAAAAATAATATCAGGAAGTATTACTTTACAGACGGCAGTGGATGCATGGTATAGCCTTCCAGCTGAAGTGGTAGAGATTAACACAATAAAGGAGTTTAAGCATGCATGGGATAAACATAAGGCTATCCTAGCTATTCGATAAAGCCAGGGACTAATGAAAGTATTTAGAAAATAGTGCAGACTAGATGGGCTGAATGGTTTTTATCTGCCGCCACATTCTATGTTTAGAAATACACATTTGTGTTTCTAAGCCGATAAGTGTTGAATGATAATGGCCATTTTCATAAGTCTTACTATTTTAAAGACCACGGATTTGTATTCTGCTCCAGCTACCAGTACAGAAATACCCAAGTGTATACTATTGACAGTTTTTTTGGGGGGGGAACTTTTTTTCTTAACTTATAATTTAATTGTTTTTATAGATTTCAGAAGTTTACATAATGCACTACATATATAAAATACAAATAGATGAGATTGTTCATAAATTAAGAGAAGAGAAAGAAAGGAAACTGTAACTAAGAGAGGACATTTTGGTAAAATTAGAGGCATGGCTTAATTTCACATATCTCTTTACTTGCTTCCCACAAATAGTCTAGTTGATAATTAACTTATTTGCAGCTACCACACTGTTATGTGTAATTCCCCCAAAAAAAACACAACAAAAACTTCAAAATATACTCAGTGGAGCACTATATAAAATGCATGCAATCAAAACATGATATCTAAATAATTAAAAAAGATATCCATTATCTCTCTACAATCCGGTATATGTACCTTTAAGAAAACAATTCCTCTCTAAAATAGTGTAAAGCCTTTTAACCAACATAATATAAAAGTGTCTAAAACGCAACACTCGCATATTCCAGTGCTATAAAACCTAGCTCTGGTGTTAGATGATCTTTGGTAATAATAAGATTGATAAACAGTTTAAAATGTATATATGATATTTCCTTATATATCGTATAAACTTACATAAAACCCATATAAATAGTTAAAACTTTTAACATATAGGTATTTCAGAACTTAGTTTATCTAAATTCATTATAAAACTTGTTCCTGCACATCAGAGAGAGGTAATATTGAACTTAACCATACAAAGCTACTGAGCCATTTGATAGGCTCTATGCTTGTGAGTACAATTTTTAAAAAACATTTTTATGAAAAATAAACATAAGAAAAATGATATATACTTTTTAGAGTGGATATCCCATTCACAGTTTGATATTTTGATTGCATGCATTTTAAAAGGACACTATAGGCTCCCAGACCACTTCATGTCATCGAAGTGGTCTGGGCACAGTGTCCCTGTCTCACTTTTATGTGGTTCTGGGAGGCTGATTTCAGTCGAGTGTGCTAGGATCGCTTTTAGCTGTAGGTAGGAGAATAGTGTTTGGTGTGGTAAGTCATATTTCCGCTGCAGGTCTGGAACTGCAATAGTGCCCCATGGTGGTAAAGGTGTCTGACCAGTGTGCATACCCACCGATCCACGGTCGGTGGTCTAGTGTGGGGTTGGCTAAGTGTTAGCTGTATGTGGGTGTAGCCATCGTCCATGCTTTTGTGTACCCCAGTTGTGGTTTTATTGTGTCCCATGTTTTCAAAAGTAGCTTTGTGGTGCTGGGCATAACTGGAAGTTTTAGGGCGTAGATTATATGGAACCCAGAAAAGGTATTTTAGGCCTTTAGGACACGCCCACACTGACTCCATTGTGGTGTGTTGTTTGCGGTACGTGACTGTATGGCCGTGGCCAGGAGGGCAGCTCTGTAGTATGATTGCATCTCCGGCAGGGCCCCCCCCCCCCGTTCCAGGGACCTATTTAGTAATGTAGCTACCTGGATATTGCGGTAGGCCCATACAAATCTAGTAAAGGTTTGTTGGTGTTATCGCAAATATGTATTGGGTACATGTATCTGTAGTGTTCTGATTAGATAGTGGAATTTTGGGAGCAACAACATCTTCACCGCTGCCAGCCTCCCCACCCATGACAGGTACTTGTCATCCCATTTCCTCAAAGTATGTCTGATCTCACTCAATAATTTCCCATAATTAAGGTTCCGCAGTCCCGCCGGATCTCTAGGAATTCGCAGTCCCAAGAAGGTGGGATGGTCATCTCTACATTCTGGTCTATATTGTGATTGGGCACTCCCACCCCCATTGCTTGAGTTTTCGTGATGTTTAGTTTGTAGTATGACTGCTCCCCATACAGTTGTATTTCCTGTAAAAGGTTTGGTAGCGAGACCTGTTGCTGTGTTGTGATGGGCAATTGTAGGTATAATACACATTGCTAAATTGTATTTCTTTAAACTGCAACTGTTTCTTTAACTAATAACCTTCTACCTACTTTCAGTACACAACATGTTTTAAACCTATTTTCAGTACACAACATGTTTACTCCATCTTGTCTTTGATTAATGCAATAACAATTCAAGGCTTTGCCTAGGTCAACCTAACTTCTAGTCCAAATAAAGATTAAAGATGTCTAGGTTATGACAATAGACTGATAAGGATGTTTTTCTTTTCTTTTTATATATGAACCGCTTTTAACCCTAAGGTGAATTAACCCATAAATTACCAGTAGTAATTAGAAATGCTATAATATATATATATATATATACACACACACACACGATCAATGCTAGGCAGAGACTTGCTGACCGACTCTGGAGGTGACATGTACTGAGAGAGATTACCTGTATAATCAGGAGGGCATGTTATACTAATACTTTATATATATATATATATATATATATATATATATATATATAATATTGCAAGCATATATTCATTTACTTCTATATACTCTTCTTTATGATATATTAATGGATATATCTGTATTCATTTATATTCAATAAACTATTTTAATAAGACAAAAGTTATTGTTTCCAACTCCTATTTTTATTGTATTCTCAATTATTTATGGATTTTAAATAGAGAAACTCTATACCGACTAATATAATATTTTCGCTAAGATAGCTGTATGATTAGCCCTGCTAAATTCTGTTTTAAGACGTTATAGCGGTAAATAGGGGTACTAGCGGTTACAGTGTGAGCGTATGTAGTACATCGTCAACGAGCAGGTACTCTTTCTCTCCTACTTGGATGCCATGAATCGAGGTGTTTGTCCGTATTTTGGTCGCTAAGGGCTCTAATGCCAATACATATAGCAGGGGGAACAGCCCTGCCTCGTGCCGTTTGTAAGCTGGAATGGTTCGGACAGAAACCCCGAATTAAGTACCTATGCTGAGTGTGAACTTTACAGTGCCTCTATCACTGACACAAAACCTTCTGGGATGTCAAATCTATCTGCCTTCAAGAACCCCCAGTGTAGTCGATCAAAGGCCTTTTCAGCATCGAGAGAGACAAATAGTCCCCCCCGCTGCTGTGTCTTCAAGATATGGAGGAGGTTGATAACCTTTCTTGTGTTGTCCGACCCTTGTCTGCCCTTTATAAAGTCCACCTGATCGGTGTGGATTATGTGTGGCAGTATGGTCCCTAGTCTGTTCGCGAATAGTTTTGCATCTGTATTCAAGAGCGAGATGGGACGAAAATTTTGTGGGGAGGTTGGGGGTTTGTTCGGTTTTGGCAGTGTTTCGATATGGGCTAATAGTATTTTCTTGGGGAGCTGGCCATGAAGATCAGCGTCATTGAATGTTTTAACTAGGTATGGAGTCCATGTCGAACTGAATTTTTTATGATATGAGTTTTCGAATCCGTCTGGTTCAGGGGACTTCCCCGTTGGGAGGGATTTAATTATAGATAGTATTTCTTGGTTGTCTATCGGTTTGGAGAGGTCTGCCTGCTGGCGTGGTGTGAGCTTTGGTAGCCTTACCCCATCTAAGTAGTCATTTATACTAGTATCGTTCAGTGTGTCGTCTTGTAAGTTATATAAAGTAGAATAGTATTTGGCAAAGACATTGCTGATACCCTTGGGTGGTGGTGTTTTGGTACCCTTGTTGTCCTTTAGGGAGGAGATTTTTTGGTTTGCCTGTCTAGTTTTTTATATGGCGCGCTAAAAGCCTACTTGCCTTATTACCCTGTAGATAATGGGTGATTTTGAGTTTCTGCATGTAGGTACCTAGCTGGTCGATTGCCTGCTGGTGTAAGAGTCTGGTGATGTGTGATCCAGTCTCTCGCTGCTGGCATTGGGTTAGTTTGTTTTTGCCTGTTTAAGTCGTATAGTTCTTGTTGCCAAGCTCTGAGCTTGGAGTGAGTGATCCTTTTCATGTAGGCCGCCCTACGGATCAGTAACCTTCTTGCTACCATTTTGTGGGCAAGCCACACTGTCGCGTTTGTTACGTCCCCAGTATCGTTAAACTTAAAATAAGATTTAAGGTCGCCTGTCAGGGTCTCGACGAAGTCCCCATCTCTCAGCAAGGAATCATTTCGTTTCCATGGGCTGCGATGTTTAAAGTCATACATATTTTTTAGTTCTAAGGTCACTGGTGCGTGGTCTGACCAAGGGATTTGGTGTATGTCGCACGAGAGTAGTTGGTTCAGGTGAAACCTGATCGGAGGAATCCGTGTATTTTTGAGTATGAGTTGTGAACTGTGGAATAATGTGTGTATGCTTTTTTTCTGTGGGATCTGTGATCCTCCATGTGTCGTATAGGTGATTAGCATGGAGGAGTTTTGCAATGGACCTGCATTGCCATTGCAGAGGGCATTGGCTTCGGCTCTGTTGGGGGGAGTGTTGTATCCAGTTTTGGGTCGAAGACATGGTTGAAGTCCCCCCCTAAAACTGTAATACCTTTTTGAATGTTAGCTTCTCTTTGTAGGATTTTATGTAAGTAATTTCTTTGGTTGGTGTTAGGGGAGTACACGTTCACTATGGTGTATAGCATGTCGTTAATCCTGTAACAATTACATATCTGCCGTTAGTGTCTATGTCATGGGATTATAGTGCAAACTTAATGTTTCTACTTAATAGAATGGATGCCCTTCTGGACTTGGTGGGAGAAGTTGCATGAAACTGATGTGGGAAGTCTGTGGCCAGTATCTTGGGGTGATCATTGTGCCGGAAATGAGTCTCCTATAAGCACAATATGTCCACTCCTAAGATCTTGACCTCTCTAGTGAGAAGATGACACTTTACTGGGGCATTGAGTCCCCTAACATTGAAGGTATATAACTTCAGTGTTTTTTTGGGATGGAATTTGGTGGATAACATGTAGTGGTTCATTATTGCTAAGGCCACCGCTCTCCCCTGCCTAGTCAATCCGAGCCGTGGAGCCCTCCCTACTCTGGTTACTGTTCCCATGTGGTCAGCGGAGTAGGGTGTCTGATTTCTCAGTAGTGGTAAGAGCTTTGTGTGTGTAGGTGGTAGTGTCGGGTCACTCACTAACCCTGCACCATCCAATATACCATCCAATATAACATTATGAGAAACATACAGCTTTCGGTTAGGCTAGAAAACATAATTAACACAAAAGAAAGTATATACAAGAACATATAATGCCAGTATAATGGCTTGGCACTGCATTATCGTGCCACAGGGGGAGAAACTTAGGGCCTCACACCCACTGGGAGCTCCCTCCCTGAATGGCTTTATATATTTTCCATCTAGGTGTTCTAGCCCTGTATTGAACTTCTATAGTGTATTCCCAGTCCAGCTTCATAGCAACTCCTTCAGTACAGTCTTGTGGGTATGCGTGAGCTCTGACATATTAATACCCGCTCATTGTGCTTGTTCTTATTGTGAATGACCCCTCTTAAGGTGGAGCCGTCACAGCAATCAAGTTCCCCTAATCTGTGGGAATTGGGTATAGTGGGCCTGTTCTGTTTTTTTTTTTGTTTGTGTTTTTTCTTTTATTTATTGTGGCATCTAATTAGGGGTTTTAGGCCTCTCGCGTACCTGTGACCAGCTGGCAGTTGATCTCCCGCTATCTCTCTAGTCCCTGTGCCTGTCATGAAAAAAGAAAATGCTACGTTACCCTGACCCAGTGATTGTTGATCATCATGGATTAAGGAGCTCGGGGTACCGGGGTGCATACACTCATAGTCCAAAAGTCTTATGTTTTCTTCGCCTTCTTCCACTCCGGCGACACTCTGATCCTGCTCCTCTCCACGCTGGGTTGCTCAAGTGGTGCAATGTTCCATGAGCTCAGTATGCGGTTTCCTTCCTCTGGGGTCCCTGCATATATGTTGCATATGTATCCATTATTTCCTTTTATCGGAAGCCAAAAGAGTTTGCACTCACTTCCATCTTACTGTCTGCCTTATGAGATTTACATGGAGTATGGGCTATTTGTTTTTCTGTACGAAGTAATCTTACTGTGAAGCAATGGTATAATCAAGTCTTAATATATTATTAAACATTATGAACAATTTAAGTTAAGCTTTATCAAAAGCATTTTACGTATAATGAAAACGCTAAATCCATAACAAAATCAACATTTGTTTCACCCAGATTTAGTCTTCCCTTCTCTTGATACTATAAGTTTGGTGGGATGCCCCCATCGGTAAGGAAGATGGTGCTCTCTTAGTTGCGTGGTAATCATCTTGAATTCCCTCCGGCGCTTTAGGGTGTAGGCAGAGATATCCGTGAAGATGGTCATCCCTCTGCATGCAGAAGGCAGCTCTTTGTGTTTTCTGTTTGCGTTGAGAACTGCTTCTTTAGTGTGAAAATAGTGCATCCTGATCAACACATCCCTAGGTGTGTCCGGGGGTAGGAATTTTGGCTTGGTGGTCAATGGATCATGTCAAGGAGGAACAGGTCGTGTGGCAGGTCTGGCACAAGCTCTCTCAGCTGGCCTATTACATGGGCTGTAATCTCAGCTGTGCCCACAATTTCGGCAATGCCCCGTATGCGTACGTTATTGCGGCAGGCACGTTCCTCCGTGTCCGCCAGCCTGATGTCTTGTTCATCTAGACTGGAGGTAAGGTAACCGTGCACGCCAGAGTGTAGTGTGCCTCCGCACGTTCCGCTTGGTGATCTTCTACGTGGGACGTTCGGCTGCCTAGATCTTTCAGGTCTTTGCGAAGCTCTTTTATGGCTGTATCCAGTTTTGCCAATATCTTATCGGACATTTCGTCCAGGAGGTTTTTTTTAATGAGTTTTGTGTCAGCATGGCTTCCAGTTGTACAGGCACTGATGTATTTTCTTGTTCAGCATCCACGCCATCTTGGGCCTGTTCAGGCTGGTATGAGGCTCGCCCTTGCCCGGCTCTGGAGGCGAAGAAATTCAGCATGTCTCCTCTCTCCATGGTCCTTTTCCCTTTAGATAGCAACATTGTGAGGAGGATTTTCTTTTCTTTTTTTATTTTTTATTTCGGGCTGTAATTGCTCATTAATAGCCCTCGAGGTACGGAGCTTCAACTATATGCGTCTACTCCGTTCCGAGACCAGGACAAGCCCCATAATTTTTGTAATTTAATCATAATTAACTCTAACCCTAGCTAACACACCATGGGATTTCATGCAATTTTTTGCAGTTTGACCCATAGGTTGAGTGATTACTGTGAAAGCAATCACAGTGAACAGATTTTCTTAGTGATCAACTAAGGCATCATTTGTCTCCTAAGGTGATCAGCCAGCCTGGAATACAATCTGCTTTTAGTAAAGCCATGCCAATCTACGTGTGCACGGGGCAGAGAGGATGTCTGCAGCCCAGCAGTATGGGTTGAGGCAGAAGATAGCGTGACAGGGGAACCTCTGTATTGGTATTCTTGGCCGCCTTGAGTCTGAAGTAGCCAGCTGTATCTCAGAACATTTCACGAATGGCATGTACTGTAGCTCCCACAAACCACCATGCACTTTTGGTGAGAACCACAATTTGTGGGCCTTTTGAAACAGATGGTGTACAGAGTGCTGCCACTGTTGGAAACAGATAAAACTATAGAAATGTATCTAGGAGCTTGCATAGTGCTTTACAAAAGGTACTGATTTAAGTTAGCATACATGTTTCAAATTAATTATTGCTAATGATTTATTTTTAATGAGCTGATCCGGTATGTTTTGTAGAGAATTTAGTATGCCATTAAATGTAATGGCTGTCTTGCTGCATGCAATTTTATTATTTTGAAGCTTTCAGCATTGATCGTAAAGCAGGTCCTGCTTTAAGTTTATTCATCGATATTATAAAACCTGTAATGTGATTTTTGACTGCATGAACAGTCCAAATAAGTAGAATATATTTATGCCAGCAATGACTTTAACATTCATTGGGAAGTTTTGTATAATGTTAACATCTTCATTTATGGAAATTACCAAAAATAGTTTTAGAACATTGGAACTACATAAGCCTGCAGCATGTTCCTCTTTGCACAACTCATTCCTTCCTTTTTTTTTTTCTTCCTATATCATGTTTGCTTCCTGAATTCCCATGCATTTTTGTTTTCTGACATTCCCATAACGCTTGCTCGGGTGGGGATATTGCACATTACTAAGTTGCATGTTTTCTCAGTGCAATTTAGTATGTGTGATATTTTCATATGAGTGCATGCACGGGCCTGCATATATGTTGCATATGTATCCATTATTTCCTTTAATCGGAAGCCAAATGAGTTTGCACTCACTTCCATCTTACTGTCTGCCTTATAAAATTTACATGGGTTATGGGCTATTTGTGTTTTTGTACTAAGTAATCTTACTGTGAAGCAATGGTATAATCAAGTCTAAATATATTATTAAACATTATGAACAATTTAAGTTACGCTTTATCAAAAGCATTTTACATATAATGAAAACTCTAAATCCATAACAAAATCAACATTTGTTTCAACCAGATTTAGTAAAAAAAAATGATTTATTTCACTGTTATTGTTAAGCATTGTGTATGTGCATAAAACATTTGCTGTGGTAATGTGCATGCTTGCCATTTGAAGTGTTTGATTTGTACAACTCTGCCAAACTAATATTTTTACTTCTGTTCTTTCTTTTTGAATGATGTGTTTTTCATTTTTAGGGGTGTATTTGATGCTTCCCTAAAAATGGCATGCTTCTATGGACTATATACTTGGCTCACTCATACAGTCTTTGGGATAAACATTGTCTTTATACCATCTGGTAAGATTTATCTCGGTACTCAGATCCAGATATTTTAAATATATGCTTGTAAATAAGCACTGGTGTGTTTATAAACTAATTTTGTTAGTGCTATAAATAATTACACAGTAACGTGTGTGTGTGTGTGTGTGTGTGTTGTATGCACAGGACACTGGGGTTTTGCAAAACGCAAATCTAGAGGACACAGGAGTACAACACATACCATGAGCTTGCTTACAGCTTACCATAATATCTTACATTACCTGTGTTTTTTTGCAACCAGATTGAGCTTTGGTGTTTCTTGCTTTAAAATGTAGTTAATCGTGTAAAGGTGAGTGATATTCTTGAGAATCAAATGCTTACTGATTGATGACAGAACTTGCCTTGTATATGTTTATGCTCACCAAGTGGGATTAGCAACTCTGTTCTATTAGGATCTTGGCTCAGAAAATGAAACTAACGTCAACTAAACACAAAATTAAACTAACCTCTTTTCTTCTGGCCTCTATAATAGACTGATACAATTTAATAGCGTTCATTTAAAATAAAACAGGACATTTTTATAAATAATGACTAGTTCCTTAATACGTTCTACACAGCTGCCATAATTTAAGTAGAACTTTTTTGTTTGTTTTTTTTGACTGGGGGCAATGCCTAATTAATATATAATAAAACCCATGTCTATATGAGTGATATTCAACATCAACATAAACATGCACTGATTAAGAATATATATTTATTACATAATGTTTTAGTAGTTTAATTATCTTAATATTTACTCAACTGCTGCATGGTGTATTTGATTTTCATGGTGTAACACTTAAGGTGTGCCCAAAATTTAGATTTTCCATTGCAGTGTCTTTGCCTATATTCAAAGTCTGCAATTTGAACAGCTTTAATTGTAATATACGTGCTTATAGTCTCATGTTTTTTTCCCATGTCTTCTGCACCTTAGCTCTAGCAGCAATCCTTGGAGCTGTGCCATTTCTTGGAACATACTGGGCAGCTGTGCCAGCTATGTTGGATCTTTGGTTTGCCCAAGGAGAAAGCTGTAAAGCAGTGTTGCTCTTAGTGTGCCATTTATTGCCAACATACTGTGTGGATACAGCAATTTACTCTGATATTTCTGGGTGAGTATTAAATTGGAACAGAGCTGAGGGTTTACTGAATGTATTCTATCTTTTATTTTCTTCTTCTTAAAGAGGTACTGTCACTTTTTCACTCTAACCAGTGTTTTGTACACAATTCCTATTGTAATGGTTTCTCTTTAGGTATAAATGATTTTGTATTGTTAAAAAAAAACAAAAAAAAAACTGTAATGGTTAAGTCTCCTAAAAGGCATTACAAGCTTGTAGAAATTGCACTACAAGAAAGATTCACAAAGTGGGATTATTGTCATAGATGATCTCTCCCCCCACTCCCCCACTAAGTGTGCATGTGTGTATATACACACACATAATCCTTGAACAATCAGCACACAATCAAATTTACTTTTACATTTATGTTCACAAGCGTCAATGCTTCAATTCCATGCTTGAATTTTCATCAGGACAATTGAATATAAAGGAAACTTGAAATTAGAAGGCAGATAGTGTGGGCTAATCAATGATTATATTGTTACAATGTCAAGGAGTGGGATATACTAGTCAGCAAGTGAACAGTCAGTTCTTGAATTTCATGTGTTGGAAACAGGAAAAATGGACAAGTGAAAAAAATCTGAGCGATGTGTCAGGATTTTGGGCTTGTTGATGGATGTAGTGAGTTAAGGTAAACTTATGTACAATAGAACAGTGGAGCGCTTATTTATAATTGTGGTACACCACATGCAATACCAGTGATGCACTTAAATAAACACTTAACTTTTTATACATAGATGTATATTCTGTTGTAGTGGTACCTTTATGAAAAAAATAAAGTGTACATAGTGCAAACTATTAAACACTTATGAATGTGATATTTGTAATAACAAGGGAACACGCACAGATTCCAGAGCTATGAAAACCTAGCTCTTGTATGAAGCACTTGAGTCAGTTTAGGGCGACCCCCTCCCCTTTTCCAATGGATAGAAATATAGGCTCCCTTGGTATCTCTGGAAAATGTATACACAAAATATAGTGAAGTTCCGTTTGGATATATAGCAACAAATAAGTAGAGCTGTTATACTCACAAGAGTAGAGCCTTTGAACTGGCTCAGTAAAACAACTCCCTTCTTTACACCACTGGAATCCATAAGGTAGAAGTGTATATATATATTTTATTTGATACAATATAAAAACAATAAAAAATAAATAAATATAACTATCAGTCTCTGACTTAAAAGTCCATATGCAGATGAGAAAAAAAAAAAAAAAAAAACTTTTCTAGAAATATATTTTGAGTTATAAGTTTCTGACACATCTATATCTATATACAGTTAAGGTAAACTTGTCTGGTCTGATCATGAAGAAGAGCTACTGTAGCTCAAATTGCAGAACACTTAATACTGGTCATGATAGAAAGGTGTCAGAACACACAGTGCATCGTAGTTTGCTGCATATGGGGCTGCATAGCAAACCGGTTACAGTGCCCATGATGACCTCTGTAAACCACGAAAAGCGCCTTTAATGGGCATGTGAGCATCAGAGCCTCATGGAGCAATGGAAAAAGGTTGCCTGACTGATGATCAGGTGGATGTCCATGCCTCAATGCATCAGAGCTTTTTTGGCAGCATGTGGGGGACCTACACGATGTTAGACTGGTAGTTTCAATGTTGATCAATGTGTATGTATATGTATATGTGTGTGTGTGTGTGTGTGTGTGTGTGTGTGTGTGTGTATATATATATATATAATCTCTTGCTGTGCTGAAGCACCTCTTTACAAACCTACATCAGTAGAGATATGCATAGTATCATTGACAAATGCATACCACCAAATGTGTATGGGTTATATAAAAAATATTTGTCAATGTAAAGTAGAAGAAGCATATTTTGTTCTTGGCCATTTATAATCATGCTTTTCTTTATTATGTAGAGGTGGCCATCCTTATCTGACTGGCCTGGCAGTGGCTGGAGGAGCATATTATTTAGGACTGGAAGGTGCAATTATAGGTCCCATCCTCCTTTGTATACTGGTGGTTGCTTCTAATATCTACCGGGCAATGCTTATGAGCCCAACTTCATCAGTGCCAACTCCTTCATCAACTCCATGGCCATTACAAATACATCGGTAAGGAAACTGTTTATCCACGTTTTGTTTTTTTAATATAGTTTCTTTGACATAAACATTGTCTTCATAATCCTATGTTATATACAAGATATTCTTTAGTCTTTGGAAAGAAAATGATTATGAAGATACTACAATGTTCATGTCAGCGTTTCATATTATTGCGGCAGGTTCCTGGTTTATGAATTCTTTATAAAATACATTTCTAATTAGCCAACTTATAATGCCCTTAGACACAATTAAAATTCAGTGTGCCAATCTGCTAGTTATGTGAGATACAACTAATTGGATGGACCCAGTGTCCATTACCAAGGAGTTTTATTATAGATATTAAAATCTATCACTTCATATGCCTTAGCATTGAATATGTGTTTCCTTTTATATCCCTATCAATTTTCTTCCATGTTTTTATGATTACTAGGACTTTTGTTTTATTTTATTAAAAATATACTTTGTTTCTCATTTGGGTTTTATTCTAGGCAATTCAGGGAAAATCTTCCAAGAGATGACGCTTCCCAAGCTGAATGAAAGTCATGAAAACTTCTAATCGCTAAAATTAATCTTAAGAGTTGGTGGCCTTCAGACACCGTTTATGGCCTGTAATGTGCTGAATATGCCCTTAGGCTTTCTGCAGCGTGAAAGAGTATTTTTAGTGGAAACATTCAACCTTTGCATAGTGGATCCATAGGAAAACTTGATGCTACTTCGATTTTATACATCTGGGAGAAGGATCTACAAGCCTTTTGTATGAACACCTTAAATGAAGTCATTTGGATTTTTTCCACTCATAAGAACAATTATATAAGACCTTACAGCAGGGGAGTCAAACCGTGTCACCCAGGTATTGATAGTTTGCAACTCCCATAATTATCTTACAGGCAGAGTGGCTCACTGATAGTTGCGGGAATTGTACATCACAAACAGCTGGGAGTCACAGGTCATCACACCTGCCTTAAAGTGTTAATGGACATATGAAGGAGTGCTCACATGCATACTAGGGTAAAATAACTGTGCAAAAAACAAGATCTTTTCCAAATGATATCCATTTTGAATTACAACCTACCAGCACAATAATGAAATATGCTACAAGCATATTGTACAATGTTCAAAACGTTTTACTCTGTACTGATTTATTCAACACATTAAAAAAGGCTTAGATATATACAGTTATTTAGGTTGACCTACCTTAAAAAAGAAAGCTAATGCACATGATAAGACATTTCATGTTTTCTCCAAATTATGTGCATGTGTTTAAAAATAACAAAAACATTCATAAACTTGCGTTTCAGCATTTTTATTTTTTATATATTTTTTTTAAATCTAACCTAATGCAGTTTGAATTTCTTTATAGATTAACGTAAAGATTGTTTTCTTTGACAGATCTGCTTCATTAGTTTGTATTCACTTCCAGTTTTCACATAAAGGCAATGTACCTGTTGAGTATATGTTTCATTGCACTAGAAAAGGAAAACTAAATGTTATTGTAAAGATTGTTTTCTTAGTTGACAGATCTGTTTCACCTGTTTTTGTGTCCACTTTCAGTTTTCACACAAAAGCAATGTACCTGTTGAGTATACATTTCATAGCACTAGAAAAAGACAACTAAATATCCAAAACTTAAAAGCTTTGTCAAAAAGCTACTTTTTTTCTGTGGCCAAAGCATTTGCACTTTAAGCATATTGAAATGCAAATATATTACTTAATACTATTAATGTTTGTCACTCTGATTTGTACACACTGATTGTTTATATTCTAGGTATATTTGTATTGTTCTTGCTGTATTGTTTTATTTTAAAGGGGAATTGTCACTTCCCAGGATTTTTAATATCATGTTTACTTATCCTTTTATTTGATCTGGTATTCCACACCTCTTTATCCTGTAACTAAGTGCCTCCATCTTAGCTCTCTGCCAGTCCTTTGCACCTTGCAGTCAGCATAGACAAAACACACGAGAATATGAGAATGGAAGCAATGTTTTGGGTTTTTCTTTTGTTTGTGTTAATTTTTGTATTTTCTTCATTTGTGATGTTTGACTTGGCTTTGCCTTGTATGAACTGTATTTTGTCACTTGCTAAATAGTTAATATAAATTTTTAAAAGAAAAGGAGTATCTCATTAAATAAAAAGGTTAACACAAGTTACAGGTAATTTTTAATATTTTATTCCATGGTGTAAATTCCAGAGAAGTGACACTTACCCTTTAAGGGAAGGGGCAAACAGACCTTGTCTGCCTCTCTTCTACCTTCCCATGCAACATTTATGAATTGTGTGGCCTTCACATGCATAAACACATTCTAAACACAATTTAATATGGTACAACATTGGCAACATTGTGTTTAAAGAGTGTTTGTGATAATATAAGCCAGGATACCAAGATTTTAAAATTTATTTTTTAATCACAATTAGAGCATTTCTTTTGAAACAATAAAACGAGCATTTGTGTTACAATTTTACTTTTTTTTTTTTTTTAGGCTTTTTATAGTTAGGTTTTCTTTGTTTGTAGATATGTTTATAAAGAATACATATAGTTGCCATGGTTTCATGCTTTTACAGTTACTTGGAAGAGAAACCTCCAAGTCAAAACAAACAGTAGTGGAAACATTATCTTTTTTATCTATAGTGTGTATATATATATATATATATATATATATATATATATAGATATAGATATAGATATAGATATAGATATAGATATAGCTATAGATATATAGATATACACACATCAAAAGGAAAAACGATTAATATTCAATACTAACATAACCAAACGACAGTAAAAAGAAAGGAATTAAAACAGTAACCAGCTCAATTTCTGAGGATTTCACTTATATAGTTATTCACTTAAGTGGGAATTCAAAGTTAATTTGAACTCTTTAAGGTCAAAATAGCCGAACTGGAAAAAGTCTCCAAGTCACTTATGTTTTCTGTTCAGCTACTCTGGCCTTAAATTCTTACTTTGGTAAATAACCCTGTTAGTATACAATTTGGACCACTTAACATAAACATTAAAAATACATATGTTTTTCTTTGGAACCTATTTATCCACTTAAAGGGTTACTCCAAGCACCATGACCACTTCAGTAACTTGAAGTGGTTATGGTTCCTGAAGTCTGTATGAGCAGAGTTTATCTATGAAATTAACATTGGATACCAATGTTGTAATACACAGTCTATAACTGAACCGGTAGGGATGTCATGCAATGGTGGCTGGTAAAGTTTTAGGGTGCCAGACCCCTCCCCTGGATTTTGTATCCATCACTTCTGTAGTCACCATCTTCTGGCATGCGGCATCTGTCTGCTTGATATCATGTACTCAAACCCTAATGATAGTCTCCATAAAATATACGGAGATCCTTATACAATACTCAGGTACCTTTACACCATACAGATATACCAATAAAATAGACAGAGTAAGGTACAATACAGAGATTACCCATACAACACAATGCTTCAGTTTTCTCTAACTCTAGCTCTCACTTTTTTAACACCCTCTTCTGTCCTATGACAAGTTTAGTGTTTCAGTAAATGGTGCTGCTATGAAACATATCAGCTACGTTTGACTCATTATTGGTTACCAACACAGGGTTAAAGCAGCAGGAAAGGCCTGACATTTAATCAGCTGCAGACCACCTTGCCGTACAGTAGCCCGTTTCCGGTAAAAAGGCTTCGTAATATAATTTTATGAGTCCACAAGCGAAACAAGTATTAGATTACAACCGGAGTATTCCAGTGAAATAAGCATAAAGCATCTTCCTCTAACAAGATTCGTAGTGACTCACTGGTAAGATGATAGATTTGGGCACCCTTGGAATTAGGGATGTAATGCATTAATTCCATCAGTAGAGTGAACTGACATGTTGGAGGCTTATGATTGGACCTTTTGAATTTCTTATTTGCATAATGGGACGGCTGTTCTTTGGCACTGAAAACGGATGGCTACTCACCACCGATTGGCTTAAACTTTAATTTCAGCAAGGCACCTGGAATATAAAAGGGATGTTTAGGTCAGTACAGATTTAACTCCTGACTAGGGTGCACTCTTGTGGCACCAAAACGCGCGTCGGGTTTTTCTTTGTTTCACTAATTTTAACTGAGCACTCTATCACTTTGTGCAGGTAACCAACAATCTTAGTATGGTTCTGCAGACTTATATGTCATAGTTTTCGCTTATCATTTTCCTCCTTCCTAATCATGAACCTATCTTTAGGGGTGCATATCTCACGATCATTTGCAATATAAATGGTGGGGCTTATTTAGAGTGATGTTAGCTTGGCAAAGATCCTCTGATTTTGTAGTCTAAGCTTTACTCCTAGCTACTAATCGCAGCTCTTTAGCAAGTTTAGAAAGGGGTAAGGCTTTGAGAGACTAAACTATTCAGTGATGCTTGGATTCTTTAGCCGAAGTTCGCAATGCTCGTTACATTTTTAAACTCCTAATTGCTTCTGAGTGACAAATAGATACGTTGTGTCATTTAAGCATTGAATGAAACACACTTTCTAATTTGCAGTTACACAGTATGGGTGGTTTTTTACCTCCATACATTCTTAGTGTTGCATTCACCCCTTAAAAAGGTCCGCAGATACCCCTAGCTTAATTAGGTAGCACTAATTATCATTATTTCTTTGCTACATTCATCTTTTAAGCTATTGATATTTTTGAGAGTTGTTCAGAGGGATCTGTTTCCTGATTAGGCTCCCGGTTTTTGTACATTTATATTTAGTTACAGACAGGGAACTTGTGAATGATTATTAAGTGCCAAGGGAGTTGGAGGTGAGCCTATTAGCGGTAGTTTTTATTTTTATCTGGTTCTGACCTTCCAAGGTGGGAGCACGGTTAGATACTGTTATGTTCTAATTTAGTATTTTTTTCATTTTTGATACAGTATTTTAAATGTTTCATTATTATAAATTTGAATTCCAGTTGATACTTTACGATCTGGATTTTATATCCAGTAGTTGGAGTATCCTTAATGTTTCATGCATAGGGGTTATGCCCCACGACACTTCTGGAGTGTCTACTAAGGTGTTATTCTCTACAAGCTGGGAGGGCTAGTCCGTTTTGGAACAGCCACCACTTGTAGAATTATTTCTGTATTAGTAAGTTTGCCTGTAGTAAGCTTCTCTAATGTGAGCTTGTGTATGGATCAGGGAACCTGTGTGTGTCTGTGAGCTTGTATGTGTCGGTGAGCTTTTAGTGATCTTGTATGTGTCAGTGTGCTTGTGTATGGATCAGAGAGCTTGTGTCTGTTGGTGAGCTTGTGTGTGTGTCAGTGAGCTTGTAGTGAACTTGTGTGTGTCAGTGAGTATCACACTTACTGACACACTTGTGTGTGTCAGTGAGCTTGTATGTGTCGGTGATCTTGTAGTGATCTTGTATGTGTCAGTGTGCTTGTGTATGGATCAGAGAGCTTGTGTGTGTCTGAGCTTGTAGTAAGCGTGTGTGTGTGTCAGTGAGCTTGTAGTGAACTTGTGTGTGTCACACTTATTGACACCCTTGCGTGTGTCAGTAAGTGTGTGTGTGTGTCAGTGAGCTTGTAGTAAGCTTGTGTGTGCCAGTGAGCTTGTGTGTGTCAGCTTGTGTATGGATCAGGGAGCTTGTGTGTGCCAGTCAGCTTGTGTATATCAGTGAACTTGTATGCTTGTGTGTGTCAGTCAGCTTGTCTGTAGTGAGCTTATGTATGGATAAGGGAGCTTGTGTGTGTCACTGAGCTTGTGTGCAATGAGTTTGTGTGTGTGTGTCAGTAAGTTTGTCTATAGTAAACAGTCTATTGTGAACTTGTGTGGGTCAGAAAGCTTCTGTATGTCAGTGAGCCTGTGTATGGATAAGGAAGCTTGTGTGTGTCAGTGAGCTTGTGTGTATCAGTGAACTTGTACTGTGCTTGTGTTTGTCAGTGAGCTTGTTGTAAGCTTGTGTGTGTCCGTGAGATTGCCTGTAGTAAGCTTGTCTATTGTGAGCTTGTGTGGGTCCGAGAGCTTCTGTATGTCAGTGAGCTTGTGTGTGTGTCAGCGAGCTTGCCTGTAGTAAGATTGTCTGTTGTGATCTTGTGTATGGGGCAGGGAGCTTCTGTGTGTTTGTGAGCTTGTGTGTCAGTAAGCTTGCCTGTAGTAAGCTTGTCTATTGTGAGCTTGTGTGGGTCAGAGAGGTTCTGCATGTCAGACTTTGTGTGTGTCAGTGAGCTTGTCTGTAGTAGGCTTGTGTATGGGGGCAGGGAGCTTGTGTGTGTGTTGGTGATCTTGTGTGTCCATGAGCTTGCCTGTAGTAATCTTGTGTGGGTCAGAGAGCTTTTGTGTGTCATGGAGCTTGTGTGGGTTAGAGCACTTCAGTGTTCATTAGTGAGCTAATGTGGGTCAGAGAGGTTGTGTGTGTCAGTGAGCTTGTCTGTAGAGTGCTGGAGTGAACTTGTCAACAAGCTTGTAGGTTGTGAGCTTGTGCATGGGTCAGAGAGCATTTGTGTGTATCGGTGAGCTTGTTTGTGTTGTTGAGTCTGGCTGTAGTTAGCTTGTGAGTGTCAGTGAGCCGGTGTGTGTGCCATTGAGCTTGATTGATTTTTTAATGTGTAACATGCTTTTATATATTTGCTGCAATTATACCAGTGGCAGGTTGATACCGATATGCTGATATTCGGCATGGATGATTGCCCTGCTTAAAGAATTGTCCCCAAGCCAGTCACAACAGAGAGGGGGTGGCTTGGAGGGTGGATGTTACAGCACCCATGGATCATCTGAAGCGAAGGGCTGTAGGTAAGAAGAAATATAATGGCTCACAAAGCACATAAATATAAACAATACAAACACACTATGTGACACGAAGAATTAGCTGCTTTCTGTTCCCAGTCCGGCCCTGGCAGACCATGAGACTGGTAGGGAGAAAAAAAAGACAATATTATAGAATATTATATCTTCCTTCAGCACCAAAAAAGCCAAATGAAAATCCATAATGTTGCATAGAAACTATTAAAATAGAAAAAGGACCGAATCACCCCCCCAAGAAATCATGCTGAAATAAAAAAAATGCCCTATGAAAAACAATCCATCTTCCCCAATGCGATGGCTCTGCACATACTGAGCTTGCAGGGCAGGAAAACCTTATAAATTTGACCACTGAGCCGGTCTCTTAGAGGGTGACACCCTCACCCCGTTAACTTACAGTACTGCCTCAGTAACATTGGCACTTGATTACGAAGACAAACACCCTTTCAAAGCGTACTTCTGTACTTGAACCTGCTCTGTTTTCCACAGACTGGAAGATACGTATAGTTTCTCATCATGAGTGACTCACCTCAATCTCCCACTCAAGACTCAGTCTTTGATCAACGCTGCAGTAGCAGCCTCAGTGGAAAAGGCCATCTCCAAAACACTGGTACAAGACCCCCCAGAAGCCACGGGCCCCTGATGAACCACTTGCTACTGACGCCATGGGTTTTGAAACAGTACCCAAACGACATTGGAAGGGCACCAACTTGGGCCCTTGAAAGACTAAAGGCAAAGCCCCGCTGAAACAAAGCCACCAAGTAGAGATACAGGATCTGACTCCCACTCCATTTCTGTCTTTGGATGAGGAAGGGTCTCTCCCTCCCCCCTCTCTAGTGGTAGTTGATGAATCCGAGGAGGAAGAATGGCAAGGTGTGCCTCAATCGGACTCTCGTTATGTCCAAGATGGTCCCTTTCAAAAGGGAGACTCCCACAAAACCGCGGACCAAGATGAGATGGTACTTTTGTTGCCCCACATGGTGTGCCTCTGTTTAACCCTCACACAATCAGACACGTGAGGTCTTCGGAATGCCAGAACAGCCAGATCATCTGGCACAATTTATTAATTTCTGGTTACAGAAAGCTATAAAGAAGGAGGTGCACTCTCGCCTTTGGACTGAATACCCTCGCCCCCCAAAATTCACCAAAGGTGCTGTGCAATTCGCTCCAGATGACACTGGATATTTCAGCTATATCTTTGTGGTCAGGAAGAAGACGGGAGACTATTGACCCATCCTCAACCTACGCCAACTCAAAGGGATCATCCATCTGTTGCGGGATCTACTCCTGTCATAAGATTACAGATCTGTGTTTAGTGCAATATTTCAATAGTTACTTAACTAGCTTTGATGAGAATCAGTGGTAAACCAGCAAGTATACCTTAAACAAAAAAATAGTAGACAATAGTGTAAAATCTTATTATATATTTTAAGGTAAAAAATCTTATATGGTCCAGAGCTAATCCACCTAGCTCTGGTGTGTATTGCTTTTAGCTCCCCTCTCCCGTATGAGTTCTTTTAATGGATCCCTTTATCCAGTGATCTATCTCAGAGTGAAACTAAATTTTGGAAATAGTGTTATATTGCTTTAAGAGAGAAACCTATGAGTAGTAATTGTTTTACTCGCAAACGTGGAGCCTGCATCTTGACTTCGTATTGTAGCTTTGTATGGTTGAGGACCACACCACCTTCTTTTATAAGTGCAGGAACACTCACATGGTCCAGAGTTAATCCACCTAGCTCTGGTGGGTATAGCTTTTGGGTTTGTTTGGTTGACCTCTCCCCTCTCCCGTATTAGTTCTTTTAATGGATCCCTTTATCCAGTGATGTATCTCAGAGTGAAATAAAATTTTGGAAATTGTGTAATATTGCTTTAAGAGAGAAACTAAGTAATGGTGCAGGAACTCAGGTAATGGTATTCAAAGTGTTACTTTATTATATTTATAAAAATCACAAAGTATAATATTCGTATATGTTTTCATATTGCAATATCTTTGTTGTTTTTATAAATCAAATAAAGTAATACTTTTTAAATACCATTACCTGAGTTCCTGCACCATTACTTAGTTTCTCTCTTAAAGCAATATTACACAATTTCCAAAATTTTATTTCACTCTGAGATGCATCACTGGATAAAGGGATCCATTAAAAGAACTAATACGGGAGAGGGGAGAGGTCGCCCAAACAGACCTAAAAGCTATACCCACCAGTGCTAGGTGGATTAACTCTGGCCCTTGTGAGTGTTCCATATAAGATTTTGCTCCTTAATATATAATAAGGTTTACACTATTGTCTACTATCTTTCTATACTTGTTGGTTTACCACTAATTTTCATCAAAGCCAGTTAAGTAACTTAAATATTGCACTAAACACAGATCTCTACACTTGCTGCACTTTAAAGGTATATAGTGCTCCACTGTTTTTTATAGAAATTTCACTTTTTCTGTGTTTTTGAAGGTTTGCACATTCAGTGTGGTAGCAGCTAATAATTGAAGAATTTTTGATTAATTAATAAGAGTTTTTAACACACAACCCTTTTTTGTACCTTTCATAAGATTAGTTCACTCGTTTGGACTTGAAGGACGCATACCTTTCCATGCTAATCGCACCGGAGAGTCGACCATTCCTTTGCTTCATTTGGCGGGACTGACCGTGCCAATTTACATGCCTTTCGGACTCAGCTCAGCCCCATAGTGCTTCACAAACTACTGAAGCCGGTCATTGCACACCTTCGATCCAAAGGTATCCGTTGCCTTATGTACCTAGACGACATACTGATATTCTGCGAGTCCGCATCCAGACTACGCTCTCAAACGAGTTTTATAGTTTGATTTCTAGAATCAATTTTGATTTTCTCAATCAATTGGGTTTTATAGTGAACAGGGAGAAATCTGCTTTTTCTCCGTCCCTAATAGTACAATTCCTCGGGTTCTAAATATATTCAACGAAATGTGTCTTACGCCTTTCCACTTCAAAAGTGGCCTCAATTCGCAAGGAGATATGTTGTATACTCTGCAAAGACTCCATTCCCCTTCGGCTCCCTACCATGCTATGCAATGCCTGAAGGCCCATTACCTGTGGACAGGGCAATCCTACGACCATTGAAAGCCAGTCTTACCAGAGGTGTGAACGGAACTTCGTTGGTGGCTCCTACAAATGCAAGCCTGGAACAGCAGATCTATCTGCGGATCCACACCGGATTTCATAGTGGAGTTGGACACCAGCCTCTTGGGCTTTGGAACTCACTGCACACATGCCTCCACAGGGGGCCCAAGGTCAGGGGAATAGACAAACCTTCACATAAATTCCCTGAAACTAATCACAGGTTAATTTACCATCCGCAGCCAAGGACATGTCCTATTGCTGCATTCTCCTCCACATGGACAATACATAAACCACCTGGGCGGAGCCCGATCTCGTTCTCTGTGAGAAGTAACGAGCAACATTTACTGATTCTGCTTTCCCTGCAAAATCACTCATCTGCTGATCCTACAGGAACACTCTGAACTGGTGGCCTGGAGTCTGGTCCATCGATTGCCTATCACAATCGACTAGGGACCTTCCACTGGGAACTAGACATAGTTTTTTCACCGCATGGAAAACTTGGAGAAGTTGGTATTTGAAGAGGAACTGTGATCCCTTTACAGCACATATGATTGTAGTGCTGAACATTTTATCACACCTTTTTTTTGTCTGGTCGTTTATACCGTTCCATCAACGTTGTACGTTCGGCGATCTCGGTGTCTCACGTCCAGGTCATTCCAGTCAGGCAGGACCCTTTGATATGTTGCTTATTATGAAGTATCAAACTATCCAGACCCCGATATATACATATGGTTATGGGACGTAGATGTAGTTCTCCTCTTCCTACGGGATTGGTCAGATAACTCAGACATTCGCATAGAAAACTCTTGGCAAAGCTCACATTACTTTTATGTCTTGTTTCCTTTCATTGGGCTTTGGAAGTGGGAGTGTTCGACATGGATGGTTTTTCTGTATCTCCGGATGGAGTTTCCTTTGCGGTCCTACGGCAGACCAAAACGGACTCTACATCTGTGTCATATCCATCTTTCTTGACGGTTCCCCGTCTCTGTGTGGTGAACACAGGCTTTCACAATCGGGTCAACTTCTCGTTTCATATACCAAACCGTACAAACCAGTTACGACCACCACATTAGCTAGGTGGGTATGTTAGCTTTTGTCCCTGGCGGGCGTGGAGACCTGTTTCAGTGCTCACTCTGTACGGGGCTTGGCTGTGTCTCGGGATTTCACAATGGTGCCTCCTTTGCTGATATTGTCTGTGCTGTGGATTGGACACTGGAAGATACTTTCAGGGTCTTTTATTTCTGTCAGACTTCACACGCATCCTTTGCTTTTCTGCCACAGCGTTAAAAATGCAAAATATGAAGCCTTCTGTCATGTGATTATGCTAAAGTAGTGTACCTATAATCTTAATTTTAATAATGACTGGAGGCAAGTATTTTCCCTCAATGGGATTCACACCCTTTTATGACTATTGTATATTAGTCGGAATGCATTTCTCTTTAGTTTTATCCAGTTACTGTGATATTTTTATGGTTGCATTATTTTAGATACATTGATGGTTTCATTGTATTTCAGGATTGGTGTAAAATCTTTATCTACTACATCTTGTATAATATCTTTAATTCATATGTATAATTTTATATATATATATACCAATATATATTTACGATAACTTAATGATATGTGGACATCGTTTTTTTGCCACCACCTTTCACTTGTTTCTGTTCTTTTTTCAGTGTGACCTTCAGCTACGGTCTCAGGAGTGGATATGTTGGACTACTTCACTCTTCAAAATTTTCATTATGGTTCCTGATGTTATAATAGACATCAAAGAAAGAGGAGGAGCTATGCCTGGCAGGGCGTTATGTGGAATATGTTACTTGTTTAATGCTTTTGGAAAGACTTGTCTTTACCCGTGTGTCTCACTTCCTTAATTCCAACTCTCTCCTTGACCCTCTTCAGTCTGGCTTCCACCCTCTCCACTCTACTGAGACTCCTCTTATCAAAGTGACTAATGACCTAATCTCCGCTAAATCCAAAGGTCACTACTCCATATTAATTCTCCTTGACCTCTCTGCTGCCTTTGACACCGTTGATCATGCTCTCCTCCTTCAAACTCTTCAATCGCTCGGTCTCTGTGACTCTGTCCTCTCTTGGTTTTCCTCCTATCTCTCCCAACGCTCATTCAGTGTCTCCTTTTCCAAGGATACCTCCTCCCCTCATCCTGTCTCAGTTGGAGTTCCCCAAGGGTCTGTCCTTGGTCCCCTTCTATTTTCTCTTTATATTGCCTCTCTTGGTAAACTTATTGCCTCTTTTGCATTCCACTACCAACTGTACGCTAATGACACTCAGATATACCTCTCCTCCCTGGACCTCTCCCCTGCCGTCCTGCAACGTGTCACTGCTTGCCTTTCTTCCATCTCTGACTGGATGTCCTCACGCTTTCTGAAACTTAACCTCTCTAAAACTGAACTCCTTGTCTTTCCTCCTCCTAATACTGATCCTCCTCTCTCACTCTCCCTTCAAGTCAGTGATATCCACATAAGTCCATCCCTGCAAGCACGCTGTCTTGGCGTCATACTTGACTCTGGTCTCAACTTTGAGTCTCACATCCAGTTTGTTGCCAAGTCCTGTAGGTTCCAACTCAAAAACATAGCCCGCATCCGCCCCTTTCTTACGCAAGATGCTACCAAGGAGCTTGTCCATGCTCTAGTAATTTCCCGCATGGATTACTGTAACCCTCTCCTGATTGGTCTCCCCAAAAGCTGTATTGCCCTGCTACAGTCTGTAATGAATGCTGCAGCTAGACTGATTTTCCTCTCTAGTTGGTCCTCTCACACCTCACCCCTCTGCCAGTCCTTACATTGGCTCCCTGTATGCTACAGGAGTCAATTCAAAGTGCTAACCCATACATTTAAAGCACTAAACAATTCTAGCCCCTCTTATATCTCTTCACTAAGCCATAGATATGCCCCTCCTCGTACCCTCCGCCCTGCCCGTGACCACCTCCTGACCGCTGCTTGCACCTGTACGGCCAACTCGCGCTTGCAGGACCTCTTGCGGGCGGCTCCTCTCCTATGGAATAGCTTGCCTACTGCCATCAGACTCTCCCCTAGTCTTCAATCATTTAAGAAGGGCCGTAAAACCCATCTCTTCAGGAAAGCTTATGGCCTCCCAGAGTAATCTCTACCTTACATACCTGTCTCCTCCTCTCTCCTATGGGACAGAGCTTTGCTCTCTCCTCCAGCTCTGCTTCACTCCTACTTGATATTTCCTGTCCTAATGTTTCTAATACCCCACCTCCGTTTGAGCAGGGTCCTCTTCAACCTATTGTTCCTGTAAGTTTTCTTGTAATTGTCCTATTTATTGTTACATCCCCCCTCTCAAAATATTGTAAAGCGCTACGGAATCTGTTGGCGCTATATAAATGGCAATAATAATAATAATGATTGACTTGTGCTGCTGGAGGCATAAGTAAAGAAAGTTATGCCTCGCCTCCTGTCATTAAAAATCAGATTATAGGTACACTACGTTAGCATAGTCTACAATAGTGTAGCTACCCTCTATGATGATAATGCCTCGACAGATCATGCATAGAAAATTGTGTACTGAGCTTATGAAGAAAATAGCATGTTTATTATGGGTTTTTAATGAAAAGTGGTGCCAATAAGATAACGTGGTTGCTATGAACCGACTAGGAAAAAGCTGATACATTAACACTTTACAAGGACCCTTTTAATCACCAGGACTAGGATCCTTGCAGATACATTGTTTTACACTAAATGCATGTGCCTCACAATCTCCAAATGAAGTCACCAAATTAAACCTGGACATTCTGTGTGCACAGGTATTGTGATTCCCAATTGTGAAATACCACCATTCCACCTTTGGACAACCCCATCCAGATTCCAAAGCACCATCTCCCTAATCTTCTCATTCTCATTGCATAACAGTTTTATATACATATATGTTATTCATACACCTATAAGATGCAAACACAAAGCTGGCATTTTGACCATGTCACTTCAATTATTTTATGCTGATTTATATCCAGGGACACCTTCACCTATCTAACTAGCTGACAAAGCATGCTATTCAGACTAGAATGTCATGTGATTATGCTAAAGTAGTGTACCTATAATCTTAATTTTAATATGACTGGAGGCGAGTATTTTTCCTTAATGGCTATTATGACTATTGTATATTCTAGATATTCCTACCTACTAATAACACTACCAATACTAACTGACATCTGACTTATCTGTATCATGGCCTCCATTTAGTTATTACAAAATGAGGCATTTTTAGTAAAAAATAAATAAGTAGATTCAGTGTTCTCATTAACTGAAACTTTAATTTGTTTAATTGCTATTGTATTGCAAATAAAAGTGTCTATTGTGTGGTCTAAGACTTCCATAAGGTTGAGCACGCCAAATGTGTGTGGCTAGGTAGTGGTTTTGAGTATTCCTGTATTCCTGAGTACAGAAATACTTTGCATGAAGACTGTTGCCACATTCTTCCATACATAACTCAGCAGTACTCACCAATTTGCAAGGTGGACATGTACTTATTACTGCTGGGGTAGAACTATAACCTATAACATTATATGCCAAGTTGGTATTTTTCTTCCTAAAATAGTGAGAACCAACAAGTAATAAAATATGGTATGTACTCCATTTTAACTGGAGGTGGTAGAAACACTCATTGTACAATGCTCTAGGCATATCCCCTTCACCAGTCATTACCTCCAGGGCTGTATTTTGCGCGAGGCAAACAAGGCATTTGCCAAAGGCAGCACTTTCAGGGGGGGCGGCAAAAAAAACGCCGCCCTAAGTGCCCAGTCAAGTGCCTTGTTTGCCTCATGTCTTGGGGGGGCAAGAGGTGGCCCGAGGCATTTAGCTGGCTCAAATTTTAGACGGGCGGTGAGGGAGCACAGCACTCTGAGCACTTCCTGCTCCCTCGCGCGCCCTTCTATGATGCCGGGAGCCAGAATAATATGACATCACTCCGGCCCCGGCGGTGTGCAAGGGAGCAGGAAGTGCTCAGTTCCCTCGCCACCTCCACTGAGACACATAGAAGGGGATAGAGACACCGACCACTAGACAGACCACCTGCACCCACCCAGACATCCACTGGGATATAATAACACCTCCCCACCGGGACCATCTGCTGCTGGGACTGGGACCGCCTTCCTGCCGGTTCTGGGACCCCATAAGCAGTCATGGGATGTACCCTGAGCGCGGAGGAGAGAGCTGCGCTGGAGAAAACCAAACAGTCCTGCTACTGGGTGAGGTACCCCCATCTACTCTACTTACCCTAAATCTGCCCCAGCTACCCCCCAATCTACTCCACTGCCCCCATATCTGCCCCAGCTACTCTACTGCCCCCAAATCTGCCCCAGCAACCCCCATCAACTCAACTGCCCCAGATACCCCCACATCCACTCTGCTGCCCCAGATCAGGGTTGCTGTATACCCATCTACTCTACTGCCCCCATATCTGCCCCAGCTACCCCCATCTACTCTACCTTTAAATCTGCCCCAGCTACCCCCATCTACTCTACTGCCCCCAAATCTGCCCCAGCTACCCCCTATCTACTCTACTGCCCCATCTACCCCATCTACTATTCTTCCCCCAAATCTGCACCTCTGCCTTACTGCCCTCCAACCTGCCTTTATACCACAATCTGCCCCACTGCACCCTATTCTGTTCATATACCCCAATCTTGTGGGATCCGCCCCCTGCAGCCAGGGTACATGCTCCCTTAATCTTTTTTAATCATGGACATTCACTTTCTCCTCCCCCCACCTCCTCTCACCTGCCTTACTGGGGTTTACAAATCATCTTCCCCAGGCTTGCATCATCAGCACCATTTATCTACCATACCAGGGTACATCCATAATCTGCTCTTACAGTTAATGAATACCCAGTACTGTGTGGGGCATGTCACTTGTCAAACAGCACGATGAGCTTGGGTGTTTAATCACTGGGTGCAATGGGCATTTACTTATAACCCACATAATATAGATAACAGCCCTATGCTATACGCCATATTGTCAGACTGAAGTTGAATAAGATGTATATTCCTCAGTGAGTGTGTCTGTGACTGTCAGTGTGTGTGTGTGTAAGCTAGTGTGTGTGTGTCTGTCAGGGAGTGTCTATGTCAGTGTGTGTGTAGCTGTCAGTGTGTGTATGTGAGTGAATGTGTGTGTCTGTCAAATTAGTGAGGATGTTCATGTCAGTGTGTGTATGTCAGCGTGTGCCTGTCAGTGAGTGTGTGTGTCAGTGTGTGTGTCTGTCATTGAAAGTGTGGGTTGTATAAACAGTGTGCGTGCCAATGACTGTATGCGTGTGCTAATAACTATGTATCTGTCCGTGAGTGTGTAACGGATCGACGGGCACCCTGACTGGGTACCTCCGTTGATGGATGCTCCTAGCGTTTCCTGAGGACTCCAAGCACTGCAGCAGACACCATAACCACCATACTCTCCTTCAGAGAGTAAAAACAGGAACAAGCTTTTACAAGAGCTTAGCAGTGAATATAGCAAGAGAGTATGCAGAGCATAGCAATCCCTTGTAGCAGGTTCCCCCACTAAGAGACGACACTCCAAATTGAGGGTGAAGTAGAACTGACTGTACTGGCACATACAGCCTCTTTTATTCACAATCCACAAACATAGTACTGCCCACAGGGTTTTGAAATACAACCAATCAATCCGTACAATACACACAGATACTCCCACATAAAATCCTCCCCTCTGCCTGTGATATGATTACTGAACACAATGGTTTATATAATTATCACAGGCAGAGAAATACAGTTTTAATCAAATATTAATAACTTCAAAAATATACATGCCTCAAACATATTCAAACTCAGTACGCTTTAATTATAAACATATCCAAAATTCAGCCAATTCCATCCAGGGGTTAAAAAGTTAGCTGGATGTCCCTTTTTGACCGACCGCAAGCACATTTTCATGCCCAAAACAGTTCCATAGATTTGGGCTGTGCGGTCTGTCTATTTCATCGCCGAATGGGACTTAGTCTCTGCAGCTGCAAAATCATTGTGGGAGAAGGTAAGGCTCAGCAGTGTTCGCGGAACTGTGTAGCCGATTTCAGTTCCATGAATTTGGCTGCACACACCGCTGACCGCATTGAATAAAAAAAGATGGCCGCCACCATGTGTTCGTTTGTCAAATGGCGGCCCCCCAGCGTTCGGCAATTTACCTACAGCAGGCTCCCAGCCTGGGAGGTAAATTGCCTGCACACTTCCACTTCTGGGTGGTCCGCCTGTGTGGTACCTGGTTCAGTAAGCCCCATTTACTGAACCAAGTGGGAGAAAGCCAGGAACACAGTATATTAACAGTCTGGGGACACTGGGGACACTGGGGACACTGTCTTAAAGGGGCATTGTTCCTAAAAGTCACAGTATGTCCCCAGATGGTTCTGAAAGGGCCAGCAGCAGCATAATAAAATACAATATGCCCAAATACTGTATTTAAAGGGCCAAATCTCCCAGGGGCCATAGTCAGCAGGCAATGCCCAGTGGCGAGGTTGGTTTTGCCTCAGAGTGTATGTCAGTGCATGTGTCAATGAGGGCGTGCGTCTGTCATTCAAAAAAGTGGCCTTGACACAAAGTGGTGGGGCAAATTTAGATTATGGGGGTGCCTGAATTTACTCGTGCCTAGGGCAGCACAAATCCAAGATACACCACTGATTACCTCCCTAAGTTCAGTTCTGCTTTTGCCTCATATGCAGGCAGTGAGATGTGAATCTGCTTTTAGAGGAAAGTAAGATTTTTTTTATGACTGAAGCCGAGGACTAGTGTCCCTATAGAGGACACATTTATCCCCTCTGTTATGTCTTCATTGTGACGAAGAGAGCCTTGGATTGGCAATGTTCCTTATGTAGAGCTTAACACATAAAAAGCATGCAGTGTCTGCTACTTTTCCAGGCCTTCAAGTGGTACTTCCTCTCATAGATCCCTTGAGGTTTTACTCATCGCACACAGCCTTGCTGATTTCCTTACTGGGCATGTACCACTGGGACACCTTTGTTGAATATGCTTTATGTAACTGTGTTACCCTGGCCAAGTGGCCATCCTGTCCTCCCTATACTTTACTATACCTTTACTTGGAGGCTCTACTTAAGTATTTCTCCCTTTTTCCAATGATGGCTAGGGCAGAAGCTTAATGAGCCTTGACCCCTTTAAGACAACAAGCAGCAGTATTTTGATTAGCTAAGGAGAACTGAACTGCAAAAGCATTGCAAACCTGTATGGAATTAAGTATAGCATGGCATTGAATGCAAATAAAAGGTATGCTGGGTCAAGATACAAAACCTGGGTAAATCAGAACCCCTGAACAGGTATTCTAAGTAAACCCATCTGTGGATGATTTGTTTTAAGGACCTCATGGACAAGAAGTTGTAAATATCCTTTGATACTCTTTCAAGATCTCTAGGATGCTGTTTCTCTCAACTTCTGTATGGCCAGGCATAATGCCTCTTATGTCCTGTGGTGCTATTTGGGCCTTGCTGCAGCAGAAAAATACTTGTCAGGGCAGGTTCTGGACTTTGTGTTACTGGGTACTGGTTACCTGTACAGTGCCTCAGCAGTGGTGGTGTATAAGTTGCAGCCTCATGCATTGTGGCTTGGTGAGTTATATATCTTAAGCCGTGATATGCAGACTTGATCTCCAAGTTGCCTTTTACAGCTTCCCATTCAGGGCAATGTTCTATTTTGCATGGATTGAGATGCCATTATTTTCAATGTTACCCCCTTAAGGACACAACTTATGAAATAAAAGGGAATCATGACCGAATATTTCCGTCATGTGTCCTTAAGGGGGTAACTTGAGGGTAAAACCATTTTCCTATACCAGTTTAGGAAAGGTTGATCCAAGGTCTTGTCTTGGGGCACTCTTGTTCTTTTTGGCCTCCAAGAAGAATCCCAACCAGACCAAGAAACCTGCTGCCTCCTGCAAAGTCTTCCTGAAGTGTTTCCCCTACTGCATGGAGTGATATTTATACTGCAGCTGATCTGTCTTCCCATGGTTTTGAAGATGCAAAGAGGGAAAGGGTATTTTCTCCCTATTCTTGACCTCAACCTGCTCATTAGATTTCTCATTCTACCTTCAGAATACAGACCCTGTCCTCTGTCCAGTTAGGGAGGTTCATGATGAATGTGGTTTTTGAGGTTACACTCCACGTTCTGATCCATCCTGAGCACTAATTTGCCTTGCAGGACTTGCACTGTCAGTTTCTCTGTT